TGTCCTCAGGGCCTGTCTCCGGCGTTGATCCATAATCCGGGTGGTTCCTTTCCTGAGAGGTAAGCTGGGAGGAGGAGGGGGGGTCGGGACTGAAATTCATTGAAATGAAGAAGTGAAAATTATAGAACTGAGTCAAAACTATATTCAACCCAAAATGACATGTTTATTTTGAATATATTGTTGTATTTTTCTATGTCCAAAACTTAAACTTTCAGGTTCACATTTGTTTTTCAAATGAACAAAACTTTTCATCTGGATTCGGCTCCATAGAGCTACGCTGAAAATGAGGGCGACATCTTATTGGCTACAGACAGTGCCGTAGTGGTAAAATTAGAGGTGGGTAAACTCTGAATTTTGTGATCATACAGACCTCGACGCGATGTGAAGCAACGCAACACAAAGCGTTGCGACTCTGTAAGGCTGTCCTGGCTATATTGCATTATGTTATCAGTAAAAGTCATACAGTCAATACAGTCAATGACAATGAATATATGTGTTAGTAGTTTGTAGTTTATTAAATTTAAGAAAATAGTGAAAAAAAGTATGTCACAACACAACAAGACAATTGCAGATTAAGAACTATCTACATACGGAGTGTCCTTTTTACAGTAGTGCCCAGAGGGCCTCCTTGTCCTCCACATCAGGTCCTTTCCTTGCACAGAGGAGCCATGAACCCCAGAACACGCGTTCTGGGGTTCATGGCTCCTCTGTGCTTCTCTCTCTATTGAACCTGGTGTTTCTCTCCCTGTGCTCTCTGCATCATTGCCTGTCCTCTCACTGCCTGAAAAAATATGTTGAATTTAAGAGTTAACCAGTTAAGCAGCCTGTCAATTACACTGACAACATAAGTTAAAGGAACACTCATGTACTACCTACGTCATCATAAATAGCCTATACAGCAGGGGTTTTTTTCACATTGAGAACTGACTTGTTTTCTAATCTACGCGTCACCAGGCGTTTTTCTTGTCCTTTTACCGTGCACGACCAGCGAACACAGAGCGCGCGACTACAACCCCCCCCGTCGGTTCCGTCCGCAACGACTACTACCCCCCCCGTCGGACCTTCTCGACCGGTCCGCGAAATATTGTCTGACATGAAACCAGTCCGTCAGGTAAGAAAGGTTGGGGTTAGGGTTAGCACTGGGCTGATCCACAGCGTGTATGTGTTTACACACCTCCTGGATCCTGATTGGTGTCGCTGCTGCAGCCGCAAGGCACTGATTGGATGCTCACAGACCGTAATACAGCGCAGATGAAAATGATTCAGACTACAGCGTTTATATGTTAAACAATAGGAAACGTAGTCTTAGCTGTTTTAAAATTACACCAAGTTTATTTCGGATTATTCCAACTGAAGAATACAAGCCGCAGGGAACTTTGAGGTGCGTAAACGCTATTTATAGGTGCGTAAACGCTATTTCCAAAATTCCAGAGGTGCGTAAACGGCGTTTACGTGCGTTTACCCTCCACCACAGCCCTGTTGGCTGGTGAGGCACCTTCTTGAAGAGCTCATAATACCATATTGTCCTACTAGAGAGCTGGGGTCTGTTTCAAGAAAGGCTGTAGATAAGGCCATGTTGAAAACCAGTGAGGTTAGGGGTTAGGGTTAGGGTTACAAATGCAGTGCGATCTAAAAACAAATACATACACATCCACAAACAAATATGAATATACATTGTAGCGCAGGGATCCGTTTCAAGTAGGAGGTTTAACAAACTCTGAGTCAAACCCTAAACTCTGAGTTGATTTACCCTGAGATGTGAAACTCTGAGTTTTGGGTTTCTGAACAGCTGTTCAGAGTTGGTTTAATCAACTCGGAGTAGGTTGACTCAGAGTTGAGCGCGTGCACCACCACAGTATGAAGGCAGCGTGAATGGAGCCACGATACTACGATTCACCATGGCAACCACCACAAACAATCGGTCGGGTACTTGAGCTGGATGTATTAATGCAAGCGTACGCGAGTATAAACCCGTAATTAGAAAAAAAGTGACTGCAGCAAAAGACAGAGAAACGGCGTCGGAGAAAATCCAGAGCGACGCACACGTTTCTCACGGCTCTGCATACAGCAGCTTTACTGATATTATAATGTTGTAAAGGAAACTGACGTTTGCAAAAAAAGTAATACTACACAAAAAATGTGCTCGTATGTGAGAGCCTGTCCACGATGAGGGGCGTTACTTATATGAGGACAGGTGAGGTTGTACACATTTGATGGACTGACTAATGTGGCGACTGTGGGTGAGTGGGGAGCACGGTCGTCCTCCAATCAGAGGGTTGTCGGTTCGATCCCAGGCCCGGCTAACCCGCATGTTGATGTGTCCTTGGGCAAGACACTTAACCCAACATTGCTCCTGTAGCTGCGACTACAGTGTGTGAATGGTAGTTACTGATGGCAGGTGTCACTGTGTATGGTTCTCTTGTCATCGGCGTATGAATGGGTGTGAATGGGTGAATGATGTCATGTAGTGTTAAAGCGCTTTGAGTGGTCAGAAGACTAGAAAAGCGCTATACAAGTACAGGCCATTTACCATTTACCATTTACTGAGAAAGAAAAACGATACCATTCAAACAAGCAGTCACCTGGAAATAACAATATATCTAATCGGGCCTCAATAATCTCTCCCGATGTGTTTAACACCCTGCGAAGTAAAACCGCTTCTTCATCAACAGGATCGTCCTTTTCTGGACGTGCCATGTTCAAGAAAACAATTCAGTCTTTAACGTAACAGATCTTATTTTGTTCATATGTCTAAATTGCACTAAAAATCCGCCTGATACAGAGTCATTGAATGAATGAGGAAATGAAAGTGTGCTGTGTGATTGGCTGGGCTGCTGTCAGAGGGAGGAGACTGCGAAAGAAACTCAAGGTTTATTGAAGAAAACCTGCTCCCGACCAGGTGATGTTCACAGGCTCAGTTACCATGGTGACTGACCCTGAGCTTTAGTTACCATGGTGACTGAGCCTGAGCTTTTAGTTACCTCCCTTTGTGAAACAGACAAGCCAGAGTTTCCCTCATCTCAGGGTTAACAAACTCTGAGTTTCCACTAAACCCGCTTCTTGAAACAGACCCCAGCTCTCTAGTAGGACAATATGGTATTATGAGCTCTTCAAGAAGGTGCCTCACCAGCAAACAGGGCTGTAGTGGAGGGTAAACGGACGTAAACGCCGTTTACGCACCTCTGGAATTTTGGAAATAGCGTTTACGCACCTCTAAATAGCATTTACGCACCTCAAAGTTCCCTGCGCCTTGTATTCTTCCGTTGGAATAATCCGAAATAAACTTGGTGTAATTTTAAAACAGCTAAGACTACGTTTCCTATTGTTGAACATATAAACGCCGTAGTCTGAATCATTTTCATCTGCGCTGTATTGTGGTCTGTGAGCATCCAATCAGTGCCTTGCGGCTGCAGCAGCGGCACCAATCAGGATCCAGGAGTTACATGTATGTAAACACACATGTGGATCAGCCTGCCTGCCTGCTGTTCGGAATGTGTAATATTCGTGTGCGTGCACTGAAATTTAATTGTCTAAGTACGACACGTACCAGTGAGTTTCTTTTAGTCGGCGCTGTTTGCGTCCATCTTTATTAGCGCATATTTACTTTTGCGCATAAACGCGCACCTTGATGACCTCATCACAACATGACAGACATTTGAACCGGAAGTATCCAAGATACTACAGAATGGATTACCGCCGGTAATTAGCAATGGATATCAGGCGATATTTGAAGAGACCATCGAGTGCTCCCACTCCCACAGATGCCCGCAAAAGGCCTCAAGTACAAAGTAAGACTGAAGAAGATCAATTCACGTTTTTAAACGGTTGCACAACATCGCATTAAGACAGGGACAAACGCTACTAATAACGTGCTTTCAAATACAATGACGCAGGTAACAAGCCAGCCGTCCCGGTCCCATCTAAATAGGCCTAATAAAATGAGTAATTATCCTCATGCATATTGCTGCAGATTAGGCTAATTCATTGAAAAATTGTCGACAGATTATGTGCAAGCCAGTTAGACATAGCTAAGAGAAATGCTAAGTGAAATGTTTTAGTTTAGCTATAGAATCTTCAAATTTCGCGGTCAAAGTCAAATATATTAGTTTTTTACTTTCATGATGACAGGTGAGGCTCTCCCTCAAGAAAGATCCATCACATTATGTGAAGTCCTGGCTGGTGAAGTGGAGCCATGAACCCCAGAACACGCCCCTGCAAGGCAGGACCTGACGTGGAGGACAAGGAGGCCCTCTGGGCACTACTGTAAAAAGGAGACTCCGTATGTAGAAAGTTCTTAATCTGCAATTGTCTTGTTGTGTTGACATACTTTTCTTTACTACAAACTACTAACACATTTATTCATTGTCATTGATTGTATATGACTTTTACTGATAACATAATGCAATATAGCCAGGACAGCCTTACAGAGTCGCGACGCTTTGTGTTGCGTTGCTTCGCATCGCGTTGCATCGCGTCGAGGTCTGTATGATCACAAAATTCAGAGTTTACCCACCTCTAATTTTACCACTACAGTACTGCCAGCAAGTGCCTTGTAGGTGAGGAGAAGTATCTTAAATTCTATTCTTGATTTAACAGGGAGCCAGTGCAGAGAAGTTAATACAGGAGTAATATGATCCCCTTTCTTAGTTCTTGTTAATACACGTGCTGCAGCATTCTGAATCAACTGGAGAGGCTTAAGAGATTTACAAGAGCAGCCTGATAACAAAGAATTACAGTAATCCAGTCTAGAAGTAACAAACGCATGAACTCACTTTACTTTGAGGAAGTGACACAAGAAGTGCAATGAGGTGTGGGCTTAATTTTTAACAACCTTCCCACCTTTCTTCAAAAAGTCTAGGCTAGCAAAAGATACACATAGACATTCATATCATTTAATTATTCATTATTATTGTTGACATTTTCAGGTCAAAGTGGACTCGATGGATATGACGAGTTAGTTTTAAACTAAAGGAGCTTTCAACCTCAAGAAACTCAACCAGTGTACTCAAAACTTTGTTTATTCCCCACAAATGGACAACAGTTAGAGCCATCTAAAAAAATTACATTGATAACCATGTATCTCGGATCACAAGTGATAATAGTTAATGTCAAAAATGATTAAAGAAGGTCATGATGGATACATGGAATACCGACACTGTTGTCATCACCATCATATTGGACACATGGACACCCTGCAGTTCTTTCTTCATCAAATCTCCTTTTAAACCGATGTCTATACAAGATTCTGATCCCTGTGTAAGTTATGTAGAACAAATTACATTTGGCTAACATAATTTCTGCAAAATAAATGTAAAAAATGTACATAATATTCATATATATATTTATGATGAGTAATAATCAGAAAGAAATGAATGACTACATGTTTTATTAACTGCTACACACTTGCCCAAAAGCTCCACCAAACACTGACCAAGGTCTTACGTAGGTGTTCAGTAAGTGAATCAGTAGAAGAAGAAAAAAACGCTTGGTCAGAGAAAATGTATGCTGTAATGTTGTTCAAGCCTTTATGATCTACATTGTTGTATTGTTTATGATCTAATTGCTGCTCAATGAACAGTTTGCTAATAGGCCATCGGTGTTTGGGTCTGTCTCCTGCACTGAGGGGCAGACGCAGTGGGAACCTCCGGTCAGGCTGAACTAGAGAAGCCTTTCAAAGCTGGATGCAAACTGACAATTCATTCTGGCAACATATGAAACCTTTGAGTTCAACTGAGTTTACCGATGTCTGCTCCCAATAGAGCATTAAAAAATAGGATAATACAAAAATTAGCACATGTAAGTGACATGCAGGCACTAAACAATCTATGACATTGTCATGGTCCATTTAAGATTCATATTTTTTCTGGGCTATAACATTTCAAAATTCATTCCTATTAAGAGCAACACAGAGTCATCACAAGGACGTTTCTAATGGACGGCATTAAATGACATGCAGGTCATAGCTGTAATATGTGCTTCTACATTAAGCCTTCCCTGACACAGAATGGGTGTCTTCTCCACACACATACTGTACATGCTAACTGGAATCCCCCCAGTGACTGAATGTCATACATAATAATCTGTTCTGAGCCAATCAGTGAGGTTGATTAGGAGTTGGGATTTCCCATGTCTTATTTACATTTATCTAATGCTAGAACAGGGTGGGAAAAGGTAGCGATGTACAATCTGGCATTGATGTCCTCCAAAGTCAAGTCAGTCTGCAAGTAAGAGATGAGAATGATTCTGGACTTATTTCCATAGCTCTGTTTTACAGAGCATTCTGGGAAATTCTGAGTTCAGCTTTACGGCAGCACAAGCAAAGAGGACATCATTTCTGGCTAAAGAGATGAGGATTGGCTAATAGATCTGAATTGTGAGTAATTGTGGGGATTGTGCTTATCACGACACAGACTGTCTGGAGTTTCCTCCTTCCATTCTGGATTAACTCAGGCTCATGCAGTCTGGTTCCTTCATGGTCACTATTTATTTGTGCTGGGCCAACACCTCGCTGAAGATGTTGAGGAAGATGTGCACGTGGTATTCCTTGAAAACCAGCGATGGACGGAAACGGATCGACCGATCCCCACAACCTCCCAGGAGGACACCTGTCAATGGCAAATACTGTTACAGGGTGTCCACAGGGCACAATTGAAAATGCAGCGTACTGCGCTCTTCAGGAGTTTGGACTGCTGACTTCAATTTGCCAAGTTTGGACTCCAAGGAATCAGGAATCAGGAAACATTTATTGCCAAAATATGTCAAACATTTGTCGGATGGTGCGTGACAGCAGACACAAAACAGACAATAGACAACAAGACAGCAGTGCACAAGTAATAAAATAAAATAAAATGAAATGCTAATGCAATGGGTTAGTAGAATAAGGCTATGTGTTAGTATAAAATAAGAGAATAAAGTTAAAGTTAAAAATGTTTAAATATTTTAAAAAGTGCACCATCGAACAAAGGAAGGTGAGTTCCAACCAGGAGAACGCAAATCCCAACTAGTAAATGGTGGTATACTTCCTACCTTTATCTCTGGCCTTGAGCAGGATACTGCTGCGTGTGGCATCATCACAGATATCAATGGCGCAGAAGGTTCCCTGTCCTCGAGCTCGGCTCAGTAGGCCGGGGAACTGAGCCTGGAGACCAGACACAGGAAAGACATGTTTACATACAGCGAGGCCATGTATGCTCATGTTCACATCCGTGTATGCTCATGTTCACATCCGTGTATGCTCATGTTCACATCCGTGTATGCGCATGTTCACATCCGTGTATGCCCATGTTCACATCCGTGTATGCCCATGTTCACATCCGTGTATGCCCATGTTCACATCCGTGTATGCCCATGTTCACATCCGTGTATGCCCATGTTCACATCCGTGTATGCGCATGTTCACATCCGTGTATGCTAGAGCATGGATCGGGCCGACTTTTTCTGTCCGAGTCCGACCCGAGTCCAACAGCCGTTAAACTATTTTGTCCGAACCCGACGGACTCAATGCCTCAACTGTTTTTTTTAATAAATAGCCTGCCTTTATTAAACTCGGGTATCAACAGATAAATATACTCGCTCAAACAAACAAGCGCTGTTTGGGAACCGAGGTTCTACATCATGGGAAGCAGACGTTGACTTCACTACTTATTAAGATGGAATGTTCAACGCCTTTTCGCGCTGATGTGTCCGAGCCCGACCCGAGCCAGACTATATTTTCTAAATATTTTTCCGGACTCGGGTCGGGTATCCACCCTCTAATGTATGCGCATGTTAACATCCGTGTATGCCCATGGTCACATACACGTTGGCCATGTTCACATACATGTAGGCCATTTTAACATACTAAGGCAGGTCAATAGGAAAAAACGTAATGCAACACTATAAAAGTGTTTTATTCAAATGTAACTTCAAGTGAAAAGTGACAAAGAGACACAAAGTACATAAATGAACAATAATCATCAATCATGATTAGTTGTGTGTGTGTGTAAAGTCTGAATCTTCATTGTCGCCAGTAACATTTAACATGTAAATAGTAGTACTAATAGTACTACATGGGTTATATTTTTAGTATCTCAACACACGGGATGTGACTACAGTATGTCATGGCAGGTGTGTAGCTGCAACATCGCAGGCCAGGCCTTCAGCTCGTTCTGAACAGGCATGTTTCCAATGTACCCTGGCGGGATAAGACCAGGGAGACGAGCGGCTAAATATGCACAGCAGCAAAGGGGTGCACACAGAGACATAGTGAAAACACAAACAGCAAATAAAACACAAGTACACGCACACACTACCTGTAGGTCATAAAGGCCGTTAAGCAGGGCTTTCCCAGAGCGGGTCACCTCCTCCAGAAGGTTCTCTCTGCGGATCACATTTAGAACCTCAGCCAGGAGCAGGTTCTTTGATGGGTCGCCCATCCACGTGTTGAAGATGCGATACGGCTGAAAAAAGATACAAGAGCAAACATACTAGTAAATAAACACTCCAAAGATCTTTTTTTTAAATAGTTCAGAACATGTTCACAGTTATGTTTGTTCATTTCAGACAAGCGATTGGATGTGGCTCCGCTTCCTCCGATGAATGCATTCCTCCTTATTGTACAGTAACCTGCCAGTATGCACCCCCATAGGACTTTCCCCCATTTTGTACTGTTACAAACTGGAATTCAAATATACCTGTATAGACCTCTACCCATTTGATCACCACAACATGCACAGAACTCTGAAGGTGCCAAATACCGTTTTATTGTGAAACAATAATGAGAACAAACAAGTCTAAATCTGTTGGATGCACAAGTCTTCACCCTCCTGAGTCAATACTGGGTAGAACCCCATTTAGCTGCAACTACAGCTGCAAGATGGACCTCTGCCCCACTCTCAAGTGTTTTGCAGATTGCAGAAGAAAAGTCCAAAGGGGGTGAATCCTTATGCAAGGTACTGTGAAATGCCAATGACTAACCTTATCAGCCTGTAACTCATCTCTGTGGTAGTAGCCTCCAGTGAGAAGCTTCTTGCTGAAGGACACAATGTCAGCAGGGTCATCCATGCCCCAGTGCTCATGAGCCCACAATTTCCCTGTGTTCCCTCCACCGGTCTGGACTTCATCCACGTGGAAAGCACAGCCATGCTGGGGAGATACAGGGTCAACACAGTGAGCTATGCAAAAGGGACCAAGGCAAAGAGATTAAGAAGGCAGTAGGAGGAAAGGAAAGAAAAGAGAAGTTCTTCTCTTATTGACAGCAGAACCAATGGATAAGAGGATTGAGATGGAATACTGCACTTATATTATCATGTCGGTGATGAGGTCCACAGCTTACAACATCAGCATCCCAGCAGGGAGACACAGCTTGCCTCCATCTTTCAGTATCATGCACGGGCTTCCTGTAGCTGCTTGCACCAGTTCGGCTCAATTTAACGTCCAAGTCACTATTGCATGTTCACTAGGGTCTGTAGTAGGAACCCTGAGTCTCGGGTGTGCAACATGCAAGCTGGTACTGAGGCTTGGAAATCTACAGTGTTTGGCTACACGTGCCTCATGTAATATACATGTCATTCTAAGAAGGGACCAGACAACACCAGGCCTAGTTTCAGCGTCCAAAGTGGGGCTGGATCATTGGTCTAAAACCATTTACTTAAATAAGTGTCTTTTCTCTGAACATTATTACATGTCATTTAGCTCAGTGGTCCCCAACCACTGGGCCGCGGACCGGTACCGGTCCGTGGGCCGTTTGGTACCGGGCCGCACCACAGAAAGCTTATATATATATTTTTTCTGAAATGTTTTATTGTAATGTAATGTTTTATTTTGAAAATTGACTGGATTTTCTAATTATGTGCTGATTTAGCTGACACTTTTATTTTATTTATTGCACTTACAGAGGTCAACGATCTCAACGTACCCTGTGAATTCACATCCATCCCAGTCTGGTAATAGGATAATATACATTGATATATTGATATTGTGATATCAGACTATATGTGTTGTTAGATTTTGGACCTCACAATATGAATATGTATCTTTTCTTGGTTTTAGAGGCTGCATAACAGTAACAGAACATTTTCTGATCTCACTAGACGGCTCCAGGTGAATATGTTAACAGTATTGATGTCATCTTTCTGTTTGAAATGGTATTTTATTTATATTGTGTAGCACAACAGCACTTCTTCCTAGTTGACGCGCTTTTAAGGTTCTGTTGCCATAGTAGTTACCTTGCGTGCGATGTTGCGGAGGTTTCTGAAGAAGTCTGGGGAGGCGTGGTTATCTCCACCTTCAGCCTGGATCGGTTCAATTACAATGCCAGCCACTGGCTTCCCCTTCTGCCTCCATTTCACAATCAGGTCCTCCACCTGGAGACACATACACACACACAATTAATTATACATTATCATATCAATGGAACTTACACATAAACACTAACAACACAAACATGTTGACACGTGGAATATGGGATGTGTGTCGGGCACACTGTCAATACCTGCATAATCAAACTGGAAAGACCAACAAATGCATCATGTTGGACCGTGAGCTTAAGGTAGTATTGTTTGTGTCATAGCTTTAAATATGTATTAATCATTAACCGATTAGAAAAATACCTTTACAAAAGCTTTAAATATCATTAAGGATCGTTACAGGCTTTCTTCCTATTACACAGCACAGAAGATACTGTAGGTTTTCGAATCAACAAGGAAATACACACAGGTTGATTCTTTAGTCACTTCTCAAACAGCCCGATGAATTCCACACAATGAAACTGATGACGCAGGTAATTAGCTGCACTGAGGTTCTGCAGACAGTGGATGAAGGAACCTCTGCTGCTCCATCCCCATGGACGGATGCAAACTCTACAATCGACTGCTGTAGTTATGTTAATACATTTATCCAACAATAAGAAAATGAAATGGGGCTGGAGGATATTAGCTTCACCCACACACACACACACACACACACACACACACACACACACACACACACACACACAGCCTACCTCCTCCAGACAGCGAGCCTCCTCCTGAGCGTTCTCTCTGGTAAATTCCTCCAGCGGGTACTGCAGTTTTGGAAACGGAGCGATCGGCCAATCAAACGATGGCACGTCCAGCTTGTGGATCGCTTTAGAGTGTGTCGTTGCCAAGCAACCTTAACGATGCAGAAACATCGTTAGCCATGAATCACAACAACAAGCCGTTTTATTCAACGGTGGTTCAGGTTCATATGTAGTGCTGAAGTGCTGAGTTGAACTGACAGTAGTTTTCCACTAGTAGAACATGTCAGAGTACATGTTATACATGAATGTTTATTCACATATCCAAATGACAACAAGGAAACAACCCATAACATACCCATGGTTCTTCCATGGAAAGCTCCCATGAAAGATAAAATACTGAGGTCTGGACAACCTGGGACCTGAGACAGAGAAACAGCAACAAGGACCAAGCAAAGACACGTTCAGTACAATATATGTGGAAATCTCTAAATATTCTGATATGTATGGAAAGCTGTGACACACCTGGTTCACCATGCAGCTGCTGAGGTCTTCCTCAGACGGGTTGTTGTGGCCTCGCTCCTTGTTCTAAACACACAGATCCCGCTACACTTAGATCATATTCAACATCTTTACTTGATATCTTAAGATACACTGGCAAACATACCCATGAAATATGTGTAAAACATGAAAGCATGTTGGAAAGTAAAAGGTGTGTGTTTCTTGCAGCACATCAGGGTTGTGACTAAATCTAAAAAGGCCTTTTAATGGATCATCAGGTGAGTGTGTTTCCCGTCATGGGCAGTACTACGTTTCCTTCAGATTGCCTCTACTTCAGCTGTGCTCAGATTACACGTTTTAATGGATTGGATTGCATCTTGCATTATTAGAGCCTAAATGTACATTTGTGTTAGTCAAATGTTAATTACCCAGTCAACCAATATGTCATTTGTAATTTATATTTTGTTTCCTCTCCTCATTGTTGTGTAGGATTTCCATGGTTGTAGATGTCGCTCTGTTAACGTGTTCACAGGACCACAGCTTGTGTCCTTCCTGCTCACGTTAGCATTAGCACAGCTACCTGCTAATGCCACCGGCCATCGCGCAGGCCGGTGGCCTCCCACTCACTGGTTCTCTGGTTGTCTTCAGAGCTGCAGGAGAAGATGCTCATTGTCCTTTAGTGGACATCTAGAGGAAGGATTTAGCAATATTCTGGAGGGATGGTGTTGCAAGCAGATATCCAGACAAAGATCAAGGATCTCCAGAACAAGAGCTGCCATGCTGTGCAAAGGTTACTGCTTCCACCCATCCGGAGCACGTCTGGCTGTGAGGTGACTGTCTGGCCCCCTGGTAAAATGGCCGATGGCAACAGCAGTAGTAATATTCACTCACCCTGTACAAGATGAACATTGCTTTGTAAGCATTCTCATTGGAGCACGAGCCGCAGGCCATTGTCTGAACCCGGGACATTCCACTGGGAGCCACCTGACGGCAGAGAGGATGGATTTACTGCTAAAATCATTTATTACCACGATATTATCTCACTTTGTCCAATATGTTTGACTGTGCATGTTACTAACCGAGAGAAGACTCTCTGTGAGTTTGTCTGGAAAGTTCTCCGGAGGCAGGATTCCCAAAGCAGGTCGGTTCACGAGTGTACTCTGGAAGACAGACGCGTTTCAGCACCACTGAAGCCCAAGGGACACTCAGCAAAGCCACGCAGCTACACATTTTAAGTCCTTCATCGGTTGAGGTGGGTGACTGTGGGTGAGCGCGGTCGTCCACCAATCAGAGGGTTGTCGGTTTGATCCCAGGCTCTGCTAACCCGCATGTTGATGTGTCCTTGGGCAAGACACTTAACCCAACATTGCTCCTGTAGCTGCGACTACAGTGTGTGGATGGTAGTTACTGATGTGCAGGTGTCACTGTGTGTGGTTCTCCTGTCATCAGTGTATGAATGGGTGAATGATGTCATGTAGTGTTAAAGCGCTTTGAGTGGTCAGAAGACTAGAAAAGCGCTATACGAGTACAGTCCATTTATCATCGATCACAGGCCACATTTACTGCGGTTTGATGACATCACCTATTGTCTAAATAACATTCTGAGAGTGTGAGCCAAAATGTTTTTCCATCAATGCAGTTCCCACTGCACTGTAATTCTATGTTCTTAGCCTCAATGTCATGCGCTAGTCTCCCACGATGCCCCTGGAGTCATGCATGAATCATTTATTTAGTAATATTTTGACGTGATCCTGTTTAGAGTTTAGCTTTACTAGGACAGTGTCATCCGCTTGTACACTGGAACACCTTAACACACCAGTTCATAAGCTGTGGGGAGGATACCAGTGAGCTGGAGTGTGGGACACCTACCAGACTGCTTGGATCGGACATCAGCTTGATGAGAGCCGGGTGGTTGTAGCCTGGGGGGGGGGACAGAGGGACAGTGGGCGTGTGCACAGGAAGCAGTGGAAATGTGGATGGGACAATGTGGGGTCCGAGTGGAGGCCTCTATTCTGGTGTCTTTAACACACATGTTTACAGTATTATTAAACTAACAGTAGAGAATCTCACAGCCCTCTTTAATAAAAGCTGATTGTGTTTAATTAAACTCGAGGGCCTTTATATGCTTGCATGCAATCAAATGTCGGAAATTATTCTTTTAAATGTTATAAAATTATTGTGTAAAGTGGAGAGGAAATGTATTCTCCAACTACACTCATTTCCACTCCATGGCGTACAGCCATATTTTGGGCAGACTGTTATCCTGATGGCTTAGTTCACATTTTACATGCCGTCACTGATCTATGTAATAGCCATGTGATATATTGAATCCATGGGTTGAATGTGTATCAATGTGTGTGTTGTGGCAACCCTCGGGCCCAGCACCCTGGACAGCGCCTCAGGAGACTGCACAGGAGCAGAGATCAGCACCAAGGTCAGGGGCAGCGACTAGCAAGAGGTCAGGTGACCAAAAGGGGAAACGTCCCGCCCCCACCTTTTTATGTCTGTTGAAATAAACCGTTCCCTTTTTTTGTGCATCCGAGTGCTATCATTTCACCCACACCCGTTGGTTGCCACAGTGTGTTAAGTTAGCTGGATAACAGTGAATGGCCCCATTGGTGGGTTAAAGATACATGCTAACCACAACTATGAATATTACACATTACCCAACAAGGTGAATGGCTAAAATGGCTCAAATTTGTTGCTGCTGTCTTCTGCTTTTTATTTCCTACATGTATCAGGGTTCCATTGTAGCAATGAAAACATGAGATGATTATGGAGCACTGGCGCAGCGTCGGGACAACAGCAATTCATAAACTCAACTCAGTTTGACACATTTGTTGATTAATTATATGAATGACTAATCATTTATTTTTTTTAAGTTATGTGCATATTCTCGTTTTCCAAAATCAATAATTGTGGTGTTAAGTGAGAGGCACATTGGAAGGAGAACTCCTGCATGTGTTGGAAGCTGTGAAAGATGCTCTTTGTAGTCAGCATACATCAGCACGGAGGCTTCCAGGTTGTACTTGAAGTATCTTTATACTAATTCCAAGACAGGCAGAACATTTGAGTGGGTTACAGCTAAACATCGTGCTAATGCCCGCCTTGTTCTCTGAACACATGGCAATAAAGCTTTGAATCCTTTTGAATGTTACCTAAAGTGACGCACGTGAAGTGTTCCACTTCCAACCAGCCGAGGGCAGCGCTCCACTTGGGAGACCTCTGTGCGTATTCTCCGTCTCCACCGTGGGTTCTTTTTCCAGCTGGTACACTTTAGAGTCCACTACATGTGTTTCACATTATTCTCAGACCTGTTGTGTAATCCAGTGACATCAGGCTGAGTTCTGAACAACAAACACAAAGTTTCCTTTCTAAAAGCGTCTCACAGCTTTGACCTCTGTAGCTGGTCGTCATTGGTTCCTGTACTGAGCTCCTATGAGGGCAGAACTTGAGGACCATCACAATCTCTTTACGTGAAATACCTCCACTTCATCCGTAGGAGATCACACGCTCGTCCCTTTATCAATTGAAGGAAGTTTGGGGAAAATCCGTGTTATTACCCTGCGGCCTGGACCAGAGAAGTAAAAAATCCTTTGGTCTCCTAAAGCTTCTATTTCCTATCCATTCTGAGGCAGTGAGCGAGCGCTCCCGGCCCCCGTTGTCCGGCCCTTTCAACCACTGAATTAATTACGCGTGAGTTTTTTGGCTCCAACAGAAGCCCTTCTGTCAGAGAGGCCCTGAGGCCTGAGCTGAAACCACAAACTGTTAATCAGACCGGAATACTGCTGCCCAACTGCAGTAGTGCTTGGTCTCTGGACAAAGGCCCGTCCCAAAGGGAGCACCAACGCATTTTCACATCAGTCTAAGACTTCAAGACTATCAGGAAGGATCTAGTTTTGGCAGCGTCATCTTGTCCAGTGGTCAGTGTCTAAACTGCAGATGTTGCTGGTCAATGATCCAAAGGCAAAAGGTAGAGCCATGCTGATGTAGAAGCTGTACTCTCTTGCGTTGTGTATTTATTACCAGCACACTTGATTCACTTCATGGCCGGAAACGGCCGTTTATTTCCACTGCATATGAAGGCAACCTGGTGATCATGGGGGGGTTCATGTCCTCAGAGAAACACCTCGGGGCATCAAGCTTTGTGGCGTTTAGACACAGACTAGTCGAGTAGAACCTGCAACCACCCCTGGTTCACAGTTCTTTCCCCACACAAACCAACACGAGAACAACCGAACAGAGACACCAGCTCCGTCTACATGTGACCTGGATCTTATGCATTACAATCAGACCCACAGGACCACGCCTGGAGGCTTGGGACCTGTATAAATGTGTTTGTTCAGTTGGAGCACATTTCTATTGGTGCATAATGACCCTCAATCAGGGAAACCGTACAAACTAAAGCCAATGTGTGCCCAGCCAACAGTTCTTACCCGAGGGGGGAGCAGAGAGTGGACCTACGCTTAGCACCACCTACACAGAGAAGCTGCTATCTGACGGTTATGGAAGCAGCCCTTTGAGGATGCGTTGCATTGGAACTGAGCGACATGCACGGTTTGATTTTTCACTCCCATATGTCATAAAATGCTGCACAGCAGAAGCGGCTGTGCTAAATGCAGGAGGTGCATTAACAGGAGGAGGTGGAGAAAGCTGCACGTCTCCAAAGTGAACACTGCCGTCCAACAACTGGAGCTGAGCGCCAACTGGTGTTTGGCAGAAGGCCGTCAAGCACGTCTGCACCATTTGAGCTGTGGTGGCTTGTTGCCAAACACGCAAGGTAACAAACTAGAAACACTAGAGTCCACGTGGTGCACCGGCTGCAGTCCTTTATTTATTTACAGTCAGTATTGATAACGTAAGGTTAAGTGGTTATCTGGTGCTAAAGGGTTTTATCTACCTACCGATTGGGATGGAGGAGATCTGAGTGTAGATATCTAGCATGCGGTTGCCGTCCACATCCACCAGGTAGTTCCCCCTGCTCTCATCATAGTTACAGAAGAAGTTGATCGCACCAACATTCTGTGAATAGACGTGTGCTGCATTAAGCACCTTATTCAGAAGGATTCGGTCAAATGTCCCCCTCCTCTCCCCCCCGCAACCAAAACTATAACACAACTATATATAAATGTATAACCCCCCCACGTCAACTCACCTGGATGTCTCCCAGCTGCTTTGTAAGCTCCTACAGAAAACAAGGTCAGTTATATTCACTACAAAGACCTGAAGAGAAGGTGTGTGTGTGTGTGTGTGTGTGTGTGTTACTTGTGATCGTGGTCCAGGAACGGAGGTTTTCATGGAGGGCCCATCGTAGTCATACTCCACCTGGGTCTTTGGCGCCGCCTTACTGACATACCGACAGCCTGTTGGCGGAAACGGAGCAATAATGATCTACACTCACTCACACACACACACACACACACACACACACACACTTGCTGACAGAGAGAGTGTGTTTACATGCTGCTCTCCCGGTTATGACCGGTTTTTGTCTGTGACATTGCACATTGTAACATCCCAATTTGGTCCGTGATCGGAATCATTTACTAAATTAGTAAATATCAACCACAGATCATCCGATTGATGATTGACAGGAGAGACGGCCTTTGAGACGTTGATCTCTGAGGAGCCACAACATTGATAATCACATCCTGTTTTTTCTCATTCATAAACATTTACACTGATTAACCAGGTGTCGTTCATCCCTGAGCGCGTTGGACGCGTTATGACTTCTTATCTCTCAATTTAGACCTTAAAACCGATTCAGTGGCGTCCAACACATTCATGGTATAATAACTGAGTGCAGAGTAAATCATTTTAAAAACAAGATTAGAAGGTTTCAAGGAGGTGGGTTAGAATGTAAAAGAGAGAGAAGCTGGTCACAGGCTTCATGTGGGATTTACCTGGAGCACTGAGCCACAGGTGCTTCTGCAGGGGGAGAGCAAAGTGACGGCTGATCAATGAGGACGCCATGACGGAGCTGTGTGAGCGCCCGAAGAGTCTGACTCCACCAGATCACCTAGTGAGAGGGAGGGACAGAGAGCTGAGAACCTGTGCACCTTGCTGTTCATCGTTCCAACCTAGTTATGTCAAAGTGACACCACAGCGCAGTGAGTTATTATAGACCTTGGACGGTTCGTTCTTCTGTTGTGCGCGTGTGGTGACGTATCATGGCTCATTGTCTATCAACGGATCGTGATATTGTGAGTTATCCTTGTACCCACACCTAAAGATGATTAATAAAGCACAGCCACTACATATATAGGGCACATTTAAAAGCAGGATACAAGACAACAACAGAATGATAAAGTATGGTCACAATTTAAACACAGTGCCAAAGATGAAAAAATCAAAAATATATTAGTAAAATAAATACAAAGCTCTTTCAACTAGAAGAATTCTTCGGATGTTCCATTTGAGGCTTTTAATTGGCTAGCTGGTGTAACAGCCACATTAAAAGAGTGATTCATAAATAATTATTCCATTTATCTCCTGGGAGAGAAAGCAACAGCAGGACTAAATGTGTGGAGTGAGGCGGGGGGGCTGTCTTATGCAACCCTGGCGGCAGAAACAGAATCATTCCAGATATCTGCTTTCACGCAGCAAAGGAAACCCTGACCCCTGCACACACACGCACACACACACACACACACACACACACACACACGCACACACACACACACACACACACACACACAGCTCGTTTCTTGGCAGCACATCGTGAACTGGATGGAACTGGCTTGGCGAGTGAGTTACACAAGAATGCGTCTTGATATGGCTGGGGGACGTACAGGAGTAAAGTGATGGAGGACGGCTGAAGGGACGCAGCGAGTTGGAACCGGGATGAGCAGGAAGCACACAAAGGGAGGACAACACCCCCGGTGGAGCACTCGGCTGGGAGGATATGTTGGAGGTTTCAGTGGTCGTAACCATAGAGACCATGTCATAATGTAGACGGTTTACTGCGTGGTTGTTACTCACTAGTACCACTGACATTCATCATTGATACACAGTGACACTGGGAAGAATATATGCTGGTTCACTCATTACCTCAATAAATGGTTTATTATTTCAATGTAAAAGTGTGTTGAGTAGAGTGAAAATAGAAACAAATGTTTTCAAATGCTGCACCCCTTTGCACACATTGTGTGTGGCAGTTATGTAAAGAATGAAAAAGAGCGCTAGAGAGAAGTTCAAACGCAGCACATGTTCTCGCCCTCACACACCTTCTCATTCGGTGGACATGAACATGTGGACGATGGAGAGATGTCTCCTGTCAGGAAGCAGCTGTGACTGAAAACAGCCCCGGGCCTCAAACGGTCCGCCGGGCTGTTAATGGAGGCTTCTTGTCCAGGGAAGCGCGGAGACTGAGCAGCCCTCCGTTGGCAGACACCATGTTCTATCAGAAGCAACTTTCCCTCTGCGGTTGGTAAACAGCTCACTACCACCAGCTGCTACACACACACAACGCCTGGGTCCACCGCTGCAGATGGACGACCACGTCCTAGAGACCACCCAACTACATCGCTACAAGAGCCTGGTAAAGCCTTTACATTAGGATTATTATTTTACATAACACCCCCACCTCCTGTTCAGCAGAGTGCATCACATTATTGTTTATTGTTTATAATATTTATTGTTTAGCTGGCGCTTTCATGCAACTTACAACAAGTGCATTCAACCCAGACGGAACAGAACCAGAACAAAAATGATCAAGACAGTATGATTTCTTTAAGAAAGCCAAAGTACAAAGTGCTAGAAGTAAGTGCTGGTAAAGTGACAACTAGTCCAGGTGTAGTCGGGAGAGGTGTGTTTTTAGTTGCTGTCCATTAGGAACTGATTCCACCATTTAGGAGTCAGGACATCAAACAGTGGTGATGTTGTTGAGTGTTCAGCTCTCTGTGAGGGAGCAACCAGCCTGGACCTCATCTGAAGCCCACACGGTACAAAAGTACCAATGTTTGAAACGGATGTGGGCAGCTACTGGTAACCAGTGAAGGGAGACTACTGGTAACTAGTGAAGGAAGACGACTAGTAACCAGTGAAGGGAGCAGACTGGTAACTAGTGAAGGGAGACTACTGGTAACTAGTGAAGGAAGACGACTAGTAACCAGTGAAGGGAGCAGACTGGTAACTAGTGGAGGGAGACTACTAGTAACCAGTGAAGGGAGCAGACTGGTAACTAGTGGAGGGAGCGGACTGGTAACCAGTGAAGGGAGACTACTGGTAACTAGTGGAGGGAGACTACTTGTAACTAGTGAAGGGAGACGACTGGTAACCAGTGAAGGGAGCAGACTGGTAACTAGTGAATGGAGACTACTGGTAACTAGTGAAGGGAGTGGACTGGTAACTAGTGAAGGGAGACTACTGGTAACCAGTGAAGGCAGGCAACTGGTAACCAGTGAAGGGAGACGACTGGTAACCAGTGAAGGGACATGGCTGGTAACCAGTGAAGGGAGACGACTGGAAGTCAGTGAAGGGAGACGACTGGAAGCCAGTGAAGGGAGCGGACTGGTAACCAGTGAAGGGGCAGACGGGTAACTCATGAAGGGAGAGGACTGGTAACTAGTGAGGGCAGAGGACTGGTAACCAGTGAAGGGAGACGACTGTTAACCAGTGAAGGAAGACGACTAGTAACCAGTGAAGGGAGAGGACTGGTAACCAGTGTAGTAAGACTACTGGTAACCAGTAAATGAAGACGACTGGTAACCAGTGAAGAGGCAGACTGGTAACTCATGAAGGGAGAGGACTGGTAACTAGTGAGGGCAGAGGACTGGTAACCAGTGAAGGGACACGACTGGTAACCAGTGACGGAAGATGACTTAACCAGTGAAGGAAGACGACTGGTAACCAGTGAAGGGAGCGGACTGGTAACCAGTGTAGGAAGACTACTGGTAACCAGTGAAGGGAGACTACTGGTAACTAGTGAAGGGAGACGACTAGTAACCAGTGAAGGGAGCAGACTGGTAACTAGTGGAGGGAGACTACTGGTAACTAGTGGAGGGAGACTACTGGTAACTAGTGAAGGGAGCGGACTGGTAACTAGTGAAGGCAGAGGACTGGTAACCAGTGAAGGGAGCGGACTGGTAACTAGTGATCCCAGCCAGCTAACCAGCTTTTTTTGTAATTTCCTTCCCTGTGCCGATGTGGGGCTTCTTCAGAGGATGTTGCATGTGTATAGATACAATTTGTGATTTCAGGCTGTACAATGAGTTGAAGCTGGCTTGGACAGTACTACAGGGTTGATTATCAACGCACAGCTTCCCTTTTACCTGATTCACGCTCTGTCAAGAATACCATCTGGAGGCGTTGCATGTATTTGGGTATATCCCTATAAATTAACCTCCTGGTGTTTTGATATTCAGACTGCAAACATGATCCAATAAGGAAAATGCAATCAATCCTGTTTCTTACTGAATATAATAAAACAGGAAAGCCCACAGTGATTCAACTCTTTCTTATGAAGAGTGGAAGATGAAACAATACCAAATACATGACAGAAACGGGCCTGCACGTTTCCTCTCTGCTTGGAACCGGTCTGGGGTGGTAAAATCAGCTGTCGCCGAGTGACCTGGAATTGCATCGACAGAAAGGCTGTTGTGTAACCACAGCGGCAGTGCGGCCTTATCAAACTCCACAGTCCACTCCTGGGTCTCCTGGCTATCCGATTGGGTCAGAGACAGAGAGGCACATGTTTTCCCACACAGACTTCCAGAAAAACATGGATCAAGAAAGGCTTATGAGTCATGACAGAGAACAAAGGACTCGATCAGGCCGCCGCCTGACAGTTAGAAGGGCTGAGTTAAACCTGAATGCTCTGAGACGGTTTACAACGGCCCTTGTGCACAGGTTCAAGGGCTTTTTGGGACCTAAGGTGGAGCCTGAGGTGCTTTGGCTTCTACTTGTCACTCAGTTAGTGGAGCACAGGTGCATGCAGCACGCGTTCCTCACAAAGAGAAAGAGACACCTTTCCATCCGAGGAGGCTGAAGCGTGTGGAAGGTTCCCTCCCTGCAGTCTTAATTACAGAGCGTGTCCGTGAGCTCCAGGGATACGCCACACTCAATGACAGGAAGTGAAGGAAGGACTCTGGTCTCGTTCCTTTTCATCTATTTATCCATGCTGACATTGTTTTAATAGACTCATCTGGGATGAGAGGATTCTCCTCAACAACTCATTGTTTTCCTTATCCCGCTTATCCAGTATGCGCTACCTCAGCACACTTTAGGAACAAATGTTAATGGGAAACTGAAAAAGTAACATCCGGGACTGAAACTTTGATTTACGTTTCACATGCTAATCAAAACTAAACTACAGATCGTCCAAGTAAAAAGTGTTTGTTTAGCCCAATCCAGTGTGTGTGCACGAGATGATGGTAGCGTTTACTCCATGAACCTCTTGTTCATGGAGGAAACGCTACCATCATCTTGTAATGAAACGTTAGCATCGTCATGGAGGTGGAAGGGCTGCTCCAAGCCCAGAGCCTGGTGGGTGGAGGACAGTGTGACTCCATTAACACCACCTTTCCAGCATTTGACAGTGCTCTCATTAAGATAATTAAACGCTTCATTGGTCCTTCAAACCCTTCCTTCAACATACTATTTCCTAGGGATGTCAAAATTAACACGTTAATCTATGCAATTAATGTGGCCCAGATTAATGCAATAAAATAACGCAGTTAACGCAACTTTGTTTAGCACTTTAGGCTAAGCTAACTGCTAGGCTACTTCCATCTCAACATCTGCCCTGCAGAGGACCACCACTGTGTCCCTAAAAGACAGTGGTTTGAAAACGTCCTGGGTCAATGTGGGGAGATTGTTGGCACCTCAAACACAGCCGTAAAATGATGGAGAGTTGAGAGCAAATTGCACGAGGACAACAGGAAGAGTCGCTAGTTCAACATGTTCCATCTCCAAGATGACCACATGTGTGTAGTTTGTGTTTAAAATAACATTAACTAAATAAACAGTGTCTCAAATACACACATTCTGAAGTGATTACTCATCACTTAAAAGATTTAGTCTTTAGGAGAAAAACAAACAAACGTTGAATTTCAAAATGTGTGATTAATTAGTTAATTTTTTGCAGCCCTAGAATTTATTTTGACGCACATTTTCTGTTTTCAAGCAGGTCATAGAGGCATGTTCCCCGCACAAATCTAACCTGTAAATCTGCATGGTAACCATAGCGACCAGTCACCACTTCCTCCTTCTTCAACATCCAACCCCAACACACCTCTGGCCTCACCTTTGGTTACTTAATCCAAATGAAGGAATTTGTATAAAGCAAATGTGAGTTTTGATTTAAGAGGCACGCTCATGTTCACTCTGGAGACCTTGTGGAGGAGTTACCTTGTAGATACATTATCCATGCATTTTATTTAATTGGGCTAATTATTATTGTTCATTTGAAGGGATGATGATGCATCCTCGTGGCCTGAGATGATGACATCTCCGCATCCCTTACCTGCGGATGTCTGCTGTCAGATGTGGGTCCAGAGACCTGGAGCAGTGGGGCCCTTTAACACAAAGAGCAACATCTTAAAGCAGCGTGTGTTTGCATGTGAAGTCATGAACACACATGTGGTCCTTCCTGCACGGAGTTACACAAACGCTGCCCCTCTATCAGCGCAGCCCCAACGAGCTGAGAAACGCTTGTTTGTTTCTCCTCAGCTGACGGATCCGGTTCCGACCGGCTCACAGCCGCGGCCGCGCGCTCATCGTAGTTATGGTCTCATCGGGAGTTAGTAGCTCATCACTTGTGTCCAACCGCTGCCCCGATGCTGTAAAACGCTCCGACGGGTCAACGCCACGAACGGACGTGAACGAGCGCGCATCCGGACGACACGCCCGCGCAGGACAAAGTGTCCGCGGGGACACGGAGCATCGCGGGGGGGGGGGGTCTCACTTACCGGGGATCCGGAGTCTGCAGCGGCGAGGGACGACTGATGGACGGCAGCGGGGAGAGCGTGTCTCCGTGTGTGCGTGCGTGCGTGTGCGCGCGCGCGTCTGGCGCTCAGCAGGCAGGGGGCGGGTCTTCTTCTGATTGGCTCGGTAGCAGAGCTTCATGTGAGGTTAGACGTCATGGTAACGAGTGCTGCTTTGGCTGAAGACACACAGGTAGAACGAGTTTAAGAAGAACTGAGAACACTGAGTCAACGCTACTTCCGTTGTACTCGGTACAAGACACAAGGACAGCGTGTCAACCCGCACAAGGCCGTACAGTGTAACAGTAATGAGGACATGTAGCGAGGACAGTCAACAGGTCACCCGCCTAACAGGACACGTCTCCTCACACCTTGTATACTGTACTAGTGACGTTTTATTGTTTTCAACAAGGCTTTTTTGCAAATACGTGTAACAGATATAACTCTGAAAACGAATAAAAATAATGACCACCAACAATCACCGCTATTATTATTATTATTATTGTTATTGTTGTTGTCATTATAATATAACTGAACAGCAGCCCCACAGTCTTTGTCTGACGGAACTGAAGCCACGTGTCACTGTTTACGGTCGGGACGGTTTAGCTGGTGCACCCGCTTGGACCGGAGCGATCTATGGGAGCGACCTGTGACCAGGGCGTCCGGATGTTATCCAGCAGGTAGGCCGTGTTTCCTCCCGTCGCCCCCCTCCGAGCAGCGGGCAGCTCAGTCTGACCCAGCGGGCCCGGGCGCTCGGTACCGGGACGTCCTGCTCCGTGACCCGGGGCGTGTGGGCCGCTAGCTGACGTGATATTAGTATTGTTGTTTCTAATAAAGATTCATTTTCAATTTCTGTATTTGGACAGTGACTTTAAAAAGTCCTTTTAAAGGTTTAAAATACGATTTCAGTTCCCCTGCATGTGCCCTAAGGTGATGACATTATAGTTATTATTATTTATTAACCTTGTGGAGTGAATGCAAAATTACAAAGGAATTTATATTTTTATTTTAAATCTTTATTTTCCATCATGCATCTCGACGCCCATTTCTCTGTAAAAAAAATTATCACATTTTCAAAATAGTGTATCTATTCATCGATCACGTACTGCTAAAATAATGCATAAACGTTAGTAGTGAGAACTGCTCTGGGCCTCTGCCCTTTGACCCTGAGGGGTCCTGCTTGGACCCCACGGGACACAGTTTAGTCCTTTTTATCCTTCTCAGAGACTATACACCTGTGAGTTCTCCTTCTCTGGTCCTGATATCACACACAACCACCAGCGTCCACTCGGTTCTGGACCTCGACAAGGTTCTTCTCAGCCTGCTCCTCAGGTGCCATGTTGTTAGCATTTTCTCTGTTTTATGTTAATATCACTAAAGATAAATGAATGTACAGGGCACAGAATGATGGAGTTTTTTCGACGTTCAGTATCTATTTTAGAGAACAATGATGGGCGTAAATATGTAGTAAACCACCATCTGTTTCATGCTGAAGAGAAGGGGGAGTTGACCCCGCTCTATTTAAAACCACACACGGTCCGAGTCGGTGTAATGGGAGCTCCACTAGGAGACTCTAGCCTGCTCGCGTGGCTGCTGCAGGTCTATGCTCCTCCAGATCTGACAGTCTTTCCCACTCCATCAGATCCATTATTAAATACTCACTCATCCAGCTGGGGAGAAAAGTGGTGACCAAGCGACAATCTTCTGTTCCGAAAAGTGAAGGCAAAGCTTCATGTGTTAAAGCTGCATTCTTTGTAGTGACCAGCAGGGGGCGACTCGGCTTGTCCCATAGAAGTCTATGAGAAAATGACTCTACTTCTCCTTGATCTATGCCCTCAGGAAACACCGTAAACATTAGTTTATGGTCTCAATCTCTAGTTTTGAGTATTCTTCAATACAGCTGATGATGGTCCATTTAAAACTAACTATGTTTACGCCAAAACTCTCTTTAAAAACTGAATCGACTCAAAATATAGGTAACACAAGCACACACATTGGAATAAAAAAGCATTAGAAACAAATGAAACAATGAACACATTCATACTCATTCTGTGCTAATGTACCTTTTATTATAGTCCCTGTAGATAGAAATGTTACGTTGTACTCGTCATTCATGGATGGGCGGACTGTGTGCCCAGTCTCTCCAGGTGGGGCTCTTCTCTCCTGTACCATGAATGATCAGCCATGGACCACATCACCTTCCATCATGACACTGTGCTGTCAGACGTTCACATGCTGCAGCCCAATGCACGCCACCTTATGACACGCCTCAACTCTGTTGGACAGCCAGGTGTGTATGATTGTCACTGTGTGGTGCAGGTGTTCTACACACATCTAGAAAAGGTAAACTGCACGCTGTCAGCAGAGACCCGATTCCACATGAAAACATACCTCCCAAAAGCAAATGTGTCCTGTCATTTTCAGGTACACTTAATTTGCATAATTAAATCTATATCTATCCTTTCATGTCCCTTTTGGACATGATGATTTGTTGAATAATCCGTCCATTTTCTGACTCAGGCCCACCAGCGTGAGGAATTTGTTCTTTTAAAGGCAATGTGTGTCTTTCCTTTCGAATAATCACAATGCAGCATGCGGCAGAGGCTGCTTCAGGAAAGGATGCACCAATCCTACTTTATCAATCGGCAGGTCAAGCCCGGATCAATGTGTCCATGGGCACCTCACCAGAACGCGCCTGTGACTGTTAGTTACTGATGGGCAGGTAGCTCCTGTCATCAGTGTATGAATGGGTGATGACATATAGGGTAAAACTGAGTGGTTGGAAGACCACTGTATACAAGATGGAAGAGTACTTCCATTCCAGTGTTTAATGAATAAGGATCAGGTGAGGAAACATCAGACTTGACTTAAACATTGCTAAATGTAACCAGCAATATACATGTATATGTACATATATTTATATATGTAAATACGGTATGGAATCAGGAACATTTATTACCAGTAGTATGTCAGACATACGAGGAATTTGACATGGCGTTAGGTGCATAACATCAGACAGTAAGACAGTGGACAACAAGACAGATAAGACAACATAGTACCAGAAAATGTTATGTTCAATTTACAAATGTACAATTTGACTCTACGGAATAAACTATGAGGCTATGGGTATATAGAATAGACCATTTTAAAATAAAGGATAAGAAGAACAGACAACTGTGTTGTGAGTGTATGTGCATGTGGAGTGAAGGGAGTGACCGGTGGAGTCGGTCAGTGGGGGACCGGCTCTGTGGATGAGGGTTAGGGTGAGGGACTTCAGGTGGGTCAGGACTAGCCGTTCAAAAGACTCCATGACTACAGAGGTCAGGGCGACGGGCCTGTAGTCATTGAGTCCTGTGATCCTGGGCTTCTTGGGGACAGGGATGATGGTGGAGGCCTTGAAGCAGGCTGGTACGTGGCACGTCTCCAGGGAGGTGTTGAAGATGTGAAAATGTTCCACTTTGTGTTTATTTCATCGTCTCACTTTCTAACTGTTCATCCGTCCAGTCTTCCTCACTAAATTCAGGATCCTGTCAGATGGTGACAAACAGGACCACGATGACCCAGGCAAGGAGGCGGAGCCAAGTGATGAACCAAGGGAAGACGTCGATAAGGACACTCTAGTCGCGTCAAGTGGAGGAACCGAAGGAGAGGAAGGCGGGGCGGGAAATGTGAAATCATTTCTGGATGTGGACGGAGACCTTGACATCAAGCACCGGTACGTTTAGTCCTAAATCACGGGGGGCTTCAGACCGGACCAGTACCAGTGGTCCACTCCTCAGCACTCAGCTCTGTCAAACCTCTTTAGTGACGGTGTGCGTTTTCAGAGGTGCACTGCTGTTTTCCTTACATGCATCTCATGCTCTTCCTCTGCAGACCGAGGAACAACCCCAACGAGGAGGGGGGCCGAGACCTGGTCTGTCCAGTCATTCTCAAACAGTCTGAGTCTGCACTGGAAGAGGAAGACGAGGCTACGGATGATGAAGGCATTATAAAGATTGGTAAGAGCAGTTTGAGATTGTATCAACCCCGCTGTTCGCTGCCACTTACAACATGTGTGGTCTGGCCCGAGGTGGGCTGCATCTGGCCCGTACCTGATTTGAGTTTGGGTAACAGGAACCGCTTCCCTTTTTTCTCCCCATTGAAGGCGTTTCATTTTTCCTGTACCCATGTGAGGGGATCAGGACAGAGGAAGTCGCATGTTTACAGACTCTAAAGCCCTCTGAGGCACATTTGTGATTTGATTTGTGCTTTACAAAATGAAATGAATTGAATTAAACCTCCATTTCTATTAGTATTCTTACCTTATTCAACCTTCAACCTTCAGATGATGCTTATCATCATGGTTCTCATGTTTGTGACTCAGGGTCTGACACACGATAGCATCCAGGCACAGGCCTACCGCCACACTCATTAACACACGCTGCCTGGGCGTTTTATGCTGAGGATCACATTAAATGAAGGGTCAATATAGTGCACTAACTGAGGAATGCGTAATGTTTATGTTACAGAGCACACAATGGCCACGACCCTCGAGGACGTTGGCAAACAGGTCAGTAACATTGTCTGTTTGATGGATTCATTTCACAAGAACAAAAAAATCCTTAAGAATGCCCAGATATGGGCCCGAGGTTACAGTGAAATGCTTGTGCAATGTTTTATAAGCAAAACATCCAGAGGTCCACTTACTGAGGATTTGTGTTTGTGCTGAAGGGACACTTACTGCAATAAGAGGTGTCTGTGAGTCTGATATGTGTGGTTATCTGACGGAGGTTCCATCTGACGGAGGTTCCATCTGAAGGAGGTTCTATCTAACGATTGTTCTCCCTGCAATGGTTTTGCTGTACACTTACTGTACATCTGTAGTATTTTACGCTGTACACATGAGATCCATTGTGTCCATCCTTAGAAAGGATCTTCCTCTGCCGTTCACACTAAGGTTTTCTCATTTTCTTAATTTTAGTTTTTCCTGTGCCGATGTGAGGGGATCAGGACAGAGGATGTCGCATGTCTACAGACTGTAAAGCCCTCTGAGACTAATATGTGATTTTTAGCTATACAAAATGAATTCAATTCAATTGTTAACAGAAATGGAATATGAAATAAATAATATTATCCATTCATTCTCAAACCGCTTATCCTGCACACAGGGTCTATCCCACCGCTAGATGGATCCTGTTGGCTTTCTGTTTAATAACCATAAAGTAAAAGGAAGACCATGAGGATGCTTCTACAATGATCTATACCGTCCAGCCACAACATGTCTATAGGTAACACAAAGGGCCTGTGTTTTATTTAGCCACTATCGTAAAGAGGAATCCGAGCACTATCTGACTAAATGAAGGAAAACACAGACGAAGCAGCTGTGGGGTTCTTCAGTGTGTCATCACACTGAGCCAATGACGGACTCGTCTCACAGTGTCCGTGTCCCGCCCTCACTCCGGAGGAGGAGCCACTCGTCTGATAGCGTTGCCTCCGTAGCACTGCTGGTTGGTGCGGGTGTCGATGAAGCTGCTGGTGAAGGGTGGTGTCTTTCTGCCCCCCTCAGGTGTGGCTCGGGGCATTCCTCTTGGCGGACTTCATCCTCTCTAAGCCGCACGTCTTCAGAGGAGCTACAGTCCTTGAGCTGGGGGCGGGAACAGGCTTGACCAGCGTCGTCATGGCAACCGTAGCCAAAACACTGTACTGCACCGGTAAAATGCCATCCAGCAGTTGTCCTACTAAAAAATGAAGACAGCACAATGTACCACTGGTGTCGGTGACGAAGGCTTCTAAATTCTGCCTTTTGTCAGCTGTAAAGTGTCTCCAGGGGGCGCTATGCATCTAACGCTCCTCCCCTGACCGTCTATCACTGCTCAAACACTTGACTTTGCTCCACAGATGTGGGAGAAGACCTTCTAAGCATGTGCAGGAGAAATGTCACATTAAATCAACACCTAATAGAGCCTGCAGGTGAGATAACAATGACTAATCCCCTTTTGATAGCTCCTTCTGTTACCATGGTTACTGTAGAACGGATGAAACTACATCCAGTAGTGAAGGTTTCTCCAAACTAACAACTTGTGTTTGAACATTTGTGTCAGATTTCTCCATCTTAAATCATAGAATTGATCGACTAAAGGAGAAGGAGGGAGGGCGCCTCAAAACTCAAAAACAACAAAGCTTTAACAGCTTTTAAATAACAGTTGTGTTTGTCCAAAGGAACAGTAACACCTTTCTATAGTAAAGCTTTTAAGACTGAGTTCTTGGGAAATGTAAATTATTAAAGGTCTGTAATAATTACAAACATACTTAGAATCTGCTTGTAGTACTAATTATGGTTGTAATCATAAATATTCACAATGCTTCTATAGTGCATTAAAGTCCCTTTTATAATGTTTACAATGTATCATAATTGAATGATCAAATGCATTATGATCCATATTAGAATGAGTTATAACAATAATGACATTTAAAATGAAGAGTCTATTGTATTATGTATTGCAGCTATAATATACTATGATCCTTCCAGAACAATATGTCATTGGGGGACTAGCTATCATTATTATTATTATTATTATGTCTTTTTCCATATAATCTGTTGTGATTATTGTAATGAAGCATTAACAATAGGCTTAAATATAGAATTGTACAGTGTTATCAACAGATCCGCCTGGATCTCCATGCAGTATCTTTTAATAATAAAAGCATAGAGACTGAGATAGAGCTACGAGAATTTGTTCTTCAGTGGTTGTTCATGAGCTTCTACATCTCTGTGTTATTCATCAGGTGGAGAAGTGAGGGTGAGGCAGCTGGATTGGCTTCAGTATGACCTTTGTACAGGTAACACACACCTTCCCATCCAATCGCACACTCACCATACGGACAACGCTGGATGGACACACGGCAACACACAGCAACGCACGGCAACGCACGGCAATGCACAGCAACACACGGCAACGCACAGCAACGCACGGCAACACACGGCAACGCACAGCAACACACGGCAACGCACAGCAACACACGGCAACGCACGGCAACGCACGGAGCATGTTCACAGAACAACTTGCACACATGCAAATATTCAGACAACGAGAGACATGAAAAAGTGATGCTTTTGTAATGCAACATGTACATGTGTCTTTGGTCATCGGTTCAACTGCAGACTTGAAGGGGCAGTTGAAGTGTCACTTTAAGTGAACTGTATTTGAACATATGCACATTTTATCTACCTTTTTAGAAGCCTTTCTGACAAGCAACCGAGCTAAAGGTCAAACATAAAAAAACAAAATCCATAAGTTACACTTCTCCCTCATCTACATACAGACATACAGATATTTTATTTCCTGGTTTCTGGTTTTTATTCACATTGGTCACACAATCGTGTGTGATGCGGACCAACTAGTCCCTGATTCCAATCACTTTCTTTTTTCCTTTTATAATAACAATTACTCCAACGTTCCTACAAAGGACCATCTGGGACGTCTGTGGAGCAAGTGATACTTGCTGTATCTTCAACAAGCAGCAGGAGGAATGCAAATATGTATCTGTGATAACAGAGATCCTGGTAATTCCTCCCTCTGCCCTTCAGTTGTCATGACAACTCAAGCCTGGGTTTGACTTTTGACTCCAAGTTGCGTCCGTGGTCATAGTCCGCTTCTTACAGACTATTCTGTCCTCAAAAGACCTGGAGACGGCTCTTCGTGCTCTTCTTACCTCAGCTGGTGCAAAAGGACTTTTAACTGGTACACGCAGGCGTGAACACATTTCACCCATTTTAAAATCCCCTCGCTGGCGACCTGTGTTGTACAGAATGGATTTCAAAAGGTTGCTATTTGTTTTAAGGGTTTAAATCTCGCTCTCTAAGCTCCCTGGGCAGCTTTTAGTTGTCCTTCCCCTTCATGTCAGCTGGTCCAACGCTTCATCGACCACCTCTGAATTGTCTCTTTGTGGGATTTGTGTCCGTCTGGTTTTCAATGTTGATTAGTGTTTGAATCCTGATTGTATATCTCTGGGCAACTTGTCAAGATGCGCTATACAAATACATTTGGATTGATTGATTGATTGCTTGATGTGGCACCTTGAAACAACGGGCATAACTTTATGAAAACAAACCCCAGCTCTTCTTTCCATTTCTCATGTTTGTAGACGCTGATATGGAATTCAGGTGGACGGAAGAGGAAGTCGCCGATTTGTACGACAACACCAAGATCATCGTTGCTGCTGATGGTAGGTTGTGTGTGTGTGTGTGTGTGTGTGTGTGTGTGTGTGTGTGTGTGTGTGTGTGTGTGTGTGTGTGTACTTTTATACTAGTACTTTTGTTGTTGCATGGCGGCCATTGTGCTGAATTTGCTGTGAAACTGGATTTTATTCCCCAAACGTATCATGATGCATACGTCCAGGCCTAAAGATATCTGCTTCTCGGTGATGCCTCCTGTGACGCGTTTCTGCCCCCCAGTGTGCTACGATGACGATCTGACGGACGGGCTTTTCCGAACTCTGTATCGACTCTGCAGCAACTTCCGGCAGACCTGCACCATCTTCATCTCCTTGGAGAAAAGGTGAGGAGGAAAGGCTGCTGCAGGGTTAGGGGTTAGTTTGTGGAGCAGCAGAAACATCAATACTGATGCTTCTCTGATGAGGGACCTTTCCCCAGCAGCTTGGAAATACTGGCTTCATTTGAATCTATGAGACGCATTGATCCAGGTCACTGTAGACATGATTCATTCAGATTGCATCCAGTTTCTTTGTGAGGCAGAAGTATTGTTCCTTCTCCAAACTAGAAAATGTTCCATGAGCCTCTAAAGCTGTTCTATCTGTCAAGGATGAACTTCACCCTGCGACACATGGATGTCTCGTGCGATGCCTACAACCATTTCAGCCACTGTCTGTTCCAGCTGGAGGAGCAGGTGGACGGGCGGTGCAGCTTCACTGTGGAACAGGTCCCTTCGGACTTTGCACAGTTCCTTCTGTACGAACGCATTGAGCAGCTGGTAAGGGAAGCATTCACACACATTCACGCACAGCTACACCTTCAAGCCTACATCTTCATGTGAGAGAAGAAAAGGTCCTACTGGGTCTGAATGCATCACAATCCGTACAAGAAACTTTGCTTAGTGATTCACAACACTACTCACAGCAGATGACAGAGCTGCTGTTGCCTGGGAGACCCTGTGGTACCCAGGAGCAGCTGTGACGGCGCCTGCAGCTCTAAGCTGAAAGACGATGGATGGGTTCAGTAAGGTTCTCATCAGTATACATTGTCACCAATGAAATCCTTTTTTTTAGGAGCTGTGGAAGGTGACCGCCACTCCTCTTGATGCACAGGCTGTGAAAACTGCCCCCCCTCCCAAAGAGCCCAAGCAGTGCTCCAGTTAGCATGTAAAGCAACATGTGATGGAGTCAGGCCCTTTGACACACAGACTTCATCGAGAGTTTAGAAATGTTTCACTGATTTGAGCATGAATGTAGAATAAGTTCTTTCTGATCTTGATCCGTGTATTGACAACCAGCTGCTGTTAAAGCCTTTTAAAGTTGTGCATGTTTGTGCAGTGTGTCCCATTAGAAACGAGATGTAATAAAGAGTTCCAGTCCCTCCTCGTTTCATTCTGTCGCATGCTGTTGAAAGCATTGATATCTGCTGAATAAGTAGGACATGTTGATATTGAAACCCGCTAGACAAAGGACCTCCATCCCGACTGGAAGAGTCCATCGTCTCCCTCTGTCCTCCTGAATGCGCTCTTCAGAAAGGAGAACGCCTGCCGCAGAGCCTCAAACACTCGCTGGTGTGACCGAAATCAACCATCTCGGGGTGAATCCGTGGGGGGGCACGTCAGGTCGAAGCCTTCCTGCCCCCCCGGGCCTTAAATCCTGAGACTTACTGAGGGCTTCAATTGGTGTAAATATGAAAGGGGCCACGTTGCTGCCACATGTCGTGTCACCATGACAACGTCAAAAAATAGAATGTACAACTGAGGTTTTATTTATTTCATACTTCTTACTCTGACTCAAACGTCTTCCAGGATATTTTCTCAGAAAATGAGGTCATTTAAAATAATGCTTTTACTGTTTTCCATCAAATCGGCTTCAATGACTCAAATGTTTGCTGAATATATTAACTGATTTCATGTGGGGTTTTTGTTCAAGAACTTCAGGATTCGCTGAGTTATAATATAGTGGTTTTAATAAAAAATAGGATGTCCCATTTTATACATGTCAACATGGGGGGTAGTTGCCTCTCATTGGTTAAAACATGCTCATGTCGGACAGCTTTAAGGGGGGGGGGGCTCTGGGTTGGTTGTGTCATTCTCATGTGCATCCGTGTTTGAATGGTCCTTTCATTCCAAAGACAGATGTTGAACATCTGTCGTACACACATTACATAGAGACATGAGTACCGAGGCTCCAATACTTAAGGGAAAGGGTCTGAATCCGTGAGGGGGGGCTGAGATGGGGCCACAATGTAAAGGGACAGTGTGAGAGGGAGTGACATCTAGTGGTGAGGTTGCAAACTGCTCACCGCCCCTTTACTATCTATTACTACTATAAAGTACTCGTACCAATACTCAGTTCTTCATAACTAAATCACTGCGCTTTAATCAAATGAAATCAGAACAGGATTACTTTATTTATATCAGTCTGCTCAGCAAGCACAGACGTTTACAACAAGTGGCTGAGAAAAATAGTCTGTCCATATTTCATCAGCAGAGCAGAAATATACATTTACCCCCCCCCCCCCCCGGGGACCAACAGGCGCCACGCCGCTGATACACAGAGGACATTTAACACTGAGCGTAGAGACGAGCGCCACATGAATGCCGAGGCGTGAACGGATTGCGGCGGTCCTACAGGACGGACCCAGCGATGTTCTTCAGAGAGGAACCGGATGCTGACTCGTTGGTTGGGTTCCGTATTCGACATCCATACTTTTAGGTCTCAAAGTGTGTGTGTGTGTGTGTCGTAGTTTGTGAAGTACACACAGTTGACTCGTCCACTAAGCTGCAGCACGGGCCTGAAGGAAAGCGCCGGCCGTTTTGGAGAACATGTTCATATTGAGCAGATTGTTTACCAGGCACACAGCGTTGCATCATGGGAGCTGGACTCACTCATTTGGTGTAGACGGCTGCTGACACGTTGGTCAATGACACAACGGACCCTCTGCAAGGTCGGCGTGCGCCGGACAAACTGTTGACTAAACTAGATAGCAGCAAATCACTTTAAAACGGGGGCAGTTATTCCCTGGCGCTGATTGGCTATATACTTTTGATATTTTCATAGTTTAATTTAGTTCAATAGTATATCCTCAACACACTGATTCAAGCAGTGCGATTCTAATGCACAGTCCGAGAATAAAGGACTGAGACTTTGGTGGTTGTGATGCCGTGTGTCCGAAAGTCGGACCTTCTAAGAGGAACCGTGTTGGGATCAGTGAGCTTTAAAGCAAACGGTCTTTACTGCGATTTAAATTGTTTTGTACATCACAAAATCTGCAAAAATATATAGTAATTTACTCAAAATACGTAGATCTGTAGCAGAGGTGTAAAGGGGTCCCTTGACATTAGGAAATGTGTAACTTCACACTGAAATATAGTAACAGTTAAAGAGCAAAAACAGAGAATGTTAAATTACTGATTCAATGTAAAACGCACGCAAACATGAAATCATGGCGAAGGAGCAACAATGTGGATTTAGATGCAAGAAGAGATGAAGTGGAGATGATGAAAGTGCTATTTAAAATAAGCAGTGGAGGAGAAATTATAACAGCAAATGAATTGTGCTTTTAAAAAGAATCTCTTCCTGTCAGAAGTACGACTGTGTGCACATTTAAAATGTGACCGTTGTTGCAAACTGAGGTACCGACTGTGCATCCATCATGTGACATTGGTGACACACACCTGTGGAACACACTGCTCACCTTCGGACCCTGCGTTTGACTGTGTGACTCTCATCTGTAATTTGTATAAATATTCCCATTTTAATAAGGTACTGATGAATCCCTCATCACATCCCGTCTCCTGAGGACCTACAGAAACAATAGAAGCAGTAAGAGGCGAGTAGCAGGCGCACTGAAGCCCCCGCGCGGGGTCGTGTGGTAACAGCAGCAGGAGAGTGAAGCCGATGTGAGCGCGCGGACCCCCCTACGCAGCGAGAGGCGGCTCAGACCGACAGGGAGACGAAGCTGTTGTACTGCTCAATGTTTCTCTTCAGGATGTCCGAGCAGGGACCCAGGACCCGCTCGAACCGGGGCCGGTCCAGCTTGACACACTTGAGGGGGCCGCATGCCACCACGGTGGCAGCCCGGGGCCGGTTCATCAGCAGGGCGATCTCACCTGGGGGGCGCGGGGAGGGTTTGAATGGATTTGGGGGTATTGTGGTTGTGCTGTGCTGCAGGTGTCCGTCACAGCGGGACTTACCAAAGTAATCCGAGGGCCCGAGTCTGCCGACCTCCACAAACTCCTCGTCCTCCGAGCGCCTCTGGAGCACCGCTGCTGTCCCCTGGTGGGCAAACAAGTCGACTTGACATCCCGGACACCCACCTTTCTGACATGAACCTCAGCGCTGCACACAGCTTGCAACTTTCCATTTCAGCTACGATGGTGTGTACCTCCAGGATGATGAAGAACTCATCCCCAGGCTCCCCCTGCACCACAATCTTCTGGCGGTCGACAAACGGGACGATCTCCAAGGCGTCCGCCACCGTCAGACGCTCCCACTTATCCAGAGACTCTGTTCAGGAGCACCGGGGTCAAAGATCAGCGTCTCCCTTCAGTTATATTAGACGACGTCAGTCACACGTTCTCACCTAAAATGGACACCTTGCTGAGGAACTCCTCATACATCTTCCGCTTTCTCAAAGTGCTTCCCTAAAAACAAGAGAAACGGTCACTGCGTCGTGTCCTCGTCAGCTCGTTACTGCCGCGGCGTTGCGCTCAGCTTTGTCCTACCATCAGTATTCTCCTGTAGCTGTCTCTGTCGATGCCCCACAGCTTGACATTGGACTTGGCACGGACCGTAGCTGCTCGAGGGGTCCCGTAGATCAGAGCCAGCTCCCCAAAGCTCCCCCCCTCACCAATGCTGGTCACCAGTTCATTGTTCACGTATACCTACACGGGTCACACACCAGGGGGACAGACCTCATCATGGGGGTCAACAGTCGTTTCGTTAGGACGCTCTTGTGACGGCGTCAGTCCCAGCTCGTTTTATACTTTTTGCCCGCCTGCTGGCAGCAGAAGAAGCTGCAGCGGAACGCCACAGAGCACTGGGCTTCATCAGACTTTATCACTTGAAGATAACTGGTTCAACAACAACAACCCGGTTCAGAAGTGCACAAAGACAAAGGATCTTACATCCATCTCTCCCACGTCAATGACATAGAAGTTGTCTCCCTCGTCACCTGGATCAGGAGCAATGAAGAGGCCGTGAATGAAGGAACACAAGAAAAACACAGCGACCTTTGAATCGGATGCAGCGTGGAGAACTCACCCTGTTGGATGACCGTTTCCCCGGCGATGTAGTTGACGGAAAACATTGCGTCGAAAATGTCACTGGAGAGAGAGAACCAGCGGATGAGGAGAGAAATGGATGCATGAGGTTGTCAACTAGCAGATGCAGCATTACCTCCGCTCATTGTCGTCGAGGTGGGCAAACAGCACGTTCTTCTCCATGGCTTTGGCCAGGGCGGCCATGGTCTTGTAGTCTTTTGGGATGACCTTGGGTTGAGAAACTTGTTTAGATTTCACAGGAACGCTTCAGTGAATATTGAGACTACAATATACATGAAAATCAAGGACTGGTATTCAATATTGCATATTGCAATATTGCAAAATTGCAATGAACTCAATGCTGTAATGAATACATTAAATATATAAACCAGTGGATATGGTTTTAATAAATGAAAGGTCTACATTCTGCAGGGGCTTTGACCAGCTGATTGAGTCCGTTCCATCTAAAAGGAGGCTGAGGATGAAGAAAAAAGACGGGACAGCAGACCTTTCTGACATAGGACGCAGCGTCTTCCTCGGTGTACACCTCAGCACTGATGGCTCCTCTCCGGGTGCGACCCCTCACCACGGGGTTCATGGGCGGAGAGACTTCCTCCTCCCGGGAGTCCGACCTGGAGCCGGACCTCTGCTGCGCGGCGATCTGCTGGGCCTCCTCCTGCAGGGAGACACGGTCAGACACCATCAAATGACCAATCCAACCAGGCCAGTGATTAAAGGCTCCTCTCATGTCTCCACCTTCTGCAGTCTTTCGAAGTGGTCCCTGAGAAAGTTCATGGGCCGGTCGGGCCGGGCCGTGCACAGCTGGATGATGCATTCCTTGAGCAGTTGCTGGATGTTGTGTTTCTGGACGTACTGCTCACACTCTTGGAGGCTCCGTTCCTCCTCGCTGCTCGTACTGCTTGATGCCATCCTTGTGTTGCGAGCTTGACGGAGATGAGGCAGTAACACAGTAACAAATCAGGAAGCTGTATTATGTCGTTCTGAGTACATGTGCAGCAGTTAAATGTTTCCTGGGACTGAACAGTCTATTCGCATGTCTTCATATTGTGATATGAAGACATGCGAATAGTTACCAATAAAAAGAGTTCACTGAGGTGATCATTTACTGTGCTAAAGAAGCTTCAGAAGTCTATCGGTGTTCATAAAGTCATTGCTCTTTAAGAAAAGGAAGAGATTTATTGTTGTGTAAATATAAAAAAGCAGTTAAAATGTTATTTTTTAAAAGGTTAACTGCTGCAATGGGTCGCTCGATATGGATGTGTGCGTGTTTGACAGAGAAGGGGGGCTGGGTGGGGGGGTCAAAGGATGTGCAACAGCCCTGCGAGGCAAATATTTAGATTTTGGACCATAATCTGAGTCAAATATAATCGTTAAAATGTGATGATTTAAGATGTTCTGATGAGAGTGCACCAGCTATTAGATGGTGCTATTATGCATGCTATGTTTACATGAAGAAGATGCAATCATTGAATGTACTGCAGTATTAACAATGCTACAAAAAAGGATAATTAAAAGGTGGACTCTTAAATATTCGATCTGTCATCAAAAGGTATTTTAGTGAATGAACTAATATCAGATCACCATGTTGATTTATTTTGTCTTAATGAAATGTGCTGTCGAATGGAGAATATTTTAGCTTAAATGAAGCGACTGCAAGTCATGTTAATACTCATATTCCTCGAGGCACAGGCCCAGGAGGTGGAGTGTCAGCTATTTATGACTCCTCAAGATCCTTATTCAGAAATTACATGTGAATTTTTAGTTCTTAGCAAGTTTGTAATTATTATGGGTGTTTTTAATATTCATGTAGATAATAACAATAGCCTCTGTACTGCATTTATCTCATAGATTTAATTGGTTTCTGTCAGAGTGCTCATCTAAAGGAGAATGATAACTAGAAGGAAGTTTGGATGCAGATGTGGCCCCTTATACAACTTTTTCCTTATTACAAGCCCCTCGGTACATACCACGCCCCTCCCCACGGATGCCCCGCCCCTATCAATTGTGCCGCCCCCACGCCACATCAGGGCCAAAAGTCTGAATGTAAAAAAATGTAATCCGAAAGTGAAAAAAAGATTTGACACTTGAAAATATAAGATTTTAATTTGAAAATATCCAAAAAGGAAAAATATAATTTAAAAAGAGAAAAAAACACGCTGAAGAACAGCGTCAAAACTATATGTTGTGTGTGTATATACACATTTATATGTGACGTAATAGCATTTCTGCAGTGGCTCTCTGTTAAATCAAGAACGGAATTTGAGGTAACGGTACTTCTCACATACGAGGCACTACGAGGTAACTTACCGCCGCATCGTAAGGAACTTATAGTTCGTATAATAGTGTCACAGACTGTTAAATGCACTGCACGCTACTGCAACGGGGACATGGCACAAACACTGTTGTGAGACCGTTCGGAGCGGGGATCAGAACCGTGAACAATGGGGAAAGGAACTCTCAGGTACCGTTGTGAACGCAGGTGATCGTTAGCGTGCGTTCAATGCGACGTGCTAAACAGCTAGCGTTAGCTTCAGCAGCTCACTTAGCGCTAGCGTTAGGGTAACTAACGTTACTTCCGCATTCCTATGTAACGTTACACGTTAGCAAAGGACGCTTCTTGTCATCAACGTGATACCAACACAGTCACGGTAATTACACCGTGGGGTGTCTTATGATTAGATCGCCATGTTCAAAAGTAACCACTTAATTCAGCGCTAGCTTGGCGAGCTAACCATATACATATAGAAATAATGGCAAAACAAAGCGTAACAGACACAAATGAGTGAGACGCTTTGAACAAATGCACTTACAAAAAGTGTAAAGACGAATAATTCAGCCCGAAAACTACGTGAAAATACTCACCGAAATTGAAAAGACGTGAGCTCTGTTTTTTCTTCTTGTCAGAAGAAAACCACCACTTCCGCATGAAGGTTTTTCACAATAAAAGCGTCTTCTTACAAAATATAATGTCCAACACTGAAATTGATGTGAAAACGTAAACAAATGGCCTACTAGTACACATTCCATACATGGCAGGTCTGATTAGTCACCCGAGAGAAAATAGATCTGGTCTGATGTTATTAATTGCTCAATGGTAAATAAGATAACAACAACAACAACAACAACAACAACAACAACAACAACAAAATAAAACAAATGTCAGTATTGACCCCCCTGGATTGTTTCCCATTTTGTACTGTTAAAAATAGATTTTTTTCCATTTGCTCAACACAACATGCATAGTACTTTGAACGTACAAAATACCTTTTATTGTGACACAAACAATAATGAGAATGAAAAGTTGACTTTTCTTCACCCCTCCCAGAGTCAATACTTAGTAGAACCCCCTTTTGCTGCAATCACAGCAGCAAGTCTTTTGGGGAATGTACTTTGCAAATCTAGAGATGGAGTTGTTGTGTAGCTCTGGCTGTATGTTTAGGGTCTTTGTCCTGCTGGAAGAAGAACCTCTGCCACAGTCTTTTGCAGACTGCATCATGTTTTCTTCAAGGATTGCCGTGTATCCACCTCCATCCACCTTTCCCTCATTCTGACTAGTTTCCTGTAGCTGCTGAAGAGAAGTCAGTGCTGACAGTCCGGGTGCTGCTGGTGATTTATCCCAGGTTCACCTGCTGGACAATGGTGATTAACAGCAAGCTGAATTCCACAAACAGATCCCGTGAACATGGTGAGTCGAGGGGATACGTTCCCATGTTGACTGCATCATCCACCGACCTGTTTGTCCAGTATGCAAACTGTGATGTTCCTCAGGCAGGTCAACACCAGCTTATCAATAGACTTCAAGAGTAGTCCTTTAACCTGTAGTCACCAGTAATCCTGCGATGGAGGATTTCTTGGGGTGGAGCACTGGAAGCAGCTGTAGTGATTGCGTGAAGGGGGGGGGGGGCACCTGGGCAGTAAAGTGGGCTGATTGAACTCGCAGTAAAGAATTCACGTTCTAAGACACAGAGAGGCTATTTTCAGACATCATCTCTGTTTTAGCTTGGAGCACTTTATTGTAGTAAAATACTATATATAAATACATCAATATTTACAAAACCAACTCATTTATCAAATATATTTGATTGGCCACCCACTGGACTTGGTGTGTATATTTCAGCCTGTTTCTGTGTCCTGCTGGTTCCTAACAACAAACATGCCCGACACAACATGCTTGCTCAACAGATATTTGCAGACACACCCACTTTTCCTTCCCTCCCTTGAGCCAGAGCACAGTCACTTCCTTCACCAGCCTCATTCGTGTCGACTGCCCAGAGTCCACGAATACACCTCTGCACCTTCAACCTAACCACATATACAGAGCACAGGTAAGAAGATCTCTGTTTATGTCATATGTAATCAGCTGGCGATGTTTGGATCACTTGTGATCTCTCCGGTCCGTTTAGCAAAGGCAGTGAAAAACCATCTAATCGGTCTATTAGATCATTCATAGCAAAGGTGCAATGTACCTAAATGTACCAGTCAGGAATCATTTTAGACAAGATATTTCAAACTGAGAGGAAAAAATACAGACCTACCAGTTAAATTGTGTTTGTACAGTGTGCACCACACCTGATAAAGGTGTAGCCGACTGTTATCTCAACGTCATTACTCACGCAGCTAACAACCAGTAAAGGGACAATTGTCCTCTTCCACGCATACTTAGAGTCTGGACTTAAAGCAGATATCCCACTTCCCTGGACCCTAAAATATCCATTACACATTGATTAAACAGGTCTAACACCCCCTACTTCACTAACCCCTTAATCCACTGCTCACATCAACAAACTGGTGCTTTGTGTGTAAAGTCATGCTGCTCGACAAAATGTCTCCCTGTCCTCATCCTGGGATTTGCAGATCTACATTCCAGCAGCCTCCCCTGTACCTGCTCAGACATGTCGCTCTACAGCTTTGGCCTGGAGCCACTCTCGTGCCACACCTGGAACAAAGACCGGACACGTAGGTGTAACACCAAACAGTGTGCATATGCACATGTGCAGCACTCAGTATTCTTTGTTGTTTGAGGGTTGCATACAGGACGGGACAACGTTTGTAATGTAGATACGTTCCTTCTCTTCTCTAATTGCATTAATGTTGCATGGAGAGCCGCAGAGAATCTGATTATCAAAGCAGGAAATGGACGCAAAGAGCTTTACTGCATCTGACTGCACCTCATAGCAGGATATCTACTGCTGTTTCTGCACGTGGTGTTGCCATTTTGTTGAACTCTCCAGTAATTTGAACTTGTTCTACACACTTAACATCGTGCCTCTCTACATTTAAGGGAGGCAGTAATTCTGTTAAGTTCTTCATTCTGTACACTGGACATCTACTGCACCCTGAAGGGCCCATGAGAAGGTCCTTAGCTTGCAGCTACTGGGTCATAGACCACATTTCAGTTTGGACCTGATGATGGAGCGAGAAGGAAATTCAGTTATTTGTTATTCATTAGTAATTCAGTTAAAGTTCTTACAGACTCATTTCATATCATAATGTGGCGTGCGGTATGCAGTGTACATTCCTGGTATGTTCATCCTCCTCAGATGAATGAAAACACTGAACCCCAATGAGCTAATACTATTGGAATTGTCAAAAACAGACATAACAGAGGACGGGTTCCAGTCCCGGGACGGACAGCAGTGCAATAGATGTCATGTGTACAGAATGCACTACAATACAGTCCAGAGCTTTTAATGTGCAGTCTTCTGATGAACACGACACAACTCAAATGAAATGCGAGGATCCCTTTAACCGCTTTATTTAATCTTCTTGCTATTCATTCTGCACACATAATGACTAAAGGGGGGATTACCACGGCATATTTATGTATCCATTCAGAAGACTTGATCACATAAACAGTAACACACTGCGCATCATTACTCTGCAGGTGGAGACCAGGTCATATTCACTACCTCTTGTGTTGCTAAGATGAAGTGGTTGAATGCCTAACACCTCTGCACACATATTTCTTTGCAGAGATCGCAGTGAGTCATAACAACAATGTGGTAAACATCTACGAGAAGAAAGGCAAAGAGTGGGTGAAGACCCACGAGCTGACAGAGCACAGTGGACGGGTCACAGGTTCAGTAACTTACATCAGCTATCACAGCAGCAATGACTGATTGTTGGATGGCATGTGGCCGATTTAACGTACATTTCAGCGAGCAAATCAACGTTTGTAGTAACTTACTTTAGTTTATGGTGGAAATCATTAAATTGTGTTAATCGGTATCAGTATCCACAGCCTGATATGACTTGAAAGCAAAGGTGGGATACATTTCCTGAGCTTCCTCGTAACGTCCACAGGCATCGACTGGGCCCCGGAGTCCAACCGCATCGTGACATGCGCCTCCGACCGCAACGCCTACGTGTGGACCCTGAAGGATGGCGTGTGGAAGCCCACCCTGGTCCTGGTGCGCATCAACCGTGCAGCCACCTGCGTGAAGTGGTCCCCTCTGGAGAACAAGTTCGCCCTGGGCAGCGGAGCTCGCCTCATCTCTGTCTGCTACTTTGAGAAGGAGAACGACTGGTGAGTGATGCAGGATCAGGTCCAAACTATTCCTGTTCATGTACTGCAGGTTTTAAAGGCCAACGTTATTTACTTCCATAGTGTTGGAGCCTCAGCCTGCCTGTGATAGCGATCAGCGTTAATGGGTCCGATGGTGCTCATGCAGTCCTACTTTTACTATTAACCTTACTAACATCTCGTCGTTTGAGTTTAAAAAGCAACAATAACTAAAGCACACACAGGTTGGACCAGTGGTTCTCAAACATTTTCTGTCATGACCCACTTTGTAGGAAGAAAAACAATAAAATCACTTTTAGGTAAACCACATTGCTCCATCAGAAAAAAACAAATAACATTTACAACCATCTTGTTACAACAATGCAAACAAATAAAAAGCAGCTCAGTAATTACAGACTATTTGTTGGTGGATAAATACTACAACTCTTAAAGCTCAGTCTCCCGGGCCAGTTAGCTGATGTTTAAAGGGCAGGCGCTTCGCTCCAACTAACTTTTAATATTTCTTTTAACTGTTTTATTTGAAACAAGGTCAAGTGGCTTTACTTTTCTTACCTCTTCACTGACACACAACTCGTCATAACATTTGCTAAGCACATACAGATGCAGGTTTTCACAGCCGTCCTTTCCGTTCAGGTGGCTGAGTAAGCACATCAAGAAGGCCATTCGCTCCACAGTGATGAGTCTGGACTGGCACCCCAACAACGTCCTGCTGGCCGCCGGCTCTGCAGACTTCCACTGCAGGTGACACGAGCAGCTAAACTGTCACGTAAAGGAAGGGAAGGAATGTTTTATTAATGTAAAGTGCCTTTTACTAGACACATTACATTCTCATATCTCCATTCATTCATGTTTCCCCTCCAAGCTGAAAAAGACGTCATAGTTATTATCATTTAGAAAAGTTTTGACGTCAAAGTTGTTCGCAGTTTGCATGACATATATATGATTAATGATGGTTTAGCCCAACTACGCATGATTGAGCAACACAACAGAGATTCATACTGTGCTCCTTAGGGTTTTCTCAGCCTACATCAAGGACATCGAAGACAAGCCTGGACCTACTGCTTGGGGGGCCAAAATGCCTTTTGGGGAGGTGCTGCTGGAGCACAAGGACTGTGGAGGCTGGGTGCACAGTGTCGCCTTCTCCCCCAGTGGGGACCAGCTGGCCTGTGTGGCCCACAACAGCAGCATCACCGTGGTGGACGCCGCCCAGGGGAAGGAGTGAGTTCAGCCGCCCCCACACACTTATTCCATCAGGGCGATTAGTGTCTCTATGCAGCTCAAATGGGGATGACGGATCTGTGCTTCCTTTAAGTGGATCCGCGATGAGGTGACTCACCAGACCAGGAGCACGTCATGGCTCCTCAGCAACTTTTCACTTTAGCTTTTTCTTGTTTTTAATGGCTGAAAACGTTTTTCACGTATATATTTCTCTAATAGATAAAATATCATGGGTTTATTTTGGTGTCATACCAATGCTGCCTTTCTGAACTCAATCCAGGGTCACCCAGCTGACCACCGACCGTCTGCCACTACTGAGTGTGCTGTATGTCAACGCAACTGAGCTTGTTGCTGCGGTAACTATCACCCCTCTGTGTGTGTGTGTGTGTGTGTGTGTGTGTGGGTCCTGCAACTTCAAGAATGATCAACTACTCGACTTGATTTAAACCTGCATTAATCAATCATTTTGTATTAATGATAATAGTCCCTCATAATGAGTGAGAAACACCACTCTATAACTCTACAGAGCCGTTTTAATAGAATCCCTTTTCTGTCAGGGTCATGACTGCTGCCCCTACCAGTTCACCTATAAGGGTCCAGGCGCCGTTGAGTTTGTGAAGAAGCTGGATATCCCCAAGCAGACCTCCAAGGGGGGCATCTCTGCCATGCAACACTTCCAGAACCTGGACAAGAGGGCCACCGATGAGGACAGCAACGAGCTGGGCACCCTTCACCAGAACAGCATCACGTAAGGGCTTCCACTGGACGTAGCATCAGCACCTCCACCTCTGAGGTACCACACAACAAAACAAGTAGAAACGTGTTGCTGTGGACTCGATAGCACCTTTATCATTTGGGCTTTGGCTCTTTTTACTGTGGTAAGAATAGAATGATAATAATAATTAATACATCTCCATTCATCTTGGACGTATGTTATGTTGACCAAATGAATACAGCTTTGAGTAAACCCTCAAAGTTGTGCTCAATCTTGCAAGTACACGTCAAGTAGCCATGACGGAAAGATCCGGAATGTGACTCAGGTCATGTGTTCTATTCCTTGGCAGGATGTAGAAATGCCCCTAAAACATCAGCCACTCAGCAGGTTGTCCTCCTTCCCGGTGGGGTTGTGTAGTGTGATGCAGAGCTAGAGCCTCGTGCACGTTGGACCTTTCCTTTATACCAGCTGCTTTATGACCTCATAAACATGGGGCTTGCTGGATGCACTATATGTATTGATGCTCTGGGTAACGTGAGAGAATTACTGTCCCTTAGTTTCACTTAAAGGGTCACTTAAACTTAAAATACTCTGGAAAATGAGGGGGACTTGGTTCGTACATCTACATGAATCAGGGAGCATGTGCACTATGCTGCTCTGTGTGAAACTCTGGGTGTCTTTGTCTTTAATTAGAACACCTATAGGGAAACTTCCATGGATGCATCTTTGTAAACCGTGTGTGCACGCGTTGTGTTGTGTTTTGCAGTCAGCTGTGTGTTGTGTCTGGGGAGAGAGCCAAAGTGCAGAAGTACAGCAGTGTGGGTCTGGATGGAGCCATGGTGATCTGGGATTTTAAGGTACAGGCGTCAAACACATAAGTGAAACCACATTTATTCCTTTTGCTGTAAAGATTTGTATCACTCAGTTTTACTATTATCTAATCATCTTAAGCGTTGAGCGACTTTTATTGGAGTTTATTTACTGTAATTGAAGGTGAATATTCTGTAAATAATCACATATCTATTTCTTTATTCTATTGAAAATGTGTCTCAACTGTAACATAACTGAGCAAAATCCATTTGCACGAAATGTGATTTAAAGTTTAAAAAACGAGAAGCATAAGTTCTGGTAACTACTGTTTGCTATGTTAGGAATAAAGCTCCACGCTCACGTATCACACTGACGTGGAACCTAATCACCTAATTTGTATCACGGTACAGAAATAACCTGGTACCCCAAAGGATGCACAGGACAACTCTTTCAAACTCCGATTTAATCTGTATGTTTGGTTCATGGATCCCATTGATCATTGGCTGTGTAAGCCCCTATTCAGGCCAATGGCAAAAAAGAACTTACCTTAGAAGCCCAAAATACCTGTGATCAAGCAAATGTTTTATAAAGCTATGAAGTGCACTTGGCCCTCTTAGAGAAGCGGATGAGGGAGTGATGGATCCCTGTGCTAGCAAAGGATGAGCTAACGAGAGTCAAGGATCTGAGAACACAGGACAGCTGAATTCGTCACTGAGTCACACACTCACAGAGAAGAGCAGACCTGGTTGGTTCATCAGGCCAAACAAATAAGTGTGCATTCACCCAGTGTCAGCTATCGGCTACAATGCAAACATGTAGCAACATCAATTCAATTTCACGCTTATTTTGTATTTGTTATTACAAATTTGCCTCAGCGGGCTCTACGGTCTGTATGCGACATCCCGTGTTTCCTGGAACCATCAGATGGGCAGAGAAAAACTCATGTACATCATCTCCTGAGATCAGTACAGCTGCGTGGTGCTTCCAACATGTTCTCGCTCTTTTTGTGCAGCATTGAAGCACCACTGAGGGGTCAGAGACTCAACCCCCAACCCCGGCATCAAACATACCTTTATGCAACATGACGGCCACCATGGAACTACTGAAGTGCTTCTGAGCAACTGGAAACTATATTTGTCAATGAAAAACGTTTTGGTAAATAAAGAGGATATTTACAAGGCAGACGATGTCTTGTCATGTTGTGTATTCAGTGTGTTGGTATTTGACTCATTGTACTGCATGTATTCATTTAGTCTATTACTTTATCTTTGTATCATCACTCCACTGCTGCTGTTGCTTCTGATGGATCACTGCACTGAACTGACCCATCAGTTAGCAAGGATTCATGATATGTTAATGTGGTACAGTAACGTCTGCTGTAACATTGGTTGTGCTTTCTAAAGTTGGAGAAAATACTACTGATAACATCCTCAGGGTTGTCAAACTGCCTGATGTCCAGAGGGAGGTTACTGCTGTCAGGATCTCCGATCCCCCCGAGTCGGTTGATGAGAAGGATCCAGCACGTTGGTCAATTAAAGTCAAAACATTTATTTAGAAGAGAAAAAGATTACGTGAGCAATTCTCTGCAGATATCTGTCTCTAACTATTGCTTGCAGCAGGAGGTCCAACACACCAGCACGTGTCTCAGCGCCCGGTGTAATGGCGTCGCCGAGCAGTAAAAACGCTGAGTTTTTATACACTCGAAGACAGTTCTTAGTGCCAGTTACGAGAAGCCACAAATCAAGTTGAGATAAGAACTCAGGTGGAGCTGAGGGTAACACACAATGCTCCTCTGATCGAAGGTCTGTGAGAGCAAGATGACCCCCTTCCCCAAACACAGCTGCAAACCCGAAATGAGTGTCTCCATCTCAGGGTCAACCACTGCGACCCGGCTCTTAGCACCGGACACATGTTTACATCATGTTTTACCACTACATGCATCTCACACTGCTAAAAGTACTTCATGTACCTCTGAGTTGAACAGTAATAAATGTACCCTTTGAGATGAGGTCTAAAAGTACTTCATGTACCTCTGAGACGTGATGAGTTGTGTTTAGAAGAAATCGTCTCCACACCGCCGCCCAGCGTCTGTGATATCGGGCCAATCCAAAGACTTGTCACGTGATCTATCACGTGATTGGACAAACGAAAAGCCATTTGATCACATGCACGCTGAACCGGAGTGATCTCTTTTGATTGAGGGCCCGGACCCGTGTTTTTAGACCGTAAACACGCTCGTGTTTTTGTGTATCCTGTGTGTTAGCGACGCGATCACAGCCCGAGTGGACGGACACACGTAGAACCCGCTCCGCTCCACCAGCCAATGAAAACACGCCATTCAACCAGCGACAGCGGGTTTGGGCGCCAACCAATCGCAAGGGGCGGAGCGGTGACGTCGGCCGTCAGCTGTTCTTGTTTTGCTTCAGTGTTCCTCGTCCCTCCTCCAGGTTCTGGACGAGCGACGTCCGCAAGCAGCCGCGGTGAAACGGACGCTCCTCCGCGGCTCTTCTTCTCCTCCGCGGAACACATTTCTGCCAAATTGGAGTCGTCTTCCGCCGAGATCGAGCGAAGAGGTGCAGCCGATCCCGGGCCTCCAATCCAGGGCGGGCGGAGGGAAGGAGGACGCTGGGCATCGGGATGGAGACCGCAGACGGTGCCGACGGGCCCGGCGGGCCGGACGCACCCGGGATGCAGTTCGGCTGCGCCTCTTTCAACCAAGACTCCACGTAAGTAAGCAGGACCCCCCCAGCTGGCGTGTCCACGAGACACCCATCCGCCTCATTTCTCCCCGGGAGCGAGACCAAGCATACGATCCGCCTTCAAAAGGTGTCTTTGCTCACCAAAGTATTACATCAGACTTACGTTCTCACGTTTGACACATCACAATGGAAACCTCAGGAGTGTGAGCCAGTGACCCTAGTGAGGTCATACTGATGTCATCGAGGCGTTTTTGTTTTTCCTTATGGGAGTTTGGAGCTGTCGATCGGACTTGTTCTAGTGGGCCTCTGCTGCACAAACCCTTCATCAAGCCGACTGTTTTCATTCAAGTGTCAGGCCTCTAATCTGCAGCTGTAACCAAGGTAACATCTGTAATAGCAGCTCTGCTGGATCACTGGGGTGCTTCAATGCCATGCACGAGGACATGCACAAGAAACGTGATTTGCATGTGCAGGTATGTGCATATAATTACGCATTCCTTTCCCAAATATCAAGTCTTTACTTGACAGAATGTGGAGCGGATCAGAGTAAAATATGCACGTGTCACACGCTCAGTTTGTTCAGAAGGTGCAAGGCGTGCGGTCCCGTGGGTTGACACGGTAAAGGAATGTTAAGATCATGGCGGAGGAAGAAGACACAGGTGGCCATTAAGAAAACAACCACCGTCTCAGACAGGACAAACCGTCAGCTTGGACTACAAGCTAAATATGACCTGTTAACATGTATGTCACATGATCATTTCATCCAGAGGAACAAGAGAGCGTTAACAGACGTTGTGCTCCTGTGTTCCTCATTGGTAGGAGACCCTTTAGCATCACACCACAGCACACCAGATTTCATCATATCACACCAAATCACAACACACTAGCGAGTATCAATGTTTGGAACGGATCCGGGCAGCCACGGGTACCGCCCAAGGGAGCGTAGCAGCGATGTAGTGTGGCTGCATTTAGGCTGAAGACCAGTAGAGCTGCTGCATTCTTGATGAGGTTGGCTGGCACTGGCAGGTAGAGCTGCTAGGAGGGAGTTGGTCACAGCCCATAGCCTGTACGGGGATGCATTCTCCTGATGTATCTACAGAACTTGGTGTTGCTGTAATGTTGGCAGAGTGTCACACTAAGGTTAGGACGCAGCTGTCAACGGTAACAGACAGGTGGTTGATGGTGTTAGGGATTTAAGTGGAAGAGCACCCCTAGTGGTAGAAATTATAATACGTGTAATAATCTTTAGTGATAGAATTGTAGTGTGTGTGTGTTATTAGATATTAGTTATTACATTAGCTTGTAAGATGAAGTGAATGCAATATGAATCAACACAATGTATAGTCATGTAAATCATATAAACACTGTACACATTAACATTCTGTCACAATGTGATGGTAAAACCTGGGGACGGATGCTAAGTCCCGTCCTTTATGGATTTCTCCCAATTTTATCCCCAAAGAGGCTTTTTGGGGAGAGTTTTTCTCCTGTCAGGTAGTAGATGAGCAACTGAATGCAAGACAGCCGAGTGACGCAGATATCTTGAGTATTTCACCACATAAACTGTGTTAAACCTTATGATGAACTGTGATCATTAATGATGTGGTGTAATTAAGGTGTAAGATGAAGACAAACTATGCATGCTTTGTTATATTCACTCATTGAGGCATAAAGCCAAATGTATCTACATTGAGTGTATTGGAATGTGAGGGACAGATAAGACAGAGAGGTTTCAGGTTACAGCTTCACACCTGGACGTGAAGGGGACAATCCAGGAGGAGACACGTTTGAAGGAGAAGCCAATGACATTCTAATGCACCCAAGAAGACACACCTCAGGAGTTTTCAAATGACCAAAGTGGGGAAAGGACCGTTAGAATTTTCCTGCAGCAGTTCTGATAAGTCACTTTAGACTTGCTCAGAGAATTCTCTATTTCGCAAAATATTTTACTATTTGCATTGTATTTCACTTTGTAATTATATTCCTTATCACTTTGTTATTAAATACTTTTAGATTTTTAAATTTGAGCCAGATGACTCTTTTGATTCATAGAACAATGGAGTGTGATCTCCCTTGAGAGCCCAACGAACCCCCCAACAATGGGTGAGCCTGGAAGGAAAATAATTTCAGTCTTGGTTAATCTTCAGGAAGTTTGCGGCCATCCACTGAGAGATGTCAGTCAAACAGGCGGAGATTTATTCTTGTACCGGTGTCTCAATTTGGGGAAAAGACAAGTTATTAGTTGGATGTCATCAGCAAAGCAATGGTAGGAGAAGCTATATGAGTGGATTCAATTCAATTCATTTTTTATTTTGTGTAATCCAAAATCAGCCTCAGAGGGCTTTACAGTCTGTACACATGTGGCATGCTCTGTCCTGAAACCCACACATCGGCACACGGAAAGCTTCCCAACAAATGAAAAGCCCTTCCATGGTAAAAAGGGAAGAAACCTGAGGGAGAAGGAGGAGGATCCCCTCCTGGGATGGACAGACCACAATGGATGCCACGTGTACAGAATGAATGTATAATACATTCAATTCCTATGACAGAAATGATTCAAATAATTGTGAGTAGCAAGCCAGGAAAGACTTAATGACTTAAAGGAAAGGGTAATGTCGGTTTATGATGACAGTAATAGTAATAAGGAGCGCAGTCTTTGTTGAGTGGCATCAAGCCTGACTGGTGAGGGTCAAGAAGTTATCACGTGTCCATCATAACTTGGGCCACTTCGGACCAAATTAACTACTACATGTCTACAACAACTCAAAACTAGTTAGTGAAAATATTGAAGTTGGCAAAGAACTTATTGTGAGGGTTGTTTGACTAGAACTTTAGCCGGTTGCCCTGTTCCCAATAGAGCTCACGTCTTCTACACCACACATTTCACCACCGGTGGGCTGCCTGGTGAGAACCTTGTAAGTGTGCCCATGAGGAAGCGAATTCCGAAATGTTCAGTTGCCCTGCAACAGAATGAGACGCAGACACATTTTATCCCCATTGAAATAAAGTAACTAAAGCTTTAAATGTGTTCTAATTGTGGTGGTGACTGAGTGTGTGTATGTGTGTGTGTTGCAGATCCCTGGCTCTGGGAACAAAGACTGGCTACAAGCTCTTCTCTCTGACCATGGTGGAAATGCTGGACTGTATCCATGAGAGTGGTTAGTATGGAGCTCTTACTCTGCATCAGGGGGGGCCAAACATTACTGTTGACATGTCAACATCAGACCAAGTTTCTTGACTTTAAAGGAACACATGGTTATGAAACACCTCAGGTTACTCACAATGCCCAATCTGTATTCTGTTGTTTCTCCAGTTACCATGTTGCTTCATGTCACCCCTTTCAATACATTCTTCATAAGCCTCAGAGTGAGAAGGAGACCACAATGAAGGGACCTAGGATCTCGACCAATTAAACGCACAAAGTGAAAGCGTGTATTTTATCCAAAGTGTTGTATTATAGTATTAACGACAAGTTTTTGCTGCTTCCAATTTCCTACATCCAGCAGGCAAGAGCTGACCTCAACTGGTGGACGTTTCAATCGTTTAAAAACTCTGTCAGAGCAGCCTTCTACCTTTCCATGACGGTAATACAAGGGTCAACGTTTTACACGTACTCGCTCTAATGAAGCTTGAATACTACCAGGATCTTCTGATCGAGAGCTAGTGGTTCAGAACGTCTCTTCTCAGGCACTTCGCCTTTGAATGAGGCCAAATGGACCAGATCCCAACCCCCCGTCTTCAGACATGCCAAGTGGTTTCCACAATCTGAACAATGCACCGATAAATATCAGATATCGGGCCGATACCGACTCAAGTATCTGGAAGGAGTATCGGTCACAACAATGTCAATTTAACTATTTAAATACTAAATACACTATATATGGAAATCTTACACTTGAAGTGTAAAAAAGGTTAATTGAATTGAACCATTTATTTAAAAAATAAGAATTTCAGTAAACGGACATCTAAGTATATATGAATGTATGCATGTATGCTTTAAGGGAGTAAGTCAGGTCCGATGTTACCTTCCAAATAATGAATTCAGTGAAACACAGAGCTTATTTATGAAACAGTGGTATCTGATTATACTATTATCTATACTATATCTGTACCTGAACTGTTAGCAAACCTCTGCCGCCTTACTGGTCATGTAAGTTTCTCCATTTTTAGAAAGCCAAGTTGTTCAGACAATATTAGTTTAAACCTCAACCCTCTTAACCTTTTCTATTGGAGGTCTCAAAGTCTGCAAAGATGCCAAGCAATCACTTCTTTTGCTATCATTGTTAGTCTCTTACATCCACTACGGCTGTTATTATTAGCAGTCATTTCAGCAGAACGGGTTACCGCACTCAATATTTCAATCATTCCTTTTATATGCATTGAACACATTGTAAATTCTAGAGTAGATCCTCCTCCGCCGTTTCTTCCCTTTTTCTCCCCGTTGAAGGGACTTTTCTGTTCTGGGACAGAGGAGGTTGCATGTGTACAGACTGTGAGGCACTCTGACACTAATGTGTGATTTTGGGATATACAAAAAAAAAATAACTGAGGCAACATAGAATTTAATGTACCAACATCTAAGGTATTACCATTAGATGGAGCTGTTCACCGTGCAGCTATAATAACAACAACAAGTCAAAGAAAGTAAAGTATTACACTCCTCTCATCTTCAACCACTTATGCAGGCTCAGGTTGCGGGCGCTAATCCCAAGGCCAGTTTGGAGATGTAATTCCTCCACCTAGTCCTGGATCTCCAGCCTCTTCCCAGCTGGCTGTGCCTGGAACACCTCCCTATAGGGAGGCGCCCTGGGGGGCATCCTCACCAGATGCCCAAACCACCTCAACTGGCTCCTTTCCACCCAAAGGATCAGCGGCTCTGCTCGAGCTCGCCACCCTATCTCTAAGGAAGACGCCACCCTATCTCCCGAGGAAACCCATTTTGGCCGCTTGTACCCGTTACCTAGTTCTTTCGGTCATGACCCGTCCTTCATGACCGTAGGTGAGGGTAGGAACGAAGATTGACCGGTGGATCGCGAGCTTTGTCTTCCGGCTCAGCTCTCTTTTTCGTCCGGTGCGGGAAAGCGAGTGCAATGCGGCCCCCTCTGCTCCGATTCTCCCGCCAACCTCAGTGTCATGTGGGGAAAATATCTCGAGTTCTAGCGGTTAGATGGGCACGAAGTCAGCATTAAAGCAGCGTCTCCATCACTCCCTGTATTCCCCTAGTAGAGACTGCAGATGTCTACATCGTAGAGCGCCTGTTCTCCAGCAGCTTGGTGGTCGTAGTGAGCTCCGCCATGCCGCAGCGCATGAACATCTACCACTTCAAGAAGGGGACGGAGATCTGCAATTACAGCTATCCCAACAGCATCCTGGCTGTCAAGCTCAACAGACATGTGAGTTACCCCGTCTCTCACCCACAACCCTCACATTTAACCCCGTACCCCATAATTCATCAGAATTACAAAGTGAGCTGCTCAGTCGAGGTCTTCACATGTTGCTGAATTCTTTTTTTTTGTACCTAATCTGAAAAAATTGTGAACGCTATTCCCTCAATCTAAAGCAAAGTCTTGTTGAGCTTAAATGGACCCTCATTTACTAAAAGAATGTCAAGCTCCATTGACGAATGTTTGAAACTAGAGATAAAGGCCGTAAAGTCTCAAATGTCCAGTTCAATACAGCCGACGACATATTCTTCAAACTGTTCATACAAAGTTGATTGCTTTGCTCCACGTCTCATTCCTGCTCCAAAGAGAAACATCTCCATAAGCATTAGAATCAAATGTGATTCATTATTCATGCTCCCCTAGCGATAAACTGTAATACATTTTCCTCCTGCGCCGTCATCAGGTCAACATGTTTATGTTTCAATACATTGGTGTTTAACCCAAACTTAAATGTATTTAATCAGAAAAGGCTGATTTATGATCACCTGGAGGGAACGTTAAATGCATCGGGAGTTCACTTCTTACCCTTTCTCTTTCTCTTCACAGAAAGTGAAGTTGAAATATAAAATAAGTTTAAATCTGTTACTATGACGGCGGGCCTTTCACTGGTAGAAGTCAACTGTCATGCCTCCACTGTTACACTAAGCATGACAGGGTGGTCCTCATGTGAGGACTGAGGTGTGCTCTGTCTTGCAGAGGCTGGTAGTGTGCCTTGACGAGTCCATTTATATACACAACATCAAAGACATGAAGCTGCTCAAGACACTGCTCAACACTCCGTCCAACCCCTCAGGTGAGACGTTCAAACACCAGGTCATTCCTGGTTCTATATATTATAGAACACAACCAAGCGATGGTTGCCTTTCTTGACTCACCTGGACACTATTGCTTGTGTCCCCTCGCAGGTCTCTGTGCTCTTTCTATCAACCATTCCAACTCCTACCTGGCGTACCCCGGCAGTGCCACCATTGGGGAGATTGTAGTATATGATGCCAACAATTTGGTAAAAAACATATCACAGAACCCCTCAAATAACCAGTGTTCTTCCCTGATTTCTAATGCTCAGACATCTTTATCACTGTTACATTGTTCATTGATCTCTGCAAACCATCTCTGTAGTGCCGTAGTGCTGTACTCCTCTGTAGAAATCTGTCACATCTGGACATTAAATCAGTTTAGAGTGAGGCTATTTCTTTCTGTGCCCTTCATCATCCTCTTCGTCCTTCCAGAACACCGTGACCATGATCCCGGCTCACGACAGTCCTCTGGCAGCGCTCACCTTCAACACCTCAGCCACCAAACTTGCCAGTGCCTCAGAGAGGGTAAAACACACTTATGGCGCGTTTCCACCGAGCGGTACGGGTCGGTACCCTTTTATTTGTGTCTCCACTGCCAAAAGTTGAGAATGGTACCAAAAATCCGAACCGTACCACTTTTTGGGTACCCTTCCGTTGGGGTACCTGGCACAGTTCTTTGGTACTAAAGGGCGGAGCTAGACTCACTGCAGAGCGTTGATTGGTTGAAAGACTGTCGTCATTTGCGCAAGGGGAAAGACAACACACGAGGCGCCATTTTTAAACTACAACATCATCGCAACAATGTCGCCGCGCAGCATTACTTAACCGTGGTCAAGCTTTATCGAGAAGCAGGAACAGGATCGGCTGTCTGTCCTCCATTGTTGTTTGCGGTTAGCTTTCAGTTTTCGCGCGATCGAATGACGTCAATCTACTTTCCGTCATATACCACGCCTATCAAGTGACCTTATCACTACTTTCTGGAATACATCACACCTATCAAGTAAGGGTACTGTTGGCGGTGGAGACGCTCGCCAAATCATGGTTAACAGACCTGACCCGTACCGACCCGACCCGTACCGTACCGCTCGGTGGAAACGCGCCATTACTGTACATGTAGCAGATAAAGTAAGCTGGTCCATCCATCAATTTGGTCCAGTTATGGGTGGTAAGGGGCATTGTGACCTGCTGACCTCTGATTTTCATTTGTCTCTGACTGGCACTTTCATCCATGTAAGCTCAGAAGCAGCGACCGTCTTAATCCCTTTGTCAGTATCTCCATCTTTCAACCAAAAGGTGACCTTTGTGCAGTTTGAACACATTATTGCAAATGACTGCAGAACACTACGTCTTTTGCCCAAACGCCAGTGCATTGTGTCTTTCTTTCAGCCTTTTTATTATTAGATATTATACTACAGGTAGATGAAATCCAGCGTTCTGATTGGTTGAGAGTGAGTCACGGGGGCTACATTATTGAGCGATAATGTACAGTTGCGGTTCACATTGACCCGAGCGTTCGATATCACTGCGCACTCAAAGTAGCAGGTTAGATTTTGCGCGACCGTTAATTTAAATAAAAGCTTTTAGCTCGGTGGCGCCGAAAACCCCCTGAAAAACCACGAATGATGGGTTTCGGGCAACGCAAGCTTTTGCAACCGGACAATTAAGGTGGACGTCATGGCCGATGTGAACAAATTAGATGGTGCAGGACCCAATGCTGCGTTTGGTGGTTAATACTATTTTGTGCTGAAAGGCAGCTATTTACTTACTATTTATAATTCCGCTGGTAACCGTATAAGCAATAAGGTACTTGAGGCAGTACTTTATCTTCAATAATTCGAGGGTTGCCAGCGTAACAACACCCCGAACTGTTACATTATTGGACAATAAAGTACAGCCTCTGGTACCTTATTGCTTTATTAGAGCATCGTTGCCTCAAGAGATGTTCATACAATGGCATTTTTAAGAGTGTTAGGGTTGTTTGAGGTACTTATTTGGAGTTTGGAGAAACAGGCAGAGTTCGGTTGTGTTTATCAGAACATGTTTCCTTCTCAGCTGTCTGACAGCACGCTAAAGCAGGCCCGATGACTCCCCACTCGCTGTGTGTCGTTGCAGGGCACCGTCATCCGAGTGTTCTCCATACCAGAGGGGCTGCGTCTCTTTGAGTTCCGCCGGGGCATGAAGAGGTCAGAGTTCAAACACATCCTTTAAGATCTCCCCCCCCGTGTCCAAAGAATGAACGCAGCTTAAAGTGACTAGATCACCGTTCCAAATACATGTCATTCTCACAGTGCTGAGGCCACCCACATCTCCTGGGGACTTAATAACATATTGATGACTGAATTTTAAATTGCACATGACCTTTGATTTGATATTGATATTAACTGATATCAATATCATTTGATTAATCCTAGTATGTGTGTTTCTCTGCAGGTATGTCAATATAAGCTCTTTATCCTTCAGCCCTGATGGTCAGTTCCTCTGTGCGTCCAGCAACACAGAGACGGTGCATATCTTTAAACTAGAGCAGTTGGGACCAAGGTACAAACACACGCACTTTAAACACAACACGCCTAACCTTTACCCGTGTGTGTGGTCACTATATACAACGATATTCCCACCCGTGTTTTAGTACTGATGATCACATTGTACTGCAAAGTATAATCGTAGTTAGGATGAACTTGCTACTCTGCGTTCAGTGGAGTGGACGAGGCTGGCACGTGGACGGCCTACGTGGGGAAGATGTTCTCGGCAGCCAGCAGCTACCTCCCCGCTCAGGTATCCGGCATGATGAGCCAGGACCGGGCCTTCGCCACCGTCCACCTGGTGACCTCGGGCCAGAGGAACATCTGCACCCTAGCTATGTGAGCTTCTTTGGGGGTTGGAATGGGCCTCTGGCACCCAACAATTTCATCCAATCCTTTCCGTGCTCACTGACGCACTATTTGTGTATGTTCTCATTCCTGATCCAGCTATGAGCGATGCACAAATGGGCTTTACTGCACACTATTTTTAGGGTTACAAGGTGTAAATAAATCAGTTGCGCTTACCGTTGTGTTGGACATCTGTGAATGCTTATGGTTTAACAACTGACACGGTCACTCAATGTAATGTTCCAGGATCCAGAAGCTTCCACGTCTACTGGTGGCTACAGCTGACGGCCAGCTGTTCGTCTACAACGTGGATCCACTGGATGGAGGCGAGTGCACGTTAGCCCACAAACACAGGTGAGGCTCCAATTCATTAATCATTCATTAATTTCTTTTGATTCATAAATCACCAGTAAAATAAGAAAAGAACAGCTGGCAGACATATTTTACAGCGGATTTGTTAACATTTCCAGCATTAATGAATCATTTTACGATACCAAAAGTTGGATTCTTCAAAAGAGAAGCTAAATAATTATATTAAAAGGTCTAAATGTTCTATAACAGGCTCATTAGAGAGTGGACATTCTTGGGACACTATGCAGAATATGGGCTTTGGGAACTAATTGTGTCCTAGATATCATAGAATCAGAATCAGGAGCCATTTATTTTCATGTATGTTGCACATACAGGAATTTGTCATGGTGGATGGTGCAATAAAAGGAGACCATAGAATAAAATAAGTTATCGCTTGAATTTGTGCAAAAAATTCAAACGGGTCAGGAGCTGAGTCAGTCTATTATAGACTATATTCACAGAGCAAACAATAACAACCACTTTGGACACAAAATAGAGAATTTAAGAGTTAGAGAGTATTTCACTAACAGTGAAAACTAACAGTGAAATCCAGAGAAACACATAAGAAGTTAACTGCAAATCTCTGCACATTATTATTTGTCATTCTAGCGCTGGAAGTCCACAATTTAGAAATCATAGGGCTGTTCCTTTTTGAGCCCGGTTCTTATTCAAGGCATTAAGGGTTTATTAAAGATATAAAATCTGTTTACAGAATAATTTGAAACACTTAGTTCTCAATCTGACTGAGCGTGAATACCAAAATCAGCCGGCTGGATTAGTGATGGTATCTAACTGCATGACGACCTCTCTGCCTAACCAACCAGCTACATAATCCTCTGCAAAACGCTGTTTGTTCACATATAGCTGGAGATGAGAGAAGGCTTGGTGATGTGGGTTTTGTCCCTCTGGACAAGGGATTTAATGTACATGGACATGTTGGACTGGCCAGTCCTCACCAGGAGAGCTAGACTGTGAAGCAGGTGATAATGACCGCTGTACAGCTCATGTAGATAACAAGATGACTGCTGATGCTCGGTGTGAATACAGAGGCCTGTAATCCGAGTCATGGTGAAACCAGTAAGACCTGCGCTGTTCTGTGTCCTACATCTGCAAACCAAGGTGTGCGACATTGCAGGGTTGTAAAACACGTGACTTTGCTTCATTCTTTAAAATGAAATGTGAGTCTGGAAGCCACCCGAGAAAAACAGGCTTGTCAAAAAGCCGGACTAAGTTGTGTTCTTTCTCCTGCGTTCACAGGCTTTTTGGCACTGATGATGACCAGGACGAAGTCGCAAAGACGGAAGGGTCAGAGGTCGCAGGCCCAGCGCAAACATGTCCATCCTATGCTGCAACCGCTGCCTTACCCGCCTCTGGTCCCATCACTGCAACTCTCACTGGTTGGTAGCTACACCCATTCCTCCATCTGTGTAGCATGCTGCCGAGCTAGCACAGTGTTTAACCAGGGGCCTTTCACTACCAGCTTTCCACTTTCTATGACTGTCCCAGCTTTATCTAAGGACCACTGCAATGCTGGAGAAGACATTTTAGATGGAAAATGTTACTTTTACACTGAAAGGCTTTAAAGAACAACTCCCAGACCAAGACTGTGGTAGCAAGCTGCCAATCACGGGTAGCCCTAAAGCAACACTGCTTCATGGTTTGACTCTAAAAGGACCATCATTTACTGAACGAACATGAAAAACTGATGAAACTAGAGATTAAGGCCATAAAGTGGAGGCATCTTCTCATAGACTTCTATAGATAGAAGAAGATGCTTTCGGACATAGTCGTTGCCGTTTGTTGCACTTTGCTTACTGAAGTCTTAACGCTGTTGAAACGGAGTAGATCTGAAGTCATTAAATGTTCTATGTTCTAGCCGTGATGATGTAGGCCTGTGCCATGTAAAGGTCAGGCTGCTCTAATGATGTGTCTGCTTCACCTGTTTTCACCCAGGATACTCTGAAGATGGCGGTGCAAAAAGAGGCGAAGTCATTCCAGAACACGAGTTTGCTGCTGGACCTGTGTGTCTAGACGATGAGAACGAGTTTCCTCCTGTGAGCACGCTAACTGTCAGCTGACTGCTATAGCTAGGTGTACTTTATAAGCATGCCCACAGCATTGCCACAGGGAAGCCAAACAAGCCGACTGACACAGTTCAGAAAAGGTGACCCCCCTTCTCCAAAAAGCAGTAGAATGATCTGCAATTGAGACCAGAGTGATGGTATAAATGATTAACTTTTATCCATTAATCAATATATGTCTGTCAGCGGTTCAATTGGCATCCACTGAGCTAAAGCTTGTGCAGTGCTAATACAACTGTCCTGAATGAATCCTTCCTTCATGAAGCCTCTGGTGATCAGTTGGTTCTGAAACAGTCAACTTTACCTCGGAAGATGAACTCTCATTTTATATTGTGGTATACTGAGAGATAATATATAGATCAATATGTAGTCCTCAAAAAATACTTTTGAGATTTGGCAACAATTGATACAAGCCTTGTACTTGTGCACACGGTGAAACCTGCAGAGACAGAAATGCATGTTGGGCTTTTTGATTAGAACTTTTAACTACTGTTATTCCACAGTGCAGCATTTAGGGGAATTGATTGGCCCGAAATAGAATAGATTTTTTGCATTACTATGTTTCATTACTGTGTAATCAATCACCTGAAACTAATTATCACTGTTTTGCCGCTAGAAAGAAAGATATTAATATCTACATGGGAGCAGAGAACCGGGTGCACCGCCATGTTTCTACAGGAGCCCAGAAAGGACAAACTACTGAGCGTAGAAGGAGACTTTCATGTGGTCTGAAGCATAGATATTATATATAAAGGCTAGATGTCTTACGGCGGACACGGCGGCCATCTTGGGAGGGAGAGCTCGCTCACCCATAACATTGTGTTGTTAGTGGTACTTTAAATAATAATAACTCAATTTTCAACCAATTTTCAACGGTTTGGTTTGTTATAATCGCCAGAGATGTAGTTATGTAGACACTGCATACTTATGAATAATGTTCTGTTTAATATCATTTTCGCATGATAATTATAATTATTCATAAGTATGCAGTGTCATAAACAGTGTTGGGCAAGTTACTGAAAATTAGTATTTAGTTACAGTTACTAGTTACTTCTTTTAAAGGTAATTGAATGACTTACCAGTTACTGTGTATCAAAAGTAATTAGTTACTCTGGAAAGTAACTTTTAAGTTACTTTTGTCTGCTTTTTAAATGTAATGAATATAAATAGTACTGAACAGTCAAGCACAATAAACATATTTTTTAGGCCTATTTTATTGTAATCAACAGGGCAACAGGCCTTCAAATCAAGCAATAGTACAAAAGTCCTTTTTAATACTTAACTTAATACAAAATAACTGTTTCAGGCATTTGCCTGAAGGCAACTGACTCGACAGTTGACAGGATGCATCTCATCTTCAACATACCGAGCAATCAATCTATTCACCTCTGCCCGGTTTATCGGCTGCACTGCAGTCCGTGTAAAGTGGAGCCGTGGTTGTTTGCGTGGAGCGGCGCCTGCAGTGTGGTATATTGGATCGAGCACTCAGTGCTCAGTGCCTGCGGTCTTTCGTCATGAGCGACGCGATGCTCTTTACATGCACGTACGGCGACTATTCTGTGACACACAACGTTTGGTGGCCACAACTATTTTGTGCTGACAGGCAGCTATTTACTTACTATTTGCCGGCCCTCCGCTTCGCGTCACAAAAGAGAGTAACGCGAGTAACAAACTCATTTCAATCATCAGCAAGAAGAATTCCGTACAGGAATTAAAGTACATTGCTCAACATTTGATCATTTAACACTTCAATACTACAAAATAGAGTTCCATCGTTACGTTAACCACTTGTTTCTTACCAACCAAACTAGCTTCCGATTCCTCCACAGTAATGACGTGTTTGACTCATATTTTCACACGTTGGGGATGATTCTATTACATTACATTACTGATTCTATTACTATTACATTACATTACATGTCATTTAGCTGACGCTTTTATCCAAAGCGACGTACAATAAGTGCATTCAACCATAAGGATACAAACTCAGAAGAACAAGAAACAAGAAAGTGCGATTTCCTCAAATAAGCCAATTACAATTTGCTATAGATAAGTGGTGTTATAAGTACAATTTAAGTGCAGCAGAGTTAAGGACAAAAGAAGAGTGCTGAATGGTTGTGTTTGACAAATGAATCATGCAGACAAACTAGCGGGTGTGTTCATGTGTTTTGGTAGATTAACTGGTGCCGAGACGGGACGGGAGGTGGCCAGGCTCGGCCCTCGTGAGGGGTACCAGGACAGATGGACTAACGACTGACAGACGCTGTGGGATGATCCTCAAAGAAACTGTATTTCAGCGTGCCAAGGTTTTTTTTTCCTTCAGAAACAATAATAATATTAACATTAACTTTTCAACTGAAGTTGACAAAAATTTGACCATGAAGTAGACGTCATGTGGGATCTAACCTAACAAGTGTGTTAAGATACACATCTGATTTTGTCAAAGCAGCAATAGTACCTCTAAACTTCCCTCCAGCTCATTGTCTGATGAACGTAGGAGATGCATGCTGGAGCAGAAATATAACCATAAGCATTTTCACTTGACAAATATTTGACTTATTTTCATTATTGCAGCAACATTTTTTTAATGTGTTTGTTAATACTATATTAGTTCACGTCCATGATAATTGATTATATAGTCATTTTTATTCTGTATTGTAATGACATATATGTATGCCTCCTGGGTGGATTCAGAGGGTGTTTTTGTGATGTTTGTTGGTCCCTAATTATCATTTGTAAAAGAGCAAAGTATTTTGCTAATTGCACAAGACCAAAACAAGTGAAAAACACAAAGAAATAAACCCATCGGAGTAAGAAAGAACCTATGCAAAGCAAAGAATTTCCCCAGTTGCATTTTCTTTTTCACACAACAGAGGAGCTGATACCGCAGATGTTCGTGTCCAAGGGTGTTTGTGGTTATTTACGCGACCTCACCGCGTCACGAAGACACACAACGTTTACAGTCACCTTTCATTCAATGTTACATTCTAGGCTGTGATTTATTACAACAGCGCACAGTAACTCTAAAGCCTAGTTTATGCTTCTGCGTTTTCAGAGAGACGCAAGGACACGCAGACGCAAGAGCCCCATGCGTGTCCCTTGCGTGCCTTTTCACACCTCCTTGCGTGCGTCGACCCATTTTTCTAGACTTCCGTTGGAAGCGAGATCTCTGCAAACGTCGCTTTGCCGGTCGAGAGGTGCACAAAGTCGTGGAGGAAAATACGGGACAAATGTGTCCTTGATGAAAAGCAGCAGTGTGGATGCACGGGGCAATAAAGTCTATGATAAATAAATAAACCAACCAACGACTTCCACACACAAAGACGTGACTCTCTAGGTCGTCTTCAACAAAACACGTTACTCCACCTGATGTTCTGTGAATTGCTCTGCAACACACGCAAGACTTTACAACCATGAATTGAAACGAGTGCGTTGACGCGGCTGTGCGTAAAGACGCAGAAGGATGCGCCAGCCTTTATTCATTCACCTTTACAGCCACGTCAGAGTGTGTAGTGAACAGTTTGTTAATCTTAACACGACGGTGTCCTACTAAATGCCTCTCCTGGCATTTATCTTTCCCTTGGGAGGATGCGTTCTCAAAGGGTTGCGTCATTGGAGAGCAGATCGCTGCTTCGCACACCGGCTGTGTGACGTCACTGCATGTCATGTTCAAAAGGCCTCCGACGCAGGAGTGAGTGGTACGTATGTGGATCCCTCGGTGTCTGTGTGTTGGTGCCGTGAATCAAGCACCAGAGAAGACGTCCACACTACTGCTCTTCCTCTTAAAACTCCCACGCTGAGCGCGCACACCACGCCGGCGCTGAGGGACCGGAAACGGATCCGTTTGATCGATCACGCCCACAGCCGCGTGCGCTACGTGATTGGTTCTTGGCAGTCGTGACTTGGCGAACTGATTATGACAGTTATGTGATACGTAATAGTTCCAGTCTGAGCCGCTGCAGGCTGCACAGAAGCACTGCGTGGACCTTCAGCGGGACACCCGCCTCTTCTGCCCGGTGTCTGGACCGCGCGGTGTCCCGAGCTGCACACGTGGTGGGCCGTTGTTTAAGGAGACATTGTTCTTAAATGGAGAGCGGACCTCATCGTCTCTCGCGAGGCGCGTGTCAGCGCGCGTGTGCCGGTTTGAGCCGGTGAAGGGCTGCGGACACCGACCGGAAGTCATCCCGCCGGGGCAGAAGATGCGGCAGCACCGGCGTCACAGTCGCCCTTATTATCTGTGTACTGTGGCAGGTGGCACTAGGATTCCTTTTTAAAGCAATAAACACAAATAGTCCGGTTACATCAGCGAATGACTGAAGAGCCGGTGGAATACGGACGGGACAGGCTCTGCTGCCGGTAAGTAACGCACCGTTGCTACGTAACGGTATCATTCAAACATCAGGTTCATTTTAACACGTAACGGGAACTTTGACGTGACGGTAACGTACAAACATCACGCTAACGTGTACGGTCACCTCGCCCCCGTACGGGCCCATTTTCATATGTTATCACTTTGTTCTCATTGAATCACAACATGTTTATCATGACATTATCACAGAATATTGATTTGCTATCAATTCTGTGTGCCTGATGGCTGGAGTGTACATCAATGGCAATACATACTCTGTAACCCTATGCACATATATAAATATGCGCATAAAAAAAACATACATAGTCATCTGAAACAGCGTACATATGAGACACACGCAATTATACTGCTGTGTTATATACAGACATCTCCAGGGACGACATTTTGATTTCAGAAGTTGGGGAGGACACAAGTATTTTTAATAAAACTCTAACTTTTTCAGTTCACTGTGTTTTCTAGTAGTTCTTCTAGTTTTCTATTGCTACTTTTAAGTTTACTATTCCCTTTCGGTTTGACTGGTTGTAAAGCATATAGCAAAACATTATCACCCAATGCTGTCCAGTAAGCAGGGGTCACACAATCCTTCTAGCTGACGTGAACAGGCAAAACAAACGGCCAACAGTGACAGGGACTCCTCGGCAACCAGCAGACCGGTTACAACCTGATGAAGTGACAGCGGGGACGGCCAATAGCAACAGCAACAGCAACAGCAACAGCATAGCCAATGGAGGACCTTGTGGGCGGGTCTAAACTAAGAGAAACAGGCTTCAGCTTGAGCGGCCGTTTTTCCGCTTGGTCCTAGTGCTTGATAACTCTCTGTTACCATAGTGTACCATTGTTTTTGGACGGTAAAAACAGCAGGGGACCAAACCGGTTTTTGAAAAAGTGCAGGGGACATGTCCCCTGTGTCTCCCTCCCCCCCCAAATTACGTCCCTGCACATCTCACTAGTTGAACGTAAGAGCATCTCACTAGTGAACGTAAAAGGATCTCACCAGTGAACGTAAGAGCATCTCACTAGTGCGCGTAAGCATCTCACTAGTGAATGTAAAAGAATCTCACCAGTGAACGTAAAAGCATCTCACTAGTGAACGTAAGAGAATCTCACTAGTGCGCGTAAGCATCTCACTAGTGAATGTAAGAGCATCTCACTAGTGAACGTAAGAGAATCTCACTAGTGAACGTAAGAGCATCTCACTAGTGCGCGTAAGCATCTCACTAGTGAATGTAAGAGCATCTCACTAGTGAACGTAAGAGCATCTCACTAGTGAACGTAAAATGATCTCACTAGTGAACGTAAAATGATCTCACTAGTGAACGTAAGAGCATCTCACTAGTGAACGTAAAAGAATCTCACCAGTGAACGTAAGAGCATCTCACTAGTGCGCGTAAGCATCTCACTAGTGAATGTAAGAGAATCTCACTAGTGAACGTAAGAGAATCTCACTAGTGAACGTAAGAGAATCTCACTAGTGAACGTAAGAGCATCTCACTAGTGAACGTAAGAGCATCACACTAGTGAATGTAAGAGAATCTCACCAGTGAACGTAAAAGCATCTCAGTAGTGAACATAAGAGCATTTTAATAGTGAACGTAAAAGCATCTCACTAGTGCGCGTAAGCATCTCACTAGTGAACGTAAGAGCATCTCAATAGTGAACATAAGAGCATCTCAATAGTGAACGTAAGAGCATCTCACTACTGAACGTAAGAGCATCTCAATAGTGTGCATAAGCATCTCACTAGTGAACGTAAGACCATCTCTCTAGTGCGCGTGAGCATCTCACTTAAGAGCATCTCACGAGTGAACGTAAGAGAATCTGACTAGTGAACGTAAGAGCATCTCACTGATGTGGGTAGGAGAGTTGCGGGAGATGTGAGGTCTAGTTAACGGGACCGCCTGACCCCTCCAGCACCGGGCGGTCGGCCTCATCTCACGGCACAGAGAGCAGCCGGTTCTCGGCCAGACTTCTGCGAAGGAGTCAGGCGGTCCCGCTAACTAGACCTTACATCTCCCACATCTGTCACTTAAATATGGTAGTACTTATACTATTTATCATAGTATTTATTTATGTCTTCCATATGCTGGTGAGATTTCATGTATACACACTAATGAGCTGCTCTTACGCGCACTAGTGAGATGTATGTGCATATGACACAGCAGTATGTATGTATGCGTGTGTTTTTTCTCATATGTAGGTGTTTCAGATGAGTTTGTATCATGTTTTGTATATGCAGTATGTATGTATGTATGTGTAAGTGGCTCAGTAGTGGGCGCGAGAGTATTTAAATAGCAAACGTAAGTGTTTCATTAGTACACGTAAGAATGTCTCAGTAGTTAAGTCAGCCCCTCAACAGCCCCACAATGACTTTAGAATAAGTTCACTGATGACATATCTGTTTCCTTCTCCAGGCGGCCTGCCGCAGCCATGAGGACATCCTATTCCCAGCGCTGTTTGGGTCCAAATGTTTACCCAGAGGTGCCTGAAGGTGGCTGGGGCTGGGCTGTGGCCGTGGCCTTCTTCCTCGTGGAGGTCTGCACCTACGGGACCCTCAAGAGTCTGGGTGTCTTCCTCCAAGACCTGATGGAAGAGTTTGGGGAGAGCAACAGCCGAGTGTCATGGGTTTTCTCCATCTGTGTTTTCGTCTTTACCTTTACTGGTCAGTCCCTCGGCCTCTATTCATGCGTGTTTGTCTTTTTTACAGCGTGACAGACGTGTGCAGACTATTATATATAGAATGAGTTGTAGGGTTGCAGCTAACGCTTGCTTTCATCCTGAAGGGATCTGTTGATTCAGTTCTCTGTGGGCAGAGTAGCCCCATGTATGGTAGCGTTTACGGTAGCGTGTACGGTAGCGTGTATGGTAGTGTGTACCGTGCGTGTTTGTCTTTTTTACAGCCTGATAGACATGTGCAGACTATTATATATAGAACGAGTTGTAGCGTGTACCGTGCGTGTACCGTAGCGTGTACGGTAGCATGTACGGTAGCATGTACGGTAGCGTTTATGGTAGCGTGTACCATATCATGTGTACACATGATATGGTACACGTATACCTGATGTATGGTAGCGTGTACCGTAGCGTGTACCGTTGCTCCTGTCATCAGTATGTGAATAAAGAGATGTAGTGATAAAACACTCTAGAAGACTAGGAAGGAGATACAGGTACACAGGCCATTAGTTTGCATGTAGAGTGAGATCTAGTAAAAGTGATCGGTTCCACAGGCCGTACTAGAGGATAGATATTTTTCCAATATAACAATATATAATCAGGAAGGTTCCAAAATGCATGAAGTATAGTTCATAGTTCCACTTAAGAGAGACAGTCACAAATGTGTATATATCTAGAAACCTCCTTCCGTTAAATACCAAGTCGTTGTCTCCACCCTTTGGTGGCACTGACATTCATTCAATCCCCTAAAGCGGAGGGAGGCCGCGTCCTGTTTCCTGTCATTAAAGAAGGACCTCTTCTGGAGAGGACTTGAGTTGGTTCAATGGGCTGTTCTGAGTGTCTTTAGGGGACATTAAGGCACTTTTTTTGGGCTAACTGACTTATTTCTTTCACCCCTTCTCCAGCCCCCCTGTCCATGATGCTGAGCAACCGCTTTGGCTTTCGACCAGTGGTGGTGATGGGAGGAATTCTCATCAGCTTGGGAACCATCACCTCCGCCTTCAGCAGCTCCATCAATGACATGTACATCAGTGTCGGTGTTGTCTCCGGTACTTCAAACTCACACCACTCTGCTATCAGTGCTTATATGCAGAATATATATATATATATATATATATATATATATACAGTACATCTATCTAATGTATACAGTAGAAAGGGTGAGGACGTGATCTTCGCAATAAAACATAAAACATCTTTAATGTGACGTGATGAGTCTTGGCCAATCATCATGGAGATCTCTACAGCATCTTCATCTCCATCCAACTTTTCGTCCTTTCACTCCTAATTGAAGTTACCACCGACACTGGATTCTTACTATTCTTTGTATTATTATAACTGTAAGTGTTCCGGTGATCTTGATCAGTTTAGGCTTTGGCTCAGAACAATCAAATGGTCGTGGTTATAAAAGTGGCCAAAGTGGTCTCAATGTGAAGTTTGTATAAGAAAGTCAAACTGCACCCAGCCTAATTTATATGATTATTCTACATAAATCCCTTTTTAGATTACATTGAAGTCTCTCAAAAATCCTGGGGGGCGTGTCGCCGCGCACACACATTAGTCACACATAAATGTTTCAGATCATCAAACACCGTTATATATCAGACAAAGGTAATCCGAGTATATATGATATATATGATTATTTCATTCATCAAGGGAAAAAAGCAGTCCAAACCTACGAGGCCCATGTCAATCTTGTAAACTTTTTACCCCAGATGTAACGGGACACACATTTTGATAGGCCGGCCCCTCCTGGTAAAGGTTTACCTACCCGTTCTTCTCATTTGTGAATAACTGCTCTCTCTGTGGTTTGTTCGAGTCCCAAAGCCTTATGGTGTGTTCACACTGCATGTGTTACATGCAAAGTCTATGCACAGACAAATGAGACTGGAGCAACGCAAATCTGCACTAGCACGGTGCGTCAAACAAGAAAGTTAAATGTACGCGACTCCATTTTCATAATATGTCCTCTTCAATACCCCGAGTAGGTGTCCTGGTCCACAGTAGCATCCTGTAATGAATGTGTTTCTTTCAGGAGTGTTCACTGGCGCTGAGGTGATCAGCCTCCTCTCAGCAGCATTCAGCCATCTGTATCAGTAGGAGGGAACAGAGCAAACAGATAGTCCAACAAAAAAGATGGCTGACCGCACAGGAAGTGGCTGAGGAGAAAGGAATAGTTTGGATGATGATGATGATGACGTTGGAGAAATAGGTTTAAGTTACAAATGAGCCTCTGAGGTGGACCCCAGCTAACTTGACACCCCCTCCCCTCTCTGCCCCTACCTTATTTATTCTGTATTAAGGTAGCGGGGGAGAGTATTGTATTTTGTCTTCCAGCAGCAGCTGGATCCCACACGTCCCGCTCTACTTTTGACAAAGGAGTGACCTGGAGCCTTGACCTTTGAGACATGCGGTGCACCTACCATGTGGGCCGGTGGCTGTCATGTCCCCCTGTCTTCTCCTTTATCTACAGGCTTGGGCTGCTGCTTCGCCTTCCTTCCCACCGTAACCCTCCTAGCGCAGTACTTCTCCAGACAGCGAGCCCTCGTCACCTCGGTCGCCTCATCTGGAGAATCTTTCGCCATATTTGCATTTGCTCCAGGTGAGTGTTCGGTCGGCCCACCATGGGATTCGGTCGGGGTCATGGGATTATATTGGTAGCATGGGTTAGCTTGCTGAGCTGCTCAATGTTTAATTATGTGTAAATAAAGGACTTGCAGACCCACTTTTGTAGAACGTGTCATCCCGATAAGAGCCGTGTACTTTGCACAGGTACTTGTAGCGTTCTAATCCTCGGAGAGAACTAAGCCCATAGGCTTGATTTAAATTGTGTTATACATGCGTAGCTAACATAGGTGCGTGTAACCCAGTGTTAGTCCACTGCCGGCTAACGTGGGCTAACGTGGGCACACAGAAAGTTGGGTTTCACAGCAACACAGCAGCCTCCCATTTCGTTCTTAAAAAAGACTTCATAACATTAACTTTGAAAATAATTTATATAATAATATATATATAATATAATAATTTGACAAAATACTAGTTTAACTCACCACCTAACAGTTACCTCCCGTCAGTATTAAAGGATAGTAGAAGCAGATACCGAGCGCCAAGTCAAACCCACCAATAGAAACTCCTGGCTCAGCAGCGTATGCCCCGCCCACAACGTCCAAAGTCAGTTTTTGTTTAGAGACCAAAAGATTTTTTTGAGAGCTTTTGCAGCCAAACATTCTATTTTCATATGCAAAATGTCTTTATTCTGCATACTTACCAACTTGATTTTTGATTGCAATGCAAGAAATTTGCTCTCAAAACATATTTTTTGTTGTGTGTATTAAAGACACAAATATACCTATATACCTTATTTCTAAACCATTCAGTGCTCCATGAACCGCTGTAAATACCTCAGAACTGAAGGGTTTGGATCCACTTCTTGATCCTAATGAGGATTCAAGTCTGAGGTATGGAAGAAGGAGAATGGATAATATAATGTATTTACCAGCTGCTTTCTTCTCTCCTCAGCTCTCTTTGCTCTGAAGAAACACATCGGCTGGCGCTACTGTTTGGTGGTCCTCGGCACCTTTCAAGCTTCTGTGATTGGCTGTGGACTTCTCCTCCGTCCAATCATTATTGAGCCGGAGCCTCTAAAGGAAGCCCAACACTCCGATTCTCTGCCTCTGAAACAGAGAATGACTGTGTTGGAGCAGGAGAACGAACAAAGCGGGACCTCCATGAGTTCAGAGGACTCAGGTGTCACTTCCCTCTCTACTTCCAACGAAGACGTGAGGACTGCAGGAGCTGAAAACCAGGTTCTGATGGAGATGGAGGTGCAGGACATAGAGGGCAAGGAGCCGGTAGGGTCCACACCTACCACCCCAGTCAAGGCAGAGGCAGGTCCTCTCCGTCCATCCACCTCCAAACTTGGACTGGACTTTTCAGTGCTTAAAGACGGGGCCTTCATCTGGTACTCCCTCTTTGGCTTGTTTGCAACGCTTGGCTTCTTCGCCCCGCAGCTCTACATCATCGAACTGAGCAAGAGTCGGGGCGTGGAGGCCGGCGTGGCCTCCTACATGCTCTCTGTGATGGCCGGGGCCGAGATCTTTGGCCGCTTGTCCATCGGAGTGGTGTTGAATAAGGTCCCGTGCAGGAAGACCCTGGTGCTGTTGGGCTGTGTGATTCTGCTGTGCCTGGTGCTGGTGGCCTTCGCTCTTGTGTGGGAGTTCTGGGGCCTAGTGGTCTGCTGCGCCCTCTACGGATACTTCATGGGCACCGTGAGCTCCACCCACATTCCAATGCTGGCTGAGGAGGATGTTGTGGGCATCGAGAAGATGGCATCGTCTGTGGGAGTTTATGTCTTCATCCAGAGCTTTGCTGGGCTGGCAGGGCCACCACTAGGAGGTATGACCCCTCTGCTTCTTCTACTGCTTGCACTATGTGGTACCCTCTAACCTTTAGGGACCCATCGGGTCACCTCTGTGTGCTACTCTCTAACAGCTGTCTCTTCTCATAGGTGTGTTGGTAGATGTCACAAAGAACTACGGTGCTGCCTTCTACTCCTGTGCCGCTGGAATGGGCCTCAGTGCCATTTGCCTGGCTCTGGTTGGCCCGACCAAGTCTGGCATGTGCCAAAGACCAAGCAGACACGAAGAGGAAGGCAGGAGCACAGAGGAAGAAGAGAAAATGTCTCAGGATAGCGGGCAGTCAGACTTTCTGGAGGTGGACTTCAGACATGCTGCGCACCGGGACCATGTCTCTGTAATATGAACCTGCTGGTCTTCACAGCTGGTTCCTGATCGTAGGTGCCCCTGTTTCTCATCGAGCTGTTGAGCCTTTAGCTGTTCCACCACCTCATGTCGGTTCCAGCTGTTCGGGGCAGTCTCACAATCCTCTGGGCATCAGAAGTCTGATGACCTTCATCTCAGGAAAGAAGTGTTGTGGTCATGGACACTGATCAGAGCCCTGCTGAGCACGTATCACCATGTGATCACATGTGGATCACACGACACACTGCTTCACTCCACTTCACAGTGTAATCATCCTGAATGTCTTTGCCATGCTGGCCCATAATGACCAGTTGCTTCTAAATATGATCTGTACTGTTAGGCTGTTTTTTAATTAAATATGTGTGCGAGGCAGGTACCTTTCTGTTAAGTGCTGTTCTGCTTTTATTAAGTAGGATCGAAATAAAATGTTTTGAAATTATTTCACCCAATTCATGAATGGACTGAATTTTATACAGTACCTTTCTATAAGCACTGAACACCACATGAGCAACGTGTACTCAGTTTTCACTATTTGATTTTGTTACCCATCCTAATTCTAATATTTTTGGTGAATGAAGTCCCTATTCCCAGCTGCACGTGCCCGAATCCACCTGCAAGTGGATCACAGACTTCCTGTCTGACAGGAAGCAACACGTGAAGCTGGGGAAACGTGTCTCAGCCTCTCGGACCATCAGCACCGGTTCCCCCCAAGGCTGCGTTCTTTCCCCTCTGCTCTTCTCCCTGTACACCAACAGCTGCACCTCCAGCCACCAGTCCGTCAAGCTCCTGAAGTTTGCGGATGACACCACCCTCATTGGACTGATCTCTGGTAGAGACGAGTCCGCCTACAGGTGGAGTCTGACCATCTGGTGTCGTGGTGCAGCAGAACAACCTGGAGCTCAACGCTCTGAAGACAGAGATGGTTGTGGACTTCAGGAAGAACAGAGCCCCACCCTCCCCCATCACCCTGTGTGACTCCCCCGTCACCACTGTGGATTCCTTCCGTTTCCTGGGCTCCATCATCACCCAGGACCTCAAGTGGGAGCTGAACATCAGCTCCATCACCAAGAAGGCTCAGCAGAGGTTGTTCTTCCTGAGGCAGCTGAAGAAACTCAACCTGCCAAAGACGATGATGGTCCACTTCTACACGGCCATCATGGAGTCCATCCTCTGCTCCTCCATCAGCGTCTGGTACGCTGCAGCCACAGCCAAGGACAAGGGCAGGCTGCAGCGTGTCCTCCGCTCTGCAGAGAGGGTGATCGGCTGCAATCTGCCGTCCCTGCAGGACTTGTTTGCTTCCAGGTCTCTGAAGCAGCTAAAAAGATGGTAGCCGACCCCTCTCACCCCAGACAAAACCTGTTTGTGTCCCTCCCATCTGGCAGGAGGCTGAGGTCCATCAGGACTAAGACCTCCCACCACACCAACACCAACATTTCTTCCCGTCGGCAGTCGGGCTCATCAACAGAGCCGGTCCCCCACTGACTTTCACTTGTGACTTTCTGTTCGCTGGTGTACTTTATTTGAATTTTTAAATATTTTTAACAAGTATTCCTTTATTCTTAAACCAACCCATAGCATTATATTTTATTGTATTCCTCTTGCACTATATTGTCTTGTCATTGTCGTACTGGCTGCTGTTATGCAGCAACCGCCAAGCCAAATTCCTTGTATATCCGACATATTATGGCAATATTATAGTATATGATTCCTGATCCTGATGGGTTTTTGTATTTTTGTATCTGCTTTCTTACGCTACATCTAAATGTGTAATGTAGAAGTAACAAAATTACGCCACCAGCTATTGTTAGAAGAGAACATTGAACAACGTTCTTCTAGATTAGTCTCTACCACATTCCGTGTTGGACTCCTTGCATCCCTCGGGGCTGCAGCTCTGCCTTTACACCACCCATTCCTCTGTTCAATCCTCCGTCCAACATCTGTCCCAGGGTTCAACATCCACTAAACTTGACAACTACAAATCATGTGAACTGTAATTAAAGAACCAGTTAGCAGGTCGTAGGGGATCTAACGGAATGAATGCAACATGATACACACAGCTGTGCTTCCATCAGTGTGTAATGGCCTGAAAGTAAGACTGGTCGTGTTTTTATGATCTTAGAATGAGTCCTTCATATCTACACAGAGCACCACCGCGTTTCTACAGTAGCCAACAATGGACAAACCAGAAGGCCTCTTGATTATGTCATCACTCCTCTCTCATGTCCCCTGTGTAGACGAGTACTTGTTGTTATATTTAACCCTCTGGTGGACAGGCTGCTGACCCACGTGGTGCAATGATTTACCACGTTTGTAGGCATGACTAAAGGCTACAGCATGAGACATGCTAGCAGAAACATAACGACGTTATGCAGACGATACTCAATCGTATCAAGCCAGACGAGACCAGCCAGCTCGTTACGATGTCTCAAGGACATCAAAACCTAGATGACCTGCACTCAGACAAACAGAGGGCATCTTGATCAAGCCAGAGCGCATTCAAAGTCAGCGGTCCCGTGATATAGTTTCTCTGGATGGAACTGCTCTGGTATCCAGCAGCACCGTTCATGCGTTTGTCACTTCTAGACTAGATTACTGCACATTCCTCCTGTATTAGCTTCTCTGCACTGGCTCCAATCAACTATAGAATTTAAGGTTCTTCTCCTCACCTACAAGGCACCTGCTGGCCATTCCAGATTTGGCTTCTTAAATCTGCCTCATCATCTTTTAAGTGTTCTTGAACACAAACACAAACCAATATGTCTGAATATTTACTTATGACAATCCTCCCAACTGTGCTTAATATAGAAATGAAATACAATCAGCAAATAAAGGAGTCTATATGTGCACAAAGCTCATTACCAATTGAATTCATTCACAAGGAAAGATCAAAACCATTTTGTATTATAGTTAGAATTATGACAACAGTTGCAAACTCATATTACTCAACTTGCTTGTCACAAGAGCAGAAATCCAATGAATGCAGACAGAGGTTTTGTAAAAAAAACAGTTTATTTAGGTTTGATTTGATTAGAGAGTAGAAGGGTACGGCGGCATAAGTTAGACTGTACATGGAAAGCTCGTCTATGTGAACATTGCTGTACTGGGACAAAGGTTGAATGTGAAGTTCTTTGCAATAGAAAACCTGCTAACGGTACAGGCAGAGATCAGAGAATATTTGGCAGACGTCTCTCCTGACATGAAGACACTGGCATTAAGAGAACGGTCAGGGTTATTAGACCCATGATGCCAAGTCATGGCTGTGCATAGCTGTTGCATAGCTTGGACTATGAGGCGACACTGGACTCCTCTCACGGAGGTTTACGACCAAACAGGGAAGACAATCTCTCCAGAGAAACCATGCAAGCTGGTCCTCATGGGTGGAACGCCGCTCCACAGGCAGCTCGAGCAAGGTCTCTGAAAGTGAACCTTTGACCTTTTCTTCTGTAAATACGAAGGCAGATCTTTAGACTTCTTGAGAATTTGCATCAATCTCCTTAGAGGATTCGTCTGTATCCCCCATCAGGCAGTAGAAGAGCTTTGGGAGGACGAGGCTCCTCACAGCAGAGGGCCTGAGAGACCCCACGGACACGGTGAGTCAGCACACGGGACATGTGTTCACGCTGCAGTGTGACAACAAGCCAACCAGGTGGCTGCTCTGTTTGTGCTGCAGGCTTTCCTCTGGCCTGTGGGGAGTTCACTGCTTCATGCTAACACACCACGGGCACCTGGGGAGTCAGGAAGGACCGGGAACCCCCGATGTCACCCAACAAAGGTCACTTATTCAAATCTCAATCTGCTCCATCCCAAACGACACCCACATGTAGTGTGAACAGCGGGGATCTATGTACACGTTCTGTGGCATCATCTGGTGTTCTTGTGTTCTTTGGGGATTCTTTGTGTTCTGTATTGTACGTTACCTGATGAGCTGCAGACAATAAAGTGATCAGTAGGTTTGAGTACAAAGAAGTAGATATTCATGTGCGTAGCATACACGACTGGATAGAAGCCAACGACGGAAAACTAAGTAGCACGTTGTAACGGACTTCTCTCCTGGTAGAGCTGCATACACACCAGCACGGTCCCAGGTACCACATACCGTGTAACGGCCATTCAGCATTCATACAAGCACAGTTACATGGGAAGTGATCGGAGTAGTTTGGTTTCCACTGATGTTCCCTCAGGACGAACCTCCAGCTGTTACACAGCTGTTATGACTAGAAAGCTTGGCTGAGACATCCAGTGTAGACAGGGAGGGGGCGGGGCCAAGCAGGGCGGTTAGCTGAAAGCTACAAACATCAGACATCCAGTTTCAATAAAAAGGCCTAGTGTCAGCAGGAACCGGTGGAGCCGCACCCCGTCCACAGAACGTAACACGGGTGGTCATACATGGGGGGGTGAGGGCGGGTGAGTATGCTCTATGAGACAGGGGGACGCAACAAATGCCTACTAGAAAAGAAAAATGACCCCAGGAAACTAAAACAAAAGCCAAGGGCTCTCATGAAGAGAAGAAACCTGCAGACCAAGAGATTCTACAGGGCAACGCCACCGCTTACTGACACCATTTTGTGGTTGTTTCATATTTATGGCCGATTGAGCCGGTTTGCTCCTAGCAGCAACCTTAGCTTAGCGTCTACTACTGACAACATGAGAGAAGGAGATAAAAGCATGTTTCATAGAAGCACATCTTGTACCCAATGACTGGTGAGTATCTCGGTTAAGCCTTTCTCATTGGGTAAAATAACACGGGACAGGAGGAGTCAATACCCAGCTGAAATGAGGTCACCATGACCTGTTAGTTCGAACCCGCATGGTGAACATTATTGAGACATGTAGAGAGAAAAGAGCCCATGAAATGTGTCACATGACGGAGCCGTGGGGTTCAGGCTGAGAAGCCCAGCAGCTCATGGTGGATGTGCAGCTACATGGAACGCAGCCTGTAAGTGTAAAGCCCCATAAAGAGAAAGGTACATACAGGGTACTCGTATTAGAGAAACAAACCGTGATTAGAAAAGTAGGATTACGGTGGAGAGCAGATGTTACACCAGAGGAGCAACAAAGAAGTTCTGAATAAGAGAAGGCAACAGCGGTCAACAGTCGCTGCCGACGGCGTCTCATTAAGAGACAGCCCCCCCCCCCACCTTAGCAACAGTGGTCAGAGCAGCATAGAAGAAGTGTGGATTAGAGCAACATAAAGGATGTCAGAGCGACTATGGCGATGGGGTTAGAGGTCGCTTACAGTGGTTTGAAGGGTGGGGGTCGAGGCTCAGAGCCACAGGCGTCATAGTGAGCAAGTTCAACAAGGCGGAGAGCAAGCTTGGGAAGTAGGGGGGTGGCCGTAGTAGTGGTGGCTTTAATACAGAGTCACAGTTCAGTCAAGTAGGGAGGACGGATGGGTGGAGGAAAAAGCACCTCCACACCAACTCTCCGTGAGGCTCCACCCACCCCCACCCTCCTGCTCCGCCCCCTCACTGCAGCATCAGCTGTTTGAGGTTGTCGTGCAGGATGGTGTCCTTGACGTCACGGAACACCAGGCGGATGTTCTCGGTGTTGATGGCCGTGGTGAAGTGGTTGTACAGCGGCTTCTGCTGCTGTTCTCGGCGCTTCTTGCGAAAGCACTCCACCAGGAAGCGCTGCACGTCGGCCAGGCTCGAGGGGTCGCCCAAGAACTCGGGGAAGTAGTCTTTGATGGACACCTGCTTCACCTTCTCCTCCAGCAGGTCCGTCTTGTTCAGGAACAGGATGATGGAGACGTTGCTGAACACCCGGTTGTTGGCGATGGTCTCGAAGATGTTGAGGGACTCGCTGAGCCGGTTGGTCTGCCGATCCTCCATCAGCACCTGGGGGTGTCGGAGCGCTGGGGTTAAGGCCCATATGACGCCGTGGATACCGGACCATTGAGAACCCGTCCTTGAAACTCACCTGGTCGTATTCAGAGGACGAGACGAGGAAGAGGATGGAAGTGACCGAGTCAAAGCACTCGAACCAGCGCCGCCTCTCCGACCGCTGACCGCCCACGTCCACCATCTTGAAGGGCACGTTCCGGAGTTCAAAGTTGTACTCGTGAATGCCTTTGGTGGGCTTTCTGGCCAGGAGGATGTCCTGTTGGTTGGGGAGGTAGTCCTGCAAGCGCAGTGTCAGATCCATTATTATCTTCAATAAGCCACATGAAAACATGCGCCAGCAAAGGATTCAATGCAACTGCTTCATTCTGACCGCAGACTTGCAATGAAACTACATTATTTTAGCTTTTCCTCAATTGAGTAGTTTACTGTATTGGGCACATAAACGGTGGGGAAAGTTCTGACATCACTATAAACTGCCATATTAACGGGGGTGTAGTCTCTGATGTTATGGTAATATTGTTTTCAGAGACATGGCTCTCTGCTTGTGAGCAGCTTCTACTAAGAGATGGTGCAAGACAGAAGCACCGTCACCAGATGGGTGGATGATAATTCTGAATAGAAAGATAGGACATGGAACCAGTAGCACAGGATAATGGTCCACGATAAGAACTTCTGAATGCTTTTGTGGGACCTTTTATGTTTTTGTCATCCAGAGTGGGACGTGTGCACGTTACTGTGCGTGAACATCTCCCGCCTCGCTATGACTGCTGATCTTCTTCAGGACCACAATGACAGCCTGAGGGGCGGAGCCACCATCCTTCCACACCTTGCTCTGGGCATTAATGAATGATGCATGTGGTGTTAAAGAGTTTCCAGACATGGAGAACTCGCTGCTCATGTGCAATGCATTCTGGTCCATGTAGGGGGGGTGGTGCATCGGTAGAGCAGCCAGAGGATATCGGAGGAGGCGCTCAGACCTTTGGCTGAGGGGAAATGAGCCATTGTTGTTTATTAGATGCATTTTATGCTCATTATGAACGTTGGTTTGTTCACAGAGAAAGAGGAGTTTTAATGAACAAATAATCACTACACATGACTAACAAAATAAAAATGTCTCATTGTTGTAGTTTATTGACTCCACAGTGGTGCAGTGAAGATTTTGGGGGTGATTGTGGAAAAGCTGTACCATCTGTATCTGCCCATAAGAATCATCAATGGTTGTCCATTAGGATCAGAGGCCAGAAGGACACATCTGGGACGCAAGTTAGATTACATGAGACATGAGCTCCCTTGTGTGCTGTGAACAATTAGTGATACCATCTGAAGCGGGTGTCTGTGATTGGCGGAGCCTCTGCAGTGTACGTGGGACTCACCGTGTGTCCAAGCTTCTCCAGATTGTCCAGGAAATACTTGACCGACTCCCCCTGAGAGAGTGAGAGCGAGATTTCAGTGACTTGTGTGTTAAACTGTACATGCAGACGCCGCAGTCCAAACCAGATAAGGTAGGAATGTGTGACAAGTTACAACGAACAGCTGCTCTTCACTCCTCCAACGATCTTCTGGAGGCCCAAACTAATTGTTTCTTAATTAGAAAATGTTCCCCAGTAAAGACATTTACAACCAAGCTGGAGCGTAAATAAGGGTGACGTCAGTAGTTCTATCAAATCACAGACAGCAGCAGGGACCCTGTGTTTCCACTACGTCTACAACTTTGCAGGGGACGACGGGGCCGTGGAGGACGGGGCCGTGGAGGACGGGGCCGTGGAGGACGGGGGCGTGGAGGACGGGGGCGTGGAGGACGGGGGCGTGGAGGACGGGGGCGTGGAGGACGGGGCCGTGGAGGACGGGGCCGTGGAGGACGGGGCCGTGGAGGACGGGGCCGTGGAGGACGGGTAATAGTAGTTGGCGAACAGGGAAGTAGTGGTTGAGGACGAGCGCTCTATGTCCGTGTGTTTGTGCTGTGGGCAGCGAGGAGTTGTAGACGGGGGGCGGGCCCCCGCGCCCCCCTCCCCCCTGTTCACTGGGGACCTGAATGTTTCACTGAGCAGCAGTTCACCACTTTCACAAGCGTCATACAGCATTCAACTCATTTCATATTACGGCGATGAGCTTTGGGAAAGCTGCACAATTGTCTACAAAAAACAGATTTCTTTAGATACTTAAGACGTACGTTTGATGGCATACGCAAATGATTTTGTAATTTTCTTTCATGGAAAATGTTCATAAAACACTGATGAGGAAATTACTATCTGAGGCCTTATTTCTACAGACAGAAAACTGTGACTAGTTGTAATTCAAGGGAAAAGTAGTAGTTGGAAACTAAACCAATGGCTGAAGTGGTGCGTATCCCAGAATGATTAGCTGCGTTACCACAGCAACGTCACAATGACCAACGCTAACTGCTCGTTGAAGCTCAGCTGCTTGGCAAGCTAGCGTCCCTGCAGGGCAGTTGCAGATGATTGTCTTGTCGGAGGACAGTGTACGCTGGTGGAGAGACAGAGAGCAGCCCTTCATTAGCTCGTCTGTGTGCGTCTGTGTGCGTCTGTGTGCGCTCAGCAGCTGCAGCACCGCTCCATCCAGTGTGAGGCGGCGCCTTTATCTGGCTGTCAATGCTGGTCTGTAGACTGGATGCTCTACTCACTAGCATCAGTGGACACGCAAACAGAGGTCAAAGCAAGAAACACAGGGAAAGTACTGAGGTATGTGGGCCACGGCATCAGCCCCCACTGCTCCCACTAGCAACATACACACACACACACACACACACACACACACGCGCGTCTATTGGGCCACGCCCACCCAACAGGAACTCACCAGCTGGAACTCTCTGCGGCGGTCGTAGGCGTTTTGGATGCCCTGGTCGGCCCACAAGGCCCGGATGGAGGGCAGGTAGTGCTGGAATACCTTGGGCTCCACCATGCCATGCCCGTGGGCCATCACAGAGCGAGTGTCGAACGCCATCATTGTTTCTCCGTGGCGCTGGTTGGACTGGTTGCCCCATGGAATGTGTAGCTTCTCCCGAGCATCCACCAACACTCGAATACCTGAAGCAGGAGTGAAACATATCCGACTGCTATTCCAGAGGTTCTTCACAGCTTGTCACTCGCAAAGGATTCATTGCCATTTTGAGCTACTTTTGAACTCTACTTACACGTTCTCTTGTCTTTTAAAAGCATATTTGCACTAAGGCTGCAACAAGGAATTGATAAAATCGATTATTAAAAGCGTTGGCAACGAATTTCATTATCGATTCGTTGTGTTGGGCGATTATTACGTCACAACAGTTGTTGTGAGTCACATGACGCAGGGAGAGACGTCTGTTCGACTAGTCGTCTAAGGTGTGCGAGCGTGGGGGGTCCCGTTTTGACGTGAGGGACGTAACAAGCCTCCTGTTTACTCGTCATCCAGCTGATCAAGCTAACGTTAGCTCGCTAATAACAGCAGTAAAGCAGTTAGCAAGACTAAGACACGTTTTTATTTACTCGCCTCTTTTGGACCATTCATTTTTCAATGTGTCTGATATTTTGTGCTTTGTCCCATATCGGTTATTGTTGACAAATATATTTGTGTGTGTGTTGTACTTTTTAATGCTGTCATATATGGTAGTCCAGTGCGCTTGCGCATATACTGTGGGTTATACGGTAGTTGATGTTATGCCTGTAAAGGGAGACACATGGTGATCCATTAAATCAACTAAGAAGCCTCTAATGCATTTATTTACAAATGCCATTTTAAATTCATCTCATAGCACAGGTTGTTTTTTAGCTGTATGCATTTACTTAACTTGCACTACAATGATGGTAATAATTTAATGAACATGAGGGTGTGTTTGTGAGTGTAGTATAGAGAACTAGTTCTGACGAATTTGAGGTTCTGTTTTAGAATAAAGGGTTGGAAATTAAAGCTTTTTAATGCCGTTTTTTTTTTAAATCGATTCATCGATTAATCGAAGAAACAATCGACCGATTAATCGATTATCAAAATAATCGTTAGTTGCAGCCCTAATTTGCACTTTAATTTTGTTCAACTAAAATTAACTTGTTACTCAAATATATTTGACATTTTGAGTCATAATTCTGCTTGGGAAATAATGAGATTGTGAGATAGATTCATTGATTAGCCCTCCTCTGATCCCAGGACATGTGACTGAACACAGAGTAGGCAAAGCACTGCACATCAATAAATGACTGAACAAATGAAAATGCAGGTCAGCCTCGTGCTACAGAGAGCAGAGGAGGAGACGCTGGTCTATTCATGTGTCATTGACTAAACTCCAGCTACTAAACAAAGTGTTTGTAGGTTACATCCTGGTAAATGGACCGTCTTTGTGTTTCTCTTTTCTAGTCTTCAACACTTCATGTCATCATTCAGCCAATCACACACTGAGGACAGGAGCCACCAGGCAGCAACATGACGGGACACACCATGGGGGGGGGTTGATTGACAACCTACACCTTCTGAGCAAGCTTCAACTCATTATAACCCAAGTGAGTGGAAGCCCCATGATGGAGAGGGATTCCTCTGAGGAGCATGATGGGAATATAATTAGAACATCATAACGATCAGATTTGGTTAAATGTTACTAATGTTGTTAGTAGGCTTGGACACATTAGGCAATCCATCAATTCCTCTAGGAGGGAAGGTGGGGGGGATGGGGGGGCTGCAGTTAGTCTACACCATTGGTCACTCCCCTTCATACTGCACATGTCACTTTAACAGTAATTTTTCACTCTGTCGTCACTCGTCACTTTGTCACTAGTGCACTTTATGCTTAATATTTTAAATTTTGTATTTTATTACTTGTCTATTGTTACACTGTCTACTGTCACGCAGCAACCGCCAAGACAAATTCCTGCTATGTCTGACATATTTTGGCAAGAAATGTTTCCTGACTACATTCCATTACAGGTAATTTAGCTGACGCTTTTGTGTCTTGCTCAGGGACACTTGAGACATGGAGTGGCCGGGACTCGAACCACCAACCTTGCGGTTCCCAGGCCACCCGCTCTACCCCCTGCACCACGACGACCCCCTCTACACGTGCGCATATACACGGACAGCTTTGAGCACATGTCAAACTACCGCGTGTGGAATGAAATAAAGATGTGATTAGGGCCCCCCCCCGCTACCGTGGCAGGGGAAACACTGCGTGTCCTCCCGCAACAACCACTACCCATAATCCCCGGCGCTGGGGAAACACTGGTATGTCAACAGCGCTGCTCCCCCAGCCTGATTCAGCTCACTTTTATCCTGAAATGACACCAACCGTTTCCTTTTCAGCTTAACCACGCCAGGCGCCAGTCACTTCCCCCCCGCCTGCAGCTGAGCAAGCCGCTCACTTCCCTGTTCACACTCACGCAACTGCCCCCTACAGCCCCCCCGACACCATGGAAGCACCGAGAGAAGCGTATTGGTATTCTATGGAGCCAAATACAGGGCAAAAGCTTTGTTTACGTTTTGTTGTTGAACATTGAAAAATACAACAATGTATTCAAAATAAAAATAAGTGGACGAAAAATATTTTCACGATGAATATGGTTTTGACATGTATATATTTGATATTCACTCATATTTTTCGGTTGCAGATTCAAAACTTTTTCACTTTCAGATCTTTTCTTCGCGTTCGGATCGTTTTTTGACCCTGATGTGGCGTAGGGGGCGGGGCATCCACGGGGGGAGGTGTATTCGTGAGTGACAGCTTAACAAATAAGGCTGAGGAGGTTCAACAGCTCGTCAGCGAAGCCTTGTTAAAACACAAACGACTCCTCTCTGTAACCGCGGCGATGTAACAACCAGCTACAACCACTAAGCATCATTGTAGGAACACGGACTGGTCTGCGAGCTGGACGAACCACGTTGATCTGAATGTGCAGCCGGGACCGTCTGCAAAGAGACATCACCATGGTTACACAGAGGTGTTGTTTGTGCTTCAACAACGTTTCGCTGACCAGCTACTAAACCAGGAAGTCAGAATCTGTGAATATTTTTCCAACTCTACCGAACTCGGACGCCGTCGCACGGATGCTGCGCTGAATTCAGAATTCAGTTGTTTGTGGGAAGAGATTCACGTGTGGTTGAGACAGTTGACTGGTCTTATTCTGCGATTCACGGCGAGTAGGATCCAGAACAGCTCGCTACACAGAATTTGTCCCCGGCGTCAATGGTTTTGCGGTTTGATTCTTAAGTCTCGCGTGCCTCCGTCTCCTCCAGGCAATGCGGTTTAGGAAGCTGTCACTCACGCCCCTCCCAGTTGATGCCCCGCCCCCTACGCCACATCAGGGTCAAAAGTCTGAATCTGAAAATATAAGTTTTGAATCTGAAAATATGAGATTTGAATCTGAAAATATAAAATCTGCAACCGAAACATAAGAGTGAATATCAATTTTTTGAATACATTGTTGTATTTTTTAATGTTCAACAACAAAACTTAACCTTTCAGGTTCCCATTTGTAGTATTCGTGCAGTCACCTACATTCCTTTCAGTCCGGTATTGGAGCAGCCCATAGGGGGGGGACCAGTTTCCCTTACGGCCGGCCGCGGCGGCTCCCAGATGAATCAGATCCATCTTTAATTTGGGAAGATGCGCCTTAACACATTGAGGATACTCCGTGGTGGAGGCTGTAAGGACGCGTCAATCCTTGGCCGTGAACGAATAAACTGATTTAAGTCGAGTCCACGTGGTCAGAAACTGAATCACAGGCATTTGGCTTGTTTCTCTTACTGCTAAATGAGATCAAACTAGTTCCACACAAACAGAAGGAGCTCATGATACTAACCCACAAAGCTTTCGATCTGTTGTCAAACAGCGTCACCATGGTGACACATTCTCCATCATGAGCAACAAAGGTGCTTTTAAGGGTGGAAACAATTGGCTCCCATTGTACATTTGACGTAGATGCACATATACTAAAAATGGGTTATCGGGGGATCGGATCAAACTCAACTTCACTAGTACAAACTACAGTCATTTGATACAAGAAATCAAACTGTGCGTGGGGGACGTTGGGTTACCCGACGTCATTTAGAACAAACCGTTGCCTGCATGGACACTTGGATTAACTGCAGGTGTTTCCCCTACCATCATATCAGGGGAGCACCTCCCCCTCAAAGACCCCCGCTCCTCGGAAAAAGTCTGGAATAAAACTTTTAAATAAAAAATAGCTAAATTATATCAAGATAAAAAGGGCCAATTCTTAAAGATCATTTAATCTCTTGTATTGCCCTCTTTAATAAATGGTTAATACATATATAATGGTGCATGTGTATTTTAAGAACTACACTAACTAACACGGATATGGAGTCATCATTTGATTGCCATCTTAGTGATACTTCCATTACAATAACTCAAACCAGTAGAAAAGAGTAGAATGAATTCTGTGTGTTACTTTAGTCCTGTGTGGATGAGGACTATACGGTTGAATTAGAGTTGAAACGAGCCCTTTAAGTGTCAGCAGTACCACTGTTGTTGTGTATATTCAGTGTACACAGACGCAGAGACGCTTCATGTGTCCTCTGCACAGCAGCAGCCAGATTGCTTCAGCTGAAGAAGTAACCTGAATTCCAGCAGAAGACAGGACATCCTAAAGTGGGACACAATTGTGCGTGACAAGATGCAGAGCAAACATTGGCCGTAGGGAAGCTAAACTAATGTGGATTGAAATACACAAAAGTTGTACATTTCTACAAAAGAATTCCATCCTTTTTCAATCATTTTGACCTTTTGACTTTACAATGAGGGAGTTATTGTTAATGTTTTGTTACGAATCTAATTGTACAAACTTAAGATACTTTTCCCCAGCTGGCCGTTATCTGCACTACACCACCTCTCATCCACCCGTAGGTCGGTGCTCAGGGTGATAATGGGTGGAACATCTCAGCAACACTCTCACGCGTGTATAACAGATAAATGTTGATTTAGAGTTGGAATGTCAATATTAGGAACGAACCTTCGAACTGCTCCTGACGACAAACATCAGGTCAACCGGGGTCGAATAGATAATTATATTGATTATTATTGCAGTTTGATGAATAAGAATCGGTTTGATTCTGCTTGGATGCTCCGCGACCAAAGGGGACGAACGGCCAAAACAGATGAGCACCGCTCCCAGAGATGAGGAAGCTTCACGGGTGTCAAGTTGTCACAATATAAGCTGCGTGATTCAGATCAACTAACCAGCCACAGCAACGCTGACTACGACGTAAAAGCACCCACAAATCCACCCGTGCACCACGTGAGCAGGTCGGGGACATCCTGCTGTGCTCGGGTCTACTTTCCTGTTACTGAAGGCAGCTCAGGTGTCACTGCGTGGTTCCCCTCACCAACTACCGGGGTAACAACACAAGTCAAGCCATCTGCAGAGAGACTCCTTGTAAAATCACGTCTGGCTTTTACTGAACGTCTCGTGTCACGCTAACGTGTGACCGGGTGATGAGTGCACTTTAAGGTCCGGTGGGTCGGTGATGAGGAAACGCTTGGGCGAAGTGTGCATGAACCTTAAGTAAGGAGCAGGTGAACATCTGGGAAGCGGCGAACAGGCACACTTGTCCCGCCGTGTAGGCCGACACGGACAACATGGGCGTTTCTCGGCGCTCCAGCAGCTAACCGCGGTAGCTTTGTCCACCAGCGAGAAGTGTCCCCCCGGTCCGCTCAGCTGCCGCTAGCATGGCTGCCAACTTCCCCTCTGAAGTCAGGCCCAAACGGACGTCACCGCGAGCCCCCGTCGACATGTCACGTACAACGGCTTCTCCCGTACACTTACCTTTTAGAACGTTACTAAAAATCGTGGCTCTGAATTCCTCCTTGGCCTTCTGATCGAAGTCCTGCCCGTGGATAATGCGCATCTGCTTGAGGAAAGTGGACTTGCCGCTCTCGCCCGCCCCAAGTAATAAAATCTTGACTAATCTTTTTAGATAAGTCTTATCTCGATGAATTTCCTCATCTATATCTTTAGATTTCCTCAGCTGTTCCGCTTCGCTGCTTGTGAGGAGACAGTTAGGGAAACATACTGATAAAACGGAGCGGGACGGCAGGAAATCCGCCATCTTTGAAACAACTTCATCGATACAGACAGCGAGGAGGAGGCCTGAGCCCCGAGCTCACCGCGGCCCGCTGCTGCGTTCATGGTCCCTGGGAATCCATACAGCTCCGCAACTACAACCGCTAACACTGACCTGACAGCAAGTTCAATTCAACTAACGTTATTTGAAATAGGTGTAGCCTAAAATAGGCTGTGGAATATTTCTTAAAAATGCAGTTATTTATCTGATGAAAGGAATTCTGGCAGCAAATAATTACAACAAAAGTGGGAAATGGCAACGAACGGATTTAACCACTTACAGGTCTACAGGATATTTTGTTGATTCGTGTAATATAAAAAGGTTGTTAAGCACACGAACGAGGATCAAATTAAACTATTTTCGTTTGTCACATTATATAAGAAGTTTCAAATATCTCGGTTATGTGCGTCAAAACATTTTTCCAATATACATGAACGCAGCAGAAGTGAGAGGTACAGTTCATAAACGGGCTCGCTCACGACAAAGAACGTGCGCGAGCCCGGGCTTCATTGTTTGGGCGGGTCGCACAGATCTGTCCGCATTGTTTCTGACCCAGTTGAATATTTATCTCAGAACATCTTCTGCATTCTACCAGTAATCCGGATATTTAAAATGGCTTTGATCCTTTGATAGTAGAGACAATTAATTAATTTGGTTTTCATCTTTGTCTCCAGAATGTGTGGAGGCAAATAAATAGATATTTCTGAAAATATTCTTTTAAAAAATGCACAGTTTGCTGAATTCAAAATAGCAATACAAGGATTGATTGTTTTTAATACATTATTCAATCAGGCCAGCCATACATCTCAGATGATTATGTGCCACATTAGCCTCCTGAACTGAAAGTTGAACAGAAGACTTTTTTTGCAGAGGTTAATTTAAGAACCACAGAGACGGGCTTTTCTCTTTAACTGCTGGCAGTAGAGGCTTTCTCCAGCTGATTAGATAAATCCATCCTGTCGGACAATCCCCACACAGGGAGATTGTGTTCAAGTCCACCACATCCACACACTACTCTGTCAGCAACTCTATACGTTATAACCTGAATTTTTTATTTTAATTGGATTTTAATCACCGGATTTGGTCAGTATCCATCTGCAGAATGACCATTAGAACCGCCCGTCCAAACCGGGGGCAACATTTCCGGCCTCGCACGCATTGCTTGAATAAGGTGGGTGTATATCATCATCATCATAATTACTAGTTCTAGTACTTACTGCTGGTATTTTATTTGTGATAGTGAATTATTATTTTAATCAGAAATGTAGAACATTTTTCTTGTTAGATATTTATTTGTTTAACATATTTGGAAGTTTAGTTAGGCTTAACATTTCTGGATTTCTTTAATTATTTTTTAAACATTCTGGGAAAAAAGCAAGCTGCAACTAAAAACATTTGAACAAGAATTACACATGATTTGTTTGCCATCAGCGGAGCAGAAACTTGCTAATCATCGTTAATTCCACTGTAAAGCCAATTAGCTTTACTGCTCTGCTGCCAGTTAAAGTCACCCGACTCACCCGGTACGCTCCTTTATAGTTAATGTTAGCTCCAAACGCCAACAACATGTTGAGTCAAAGGAAAGAACAACGTAACACATCTATTACAGAAAAAAATATTTATTGACAATACAAAAGGATTAAGATCAATGGAGCAGACTGCAAATCACTTGTTGAATAAAAGAGGAAATGATTGAAATACATCCTCAGTAGAGAAGAGATCACTGCCTTCTCACTGAAATACAAATCATTGCATTATATTGTTGCTGTTATCTTCTTTAGATTATCCCATATTCTTTTAGAATTGCCTCCTGCTTCATCAATCATTTAAATAAAAAGATTAGCTTTTCTTTTGTTACCTGTTTTTTTAGTATTATAAATTTCTGCCTATTATTTCCTAACTTAGACTTGAGTGCCAGTTTTAACCTATAGTCCCGTTTCATTCATTACATTCATTATCTTTTTACTTCTGGCAATTAATACATTAAAAAGAAATCTTATGGTCGGGTACATCTTTGGTGTCTGCTTTCAGCTGGAGTCCATTGTGGTGGAGATGCAGGACCCAAAAAGTGGGGTCAAAGGCTCGGAGCAGAAACTCAATGTCAGTACCATCCCACATGTCATCACTGGTGAGTCTGAGAAACACATTCAGATGCTAAGACTTCAAACATATTCAATTGTTTGAATTAAACTTATTACATGTTTGACACAAGTAGTGACGGAACGGATTCGGGCTTCCTTGACCTCTTTTAAGTTTTGGTCCAACAGCAGACTGACAAGAGTACAGTCTAGTCCCTCAGGGGCCTTTATAATACGTACAGCATACAACACACTGTGCCTGAACTCGGGCACACATAAAACAAACGTAACCAAAAGAAAAACGTCAACAGGGAAACGCGTGGAAGAAACGTGAGGAAGAGCAACAACCAGGCAAGATGGTTTTAGGGTTCGAAGGCCGTGCAGATACATTCCTGTTTTACACATTTATATGGATACATACATTCAAATATGTGTTCTTTGTTTTTAAATATGTTTTTAATACAATTTTTAATCAATATTGTATTCGATGGCTATGATAATTTGTAAAAGTTTAAAATTCGGATTGCCACAATAATGAAAAAGAACAGACAATGGGGAGACAAAAGAAGATAACTGGCAATGCTGCGTCCTTTGTCCTATAGGATCGGATTGATTTGTCATTGACCGATCGCTTATTCTGTCAGTTTCTAGAAGGACGACTGAAGATGGTTGAGTAAAACAACAATTTAAAGCCCAGACTGCGTGGACACACGGCCGCCTCGCTGTCTAAGCCGCTAACACGGGCTAAATAAGGCGGCCCACAATTGGATGAGACCTGGAGAGCGCTCTAGGGCCAAAGTGGCTTTTTAATCCAACATGGGAGCAGTGAGGGAAAGGTCAGCATGGTTACCCGAGATAAACCCCCCAGGCGAGGAGGTGCAAGCACCTGCTGCGAGTAACAGTTTACAAACTGAGTGGCTGCTGCAAAAGCCAATTAGTGGGATTCCACGACAACGATTGGTACCTTTAGTATTCATGATCAATGAATCAATGAAACCCAATCAAAACGATTAAGCAGATTCATTCCTGGTTCCAACCCTGTTTCCAAAGGTAAAGACGTCATCGCATGGATCACAAACAAGATGAAGACCACTCCAGAAGGTACACACAACACATGTAGCAAGCACTGCTAAAACATTGCATCTTCTCACATCAGTTAATTGAAGAGAAAACACACACATTGATGACATCATTATTATTATTATTGTCCTTTTCCCCATCTGTGTTCCAGAGGTTCAGGCTTTTGGAACCATGTTAGTGGCGTACGGCTACATCTACCCCCTGCAGAACCACAAGAAGCTGGTGCTGTGCAACGACAGCAGCCTCTACCGCTTCCAGGTAGAACTAAAGCCTCCGCTGCTTCTTTGCTGCCTTCGGTTGGAATTATTGCTTAACATCACAGGGAAACTGCATTTGGAGAGTTGTTGTGCTGCTCAACTAAAGGACACCTACACCAAGCGTTCCTGCAGGGGACCTGCTCATTGTTCATGTCTTAAGAAGATAGTGGAGGTGAATTATTGTTCAAAAGACACATGAGAACGTCAATGTAGTCAGTGTGGAATTACTCTACACATCAAATCAGTTAATTAAAAATGACACGTAAAGCCACAGCCATAGATTACACCGAAATGGTCCAGTCGGCATAATGAATAGTATTATCCGTAATCGCAATATATTAGTTCATTCAATTTTGGTTTGATAGTAAAACTAAAGTTAATCAAGCTGTTTGTCAAGTCTGACATTTTTACCATAATAGGGATCAAATCTTTTTTTTTTTTTTTTTTACATATAATCATGTCAGCAATGGAATATAAACATTTGTTGAAACTGACAATAGAGGACTTTAGAGTACGCGTCTTTAAGTTTGAAAGGGAATCTAACTGCCTAAGGATGGACAAAGGCCGCTGCCACCATAGTTTTAGTTTGCTTGAGAAAGCTAATAGCTGGGAGAGTTAAAAAGGTTCATTCACAGCATCAAACACACCTGCAACAAGGCACATGTGAATTCACTGGTTAATCCAACACCGAGAGAAACAAGGAGAGGAGAAATCTGAGAGCAGGTGTTGCACCAGCGAAGGACTGAAGGTGGAGCACAGGAACTCTGTGCAGGCCACAACATGTCTGAGTGAACGCCGACAGGGGGAGCAAATATATAAGTGCAAGCAACCTCCAATCTAGTGGCTCAACTGTGCTTTTAGTTGCGTTACATCCGGCACGTTGTGACGGGGTGTCGGCCGGCGGAGAGCCGCAGCCCTTACATGCAAGCTCGCGTTCTTTCAAGCCAAGTTCAACTGTTACAGAGGGTGATGGGATATTGGTGAGCAGAGGTCCCTGCAATGAGCCCAAAGGATGTTAAAAACCAAACCCGGGTATCAGCTGATAGACGGCATCTTTTCTCATGAACTCCTCCTCATATGATGTTGTTAGTTTGTTTGTCGTTTTCTGCTCCTCCTCTTTATTCAAAGCAAGGCGAGACTACTGCATTTTGTTGCATTACCTTGTTGTACAACGGCAATAATTAAACATTTTTACCTCCGTATTCCTTTGGTAAAGCCACCAAAGAATACATCCTGACACCAAACATTGTTGTTTGAATAAAGCGGTCGTTCTGTATTCCTACCATATGAAGAAGTTAAAGGCTGCGGAGAGACGATCACTAACACTGTCGTTGTGATCTACACCTTTTCAGACCCCGTACTTCTGGCCTACACAGAAATGGGTTGCAGAGGACTCTGACTATGGTTGGTATGGGGGGTCATTAGAGGAGCTTCAGTGACTTGTTAGGATGAAACCTGTTGAGTCACAATGCACATGGCAAAGAAAGCAAACATTCTTTGTTGAAGTTCCTACAATGAGCACACATCTGGATGTGGGGAATGAAAGAAACTTCATTTGGACAGATGTAGTTTCTCTAATAATATAATATCTTTTTTCTGACTGTAGCCATTTATCTGGCAAAGAGGAACATCCGGAAGAAAGGCATGCTAGAAGCCTACGAACAGGTGTGTGTCGGCGTGTGTGATGACATGTCTGTCTGTGTGTGTGTCAGTGCAACACATCTGCTGCTTTTCCTTTCACATTTACTGACCGCAATGGTTGATTTGTTTTGGTGTGTGGCAACAAGCATTTGGCTTCAAGCTTTTCTTTCTGTTTATGGTTCAACAACATCATTGTTAACTGTCACAGATGGAATGACTCATTAACTTGGAGGCAATGTGGGACTTTGTGACCATTATTGGACTCTAGAGCCACAGCAAAAAATGTTTCTTTATTTGGGTATCCAGTTTTATATACCAAATGAACAGATGAGTTCATAAGGTGTGTTGTATTCTCAGCTCATGAGAAGAGCACAGAATATATACTGTGCATACACATTAGTGCTGGGCAACGATGACCGCTTAACAAATAAGGCTGAAAACCGTCATCAAACGCATTGCCTTCAGGAGAAGTCGGCACCGCAACACATATCAACACTTTCTATACACTATATTTAGGATGTTCAAGACCAAATCTCCGGTTGGCATTTGTTTTTCAAATGTTTAAAACTTTTGACCTGGATCTGGCTGCCTACATAGGCTGCTTATCTTCATGTGTATGAGTGGAGTGTTGATAGAACTGATTCACACCATTAATTGATGTTGCCTGCACTTGAGGTGTAAAGGATCCTTGTTTCTAATGGAGTCTAGTCTCTCCTCTCCCCCTCTTCTTCCTACTGTTGCATCTGTTTTACTCTCTACATGTACAACAGATATACAGTGACAGTGATTTCTCCACATTGTCTCCGTGTTTGAATCAGGCCCATTACAGCCACCTCCATGATTGGCTGAATCACAAGTGGGACTTCATCGTGATGCAGGCCACTGAGCAGTACAAGTAGGTGGAGCTGTTCCGGCTCGGCGTATTTTTGGATGGCATCTCCCTTTGCTGTACAGTTCAACTTTTAAAAGATAAATATTTGCATATTCACAGATTTAAAGATGTTTGTGGAATGTCTAATAACGTGTTGGAGGGGATCTCAAGCTGAATGCACAGAGATAGCTGGTGTTTCCAACCCACCACAACACTACACAGATGTATATGAGATCAGGTGTCCTATCGGGCTATTGACTTATTTTCATTTTTTATCTATATTGTTTTTTTTTACACTATACACATAACGTATAGAGCTGGAGTTACTGTACACCCTTGTCTCATGTCTGAATAGACAGATAGACAGATACTACTGTGTGCAGTACTGTATTCATGTTGCTGTATTTACTGACGTGGATTTCTCTTTATTAGATGAAAAGTAGAAGATCACTGAGGTTTTCTTCGGTTCCGTGTATTAGACGGCCACATGTCTGATCTCACAGACACGTAGCCCCACCAGGAACACGTCAGCGGGTGTAGCCGACATGTCCGGCTCATCAGTATTTTATAAGCACTGTCCGAATAGGATCAGAGGTAGCCTTGAACATTTTCCAATACTAGTACTACTACTACTATAACAATAGCTGCAGGAACATACAGGAAAACATAAGAGAACAGTGGAAAAACAATAAATATGTGAAAAACAATATCAAACATCTGTTCCAAACCTTCTGTACTTTTTTATACATGTACATGTTCATACACGTATGTACAATGAGACTAGTACATGCAGTTCAACTGAGCAACCTCTGAACACAATGAGTGTTCCTCTTGGCACTTCCCTTTGGTGTTTGTTAATTGATATGTGTGTGTGTGTGTGTGTGTGTGTGTGTGTGTGTGTGTGTGTGTGTGTGTGTGTGTGCGTGTGTCAGGGCTGGTAAGGAGAGGAATAAGCCGGATCGTGTTGTGTTTGACTGCCAGGAGAGGGCGTACTGGATAGTCAGCAGGCCTCCAGTAAGTGAGCATTGCTGTGTGAAGAGCAATGATCCAAATGAATCCATAACAACTATTTCTACAGTAGATGCAGAAAGATGTCATGATCACATGACCTGTTCATTCATCATGAACCTGTCCCATGCATGTCCAGCCTCGTACTCACAGTGCTATGGACAGTGGTCCAGAACGTCTTATTGATCCCACCGCAGATGAGGTAACAGGTCAGTCCCAACACACACACACACACACAGCCACCCGTAGCCCTAAACCCTAACCCTAACCCTAAACCCTAACCCTAACCCACCGTGTGCCAGTACCCCGTGGCCCTCTTTGCGTTTACCATACAACCTAAACCCTACCCCGACGGGACCTAATTGACTACGCCTGGTAAGTAGTGTGAGAGTCTGTGAGGGCTTTGACACAGTCATCCTACTAATTGACATCCAGTCCAAAATGGCCTACTTTCGACTCCAGAGAGCTCAGATATTGCCTTGTGGCCCAAGCCGACTGGACACATCTGGACCGTTGCTGAGCAGAGCGGGGCGGTCGGGTGACGACAAACAGCTGTTTGTACTGCGAGATCCTCCAGAGAATGTGCAGCTCACTCGACCAAAACATTTTTACAGCTCTGTACTGCAGGCCTGGCTCAGCACCATCCGTGCCACAAACAAGGTTCCTGGAATGTGGTTTCTTGAGGAGCCTTTGTTCTTTAATGACTTTCTCCCCAGTGATGCTCCGCAATCTGCCAGCGTGCGAGTGGGTCTCAGAGAGGCTGGCTACACTAAATGTCATCATCTGAAAAAGATGATGGGAGGCAACATCACCTCGTCTGGCTGATCAACAGTGGCGGAGAAGGTGTGTGCCACCTGTCTACGGCTCACCAACCAAACTCTTTGCCAGTGGTATGAGTACTGTTTCCCCTCCCTCTACATCAGGGGGGGAAGTCAGCTGCTCACAGTCAAAACCCTGCGCCTGGAGAAATCTGTGGCAAAAAAGCTGCATAGCACACCTGCCTCAGAGTGGTGAGCTGGCGCTCATTGGCAGGGATGAAAGACCCTGACCCCTGACCCTAACCCTTTTATCTAAAGCGACTTACATTGCTTTTTTTAACCCATGGCTTTTTTCTACATTTTTGCCCAGGGAGCAATTAGGAGTTATTGGGTCCAGAGTTGTCCCCAAAAGGCAGCTGGTTGTCGAAGCCTCAAAGCGGACAGCCTCCCCAGTGGAAGGTTGTTTCATTTCGTTCAGTGTCCACGTCTGTCTGCACCGTTTCTGTTAAAGACGTGGTTTCAGGGTCCTGGGGAGGTTTCCTTTCTCCTCCCCTCTCCTCCCCTCTCCTCCCCTCTCCTCATTGGGCTCATTGGTTCATTAACAAAACCCTGTGGTGAAAGTGTGGAGGACATTCCTGAGTCGCTGAATAGACTCATCTCATCATATCCTTGGAAGCTTAGTTTGAGTCTTTCCGCTGAAGGACTGAATGGACTCCGTGAGAACACAGTGTATTCTGTAGATGTGACGTCTGTAAGTCGTCCTTTGTAGACACACAGCACTGCGGCTTTCATCTGTTCTCACCATATTATTATTTAGCTGATGATACTAGATAAATTGACATTTTATTCAGATCATATTTGTTTGCACAATAACACAAAATAGTGCAAATAAAATAAGAAAGAGGAGAAGTATTTGTATAAAAAGATTCTATCATTATCCGGTCTTTTTATTATAATATGAGATTACCATCTTAAGAAAACATCATTTTAAATTGAGTTTTGTGTCTTAAAATTTTTTTAAGCCAGTTTAGGGCATTTATTTTATTTATTTTTAATCGCATTCTTAAAATGCCCCTGAAAATGTCCTCAACTAAGACAAAAGCAGTGGGAATTATGTCTTTGCATTTTTACTTTCGGGGCAGTAATAATCTTATCTTTTTACAACAACACAGCTGAATAACAGTAATAGGTTAAGTTAGCGTCAATACCTTTTTCAATAATATAGAATGAGTCAGAACCTGCTCTACCAAACGGTAGTTCCCCTGAACAGAGAAACTCATTAATTTGTTGCATCTTTCTTTGTCTCCCACTCTTTCCACAGATCTCCTTACAATGATGAAGACGAGAGAGTAAAGCAGATTGTCATTCATGTCGTGTGCAAATGACAATCTCGCACGTGACCCGTATAGTTTTTAGTCGGTCTCTTCAGGAAAGAGTGATTTAAATGATCCATGATGATAATGTTGTCTAATTCCTGTAATAATTATATATGTATATACAAATTGGTTGTAAGGGAGGATGCTTTCATTTCTGCTTCCGTCCTGAAAAGTCATGTTTAGACCATTTTCTACTTTCACTGGAATTCGTATCACACAGCATAGTCAGGATCTCTCAGATCCTTCTGAAAAGCTGCTGCAAATGAATCACTCTTGACTTGAAGCATAAAGTGTCTCTGTGTTTTGTTATTGTCCATTGGTTTCAGTTTGTGCTTTGCAGCAGTAGCTTTACTTTAATGTAACCGCATGGTGCTCAATCCTTTATTGTTCTCACAGCAAACTGTTCCCATGTTAACAGTATTTCTTCTTGTCACTCAGAAAATCCCTTTTGATGAGTACAGACGCATGGTAAGTCAAAGCGATGTTCATATAATGTAAGTTGATGTAATAGAAATCTCTTAACTAGTTGTTGATGGTTTGAAGTCAGCTGTGTCAGCAAGCAGGACATTTTCATGGGGTTACTTTGCACACTGCAAGTTTATGATTACTTCATTGATGTGAATCCACAAGTTTGGTCTTCCTCTATCATTTCAGAACATATTCTACCAACAAGCTATCATGAGGTCAAAGGTCAAATCTAGCGTGTCCCTTGGAGCGTAAGTTCCTCTGGTTTCTTATTCTATTCTGGTTCAAATCAATTTGAAAGATTTTCTTTATGAGAAGACTTCTTTCAAAAACATGTATTTGTTTATTATTATATGATTATTATTCAATATAATATGCTATCTCGCAGGCCTAATTCAACAAACGGATGTGTGGATTGTCATCATGCAGTGTGCAGTTAAAACGTTTGATAGATCCCCTCAGTAGATTCTGTTTGTCTCATGATGGTTCTGTTTCTGCAGACTGACCAAGTACGTCACAACCTACAAAAACCACGACCCGTTTCTGGCTCCCTGTCTACCCAGCAACCCCTGGCAAACAGACCACGATGCATACTGGACTTGCAACACCAGGCGGTGAGTTTCTTATTTTATCCGGCTTCATCGTCAAGATAATTAAAAAGAACAAAGACCTCTTCAGACTTTACACAGTGAGTGGGTCACCTTACACAGTGACCTCGTAGGGCGACTGCGGGGCTGTTGTCCAACAAGGCCGTCACACGTGGACTTGGAAAGAGAGTTGAGGGGCACCTGTGGCTCAGGAGATGGAGAGGGTCATCTACTAACCAGGAAATGGGTGGTTTGATTGCCCGTTGAAGCAAGATACAAAAAAACAAATTGCTGCTGCAATTGGTGTGTGAGTGTATGTGAATGAGCCTTTGCTTAAGAAGTATTGACCTGTGTGTGTATCCGTGTGAATTTTTAGGGAACAGCTAGAATTACTTCAACATTAAACTGTTTTCACTGCTCAGTTTAGGACATTTTAATAGAACCGGCCACGCAGCTTCTGTATCTGGCTATATCAGGCAGTGCAGTCTATGTCATCCTCTCTACAAACATCCCTATGGTATTCAGAAGCCATGGATGTCCACTTAGCTGATTCCATTCAATGGATTTCATCTGGCCCAAAGTCAAACATTTTAAATGGGCTTCAGAGGGCTTTACCATCTGTACACATGCAACATCCTCTGTCCCGGAACCCTCATATCTGCAAGGGAAAAAAGTCTCCAGCCCTTTGTGGTCTATCATTTGGTAAACCATCTATATTCATTATGTTGTTGTAAAAAAAAAGATGAAAAATAATTCCCAGGGCGGCACGGTGGTGTGGTGGTTAGCACTGTTGCCTCACAGCAAGAAGGTCCTGGGTTCCACTCCGGCCATTGGCCTTTATGTGTGGAGTTCTCTCCAGGTTCTCCGGCTTCCTCCCACAGTCCAAAGACATGCTCTGGGGTTAATTGGTGACTCTAAATTGCCCGTAGGTGTGTGAATGTGAGTGTGAATGGCTGTGTAGCCCTGTGATTGGCTGGTGACCAGTCCAGGTTGTACCCCCTCTCACCCGAAAAAAGGGCCATTCACGAAGACCTTCATGGCTTGGTACAAGACTTACATTCACTGACGGGACAAGAGACACAGAGGGCTTAAATACACTGGGTGTAGGTGCAGGTGATTGACACAGGTGGAAACAATCAGACAATCACAGGGGATGACGGGACAAGGCAGGAAGTGAAGTAACCCAGGGACACAACATGAAAACTACAAAGTAAAGCAGGAAATAAACCCAAACCGTTATACAACATTACATTACATTACAGATCATTTAGCAGACGCTTTTATCCAAAGCGACTTACATTACACTTTAAACCCATGGCCTTTTTTTCACATTTTTGCCTGGGGAGCAATTAGGGGTTAGGTGTCTTGCTCAGGGACACTTCGACATGGAACATGGGGCAGCCTGGAAATGAACCAACAACCTTGTGCTTCCCAGCACAGCTTCTTTAACCCCTGCGCCACGACAACCCACAGACACAAATAGCATGTGCCTTATGAAAGAGAACCAATCCCTCTCTTCCATATTTGTGACGTCTTTCTGTCCGCCACCGATGCCATGATACAATTGAAATGACCGTCTTTTCATTTTTATTACACTCCGTAGAGCTGTGTCTGCACTGCAAATGTAAAGTATCCCGTACAGATGGTATGTCTGTAAGGTGTAGTGTGGATGCTTTGCCATGTAGCAGTCGGACGTCCAGTCCGTGACTCAGCCTTTTGTTTGTGTCCAGAATCGACGTTCCCACAAAGATGCGAGTCGAACGCTGGTCCTTCAGCTTATTCGAGCTGCTGAGCGACCTGCGAGGCCGGGACGACTTCAAGGTCTTCCTCAAGAAGGAGTTCAGCGGTATGCCGCCACATCTTATGAGACATCTTTCCGTACCCTGAATGTCTTGTGTCAGAACCCTCCCTCTTGATTTGGGCACCTGGGTATTTCTACAGGTTTTACTTGAGGAAATGTTTCCCTAGACGGCAAGCGAAGCACATGGGGCTATCCGTTTGATACGCCATCCCCCATCCAAGACATGTGATTGTTCAGTAGACCAGAAGAAGCCTGGGGCTCCTTCCTGTGGCACCGCCTGGCTTTGAAAACACAATACAGTTGTTCACAATCACTTTGATACTATTTTCAGAACCTTGATGTCATTTTTCAAAACTCAAGATGCAAAACTCACAACAGTCATTGTGCAATCATATCTTTAAAGAAACCTTTCACTTTTCACCGTGACACACGGGTTTATTGTTTCAAACAACGGATTTATCATGAAATACCGCGGGAACATTTAGATCAGCCACACACAAGATACTCATAGTTTCACTGTTTGGTTGTTTGTACAATCATTCAATAATGCTGTACAAAATAGATGATACAGGTTTCATTATTGTAGTAAATGTAAAGAAATCCCTGTAAAAGTACTACTGTAGTAGAAAGAATAGTACAGACACAGTGGAATCATTGAACAAAATTTGACCGTTATGAAATACAATAAAATCACAATATAGGTTTATTTGAATCAAAGCAAAAATAGAGTAATTAGCTGCAAAACATGAAAAAAAGGAGAGAGTTCCTCAGTCGGGTTGAGGAAAGGAGAGTATGGGGGCAAATACAGGCTGGTAAATTGTGCATGTCCCTGAAAACATGATTCCACCATTTAAGCATTGGAGGAACCTGACATTGTCCCACACAATGACATCACACCATCAGCTCTACAGACCTGATCACTCATCCAGGATGGTTACAGGGAGAGCAGCATTATATGAGCCAATGGGAGCCGTGCGCCCGACCACACCATCATGGTGTTGGCAGAATTGGACAAGTAATTACAAGGGCTGCAGCATGGTGTGAAAAGTGATACATGGGACCCTAGAAACAGTGTCTGATAGAGAACGATGATCAAATATCTCATCCCCAGATAATGAAGTGCAACCGGTTTATGTTCCACGCTAATTGGTGTTAATGGAATAATTTTGAAACCTCGTGATCTACACAATATTGTTTGTCAGTATCCATAAAACTATGCACTAAGGGTTATGAAGCAAATACTTTTGAGATGTTGTATCAATTGATAGTTTGATCGGTGCAATGAAATGAATGGACAATCATTTCAACCGTGACGTAGGAATTGCATTTTGAAATAGTTTGATGTGACTTTGACTTGACTTTGATGTTACATTGAGTCATATTGAACAGGTGATTTTAGGTCAATGAACAAATGATCTTTGGTTTTTGTCTATTATATCCAAGCAATTGAAAAAAAGTGTTAAGAGTTTTGAAAAACATGCAATTTGATCATTGGTTGTGAGTTTTGTATCAATAGTTTTGAAAAATGGCATCACGGTTCGGAAATTAACTGCAAAGTGATTGTAAAAAACTGTATAAATCACTGATTAATTGACGTGTCACTGTGTGTGTGTGTGTGTGTATGTGTGTGTGTGTGTGTGTGTGTGCGTATGTGTGTGTGTACATCGTACGGGAGAACTTGGCTTTTTGGGAGGCAGCTGAAGAACTGAAGTGGGGAACAGCATCTTCCATGACATCCAAGGCTGAGACCATTTTCAAGTAAGAAAACAAAAACAACTGTTGTGCGTGTGTATGCGTGTGTGCGTGTGCGTGTGTGTGTGTGTGTGTGTGTGTGTGTGCGTCCGTGCCATCCATTGTCAGATACTGGAAGCGGAATAGAAAGACGTTTTATTGCCTGCTGACTCCTAATTGTCTGCTAGGCCAAAAACAGGTGCTTGCTATGAGTCTGGAGTCTGGATACTAAAAGACGTCCGAGCCTTAAATAACTTCTCTAGGATACAAGCTATTTTAACTGTAACTTAATATATTACAGAATATGTCCAAGTAGCTGAATGTCACCCCACACATCGTTCTCCTTCAGCGTGATGCTGCTTCCTCCTGCTCTGTAGAGACAGTTTATAATCACACCACTAAAATAAATGTACAATTAGTTTAAACAAAAGCAGCAAAGCAACCCTCTCATTCTGAGACAGGGTGTCCAAAGCTTTCACTGGTACTGTATCTGTTTTACTGCTTCACAGGCAGTACAGAATATGTTGTGTTAATTGATCACATTGACCATTTTATTAGCTGATTGAGCAAATTAGTTTGCCAGCATTTAAGGTAATAATTTGAGATTCAATCAGTGTTACATTCCCAAACTAGGTTAGTGGACAAGTCGCCTAACTTAATGTGAAACAACATGTTGAACCTGCGCGTCTGTGTGCTTAGAACCTTCCTGGCCCCCGGCGCCCCCCGCTGGATCAACATTGATGGCAGGACGATGGGTCTGACCGTGAAAGGCCTGGATCATCCCCACCGCTACGTGCTGGAAGCCGCCCAGACACACGTGTTCCTGCTCATGAAAAAGGTGCACGTTCTTGTGTCTAATAAAGCCTACAACTCAAATAGACCAATGACACTTGGATGACTAAAGTGTTCCCACTCCAGGAGACAGGCTTCTGACGTCTGTGACGTTACCATTGGTCCGTCGACGGGAACATATTATGAATGGGGCTGTCTGGGAGGACAACCAACCCCCAAACCCACATGTTTTTATGAATGGAAAGGGGGAGTCTCCCTCTCCTTAAATCAAGGCTCTAACATGTAACATGTTACTCGTACTATAACTTGTGATCCAAATACAAATGTGTATGTAAATGAAATAAACATGTGCAGGTAGAAGGTCAGCATGTCTCATGTGCTTTCATTGGTACAGGATACCTTCTTCCGTTACCTCAAGTCCCCCGTGTACAAAGACACCCAAAAGAACGCGCTGAGCCCTGCGCCTCATAACTTCAGGTTGGTCGCTCTACACACGTTACAAAATCTTTTAAAATATTTGTGTAATGTTCTCGCTGCAGTCTGACATTTCTGCCCCACAGTTCGATGCTCACTCATTCAAATATTAAAACACATTATAACCTAAAGTGGCATAAAAGCAGGTACAACTAGGTCAGACATTTCGCAGAGAGAGACTAGTCCTCCTGACGTGATTCTGTCTCCGCCCCAGTCCGGCACAGCTGGAGCAGAACGCTCAGAACCGAAGCCTCGGCGTCCATCCGGTCATCGTATGGCAGCAGGAGGAGGAGGAGAAGGCCAAGGCTGCTGCCGCCTCCGCTCCCGTCGACGTCAAGGCCATGATGAGCAAAATAGACAGGAAGAAGTAGATTTCATGTCTCACAGTACAGGGACACGTATACGTGTGATTGGAAGTCAAACCCAATTGAAACAAGTAAGACCGTACAGTGAGCAGATTTATGCATCTGCCATAAATAATTGTAATTTGTTTTAAACCCATAACCAGTAATACGTATTGAGCATTCTAAAGCTTATTTGTTTAATATTCATAATCAAGTTAACGGATATTAATGTTTTATTAATGAACCCAAAGTATTTTCAAATGTATAGTTCTTCTATCCACCCAATAGAATACAATATTTAACTACTACGACGTAGAATATATAAAAAAAGAAGACGTCAGACACTATTTTTCTTATTTATTTCTTATTGGTAAAATCGGCAATACCGCATCAAAACACTACACTACTAATACACTAGTATACTAAAATACTAATACGCTAATACCCTAGTATTGCAAAATCACTTATACACTAATATACTAGTATACTAATACGCTAATACACTAGTATACTAAAGCACTACGACACACTACACAATGCACTCCCATAATACTATACCACCTTCACTCACACACACAGGGAGAAATGATCCAGGTTGTGTTTTTGTACTGCTTAAGATGACATGTACGTCATGTAAAAATGCTGACTCGCTTTTATTATTACAATGCAGGTTGGCTGTTTGACTTGACTTTGCAATATGTATTAATAATGGTGAAACACAATATCGACTGATAAGACATGGTGATACATTGATAAGAGTTTAGTGAAGATGTAACTCGCGTTACTTAAAGTGAATTGTTTTCAAAATTGTCTGATTTACGCTGAATTTAAGGAATTCTAATAAATAATCAAACATTAAACAGCTTTTATTCTCGCTTGTAGGTTATATTTCGTCATATACGTTGCCCTTTCCTCTTAGTGTAAAGGAGATACTGAATAGCAAGACGTCACTGTTGAAATGCACCATATAATAATACATATGACGCTACTATAATTATTTGTTGGAGGATCTGCACACAATATAATGTAATAAATGAGATAAAGATAAGCTGCCTTTGCTGTGTTTGAGTGTGTCAAACACACTCGTGTGTTATCAAACCTTTTTATACTAAAGTAAAATCACCATGTGTCCCTGTTGCCGTGGTGTGCTCAGGGTGATGGGCAGTGTTGGGTTTCCTCCACACAGCGCTTTGCATTGAAGCCAGAATGTTCCATCCTGGTCTTCCACTGGTTGCTGTTCAACAACAGGATTTGTTATGGTGGACTTTGCACAGCAGCTTTCTTCTTGCCACTCCACCATTAAGGGCAGATCAGTGGCTCCCATTAAGTACATGGCTAATAGTTGTCCTGTGGACAGATCCAGTTCCTCATCTGTGGATCTTTGCAGCTCCTCCAGAGTCACCATGGGCCTCTTGGTTGCTGAACTGATTCATCTTCTCCTTGTCCAGCTCGTCTGTTTGTTTGGGTGGACGGTCTTCTCTTGGTAGGTTTGTGGTTGAGCCGTATTCTTTCCATTTTTTAAAGATGGATTTCATGGTGCTCCGTGAAATGTTTAAAGCTTTATGAGGCTGTATAGAGGAAGAGCAGCAGGGTCGATCTAAATTGCAGATATTTTGGTCTCATACAGCCCTGATTGATTCCCTCAGTACGCCGACTAGAATGAGGGCTGCTCGCCTGGCTGGTGCATGTTTAAGTATGAACCCAGGAGTGCAAGCATTGCAAATACCCAGTAATAATCATGTTACATTACAGGTCATTTCGCTGACGCTTTTATCCAAAGCGACTTACATTACATTTTAAACCCCTGGCTTTTTACATTTTGCCTGGGGAGCAATTAGGAATTGCTCAGGGACACTTCGACTTGAGACATGGGGCAGCCAGGACTCGAACCAACAACCTTGCGCTTCCCAGCACACCCGCTCTACCATCAATTCAATCACTTTATTTCATAGTAGTAGTGGGGAAAAAAAAACTAAACATCTTTTACATACACTTTATTATTTACAAGGTTTCTGCTAGTTGGACCATAAAGGGTTACTTGGCCATGCCAGACAGCCAGCTGAGTTTGAATAAAGACTGAGTGGCCGTGTCCCCGTCCTGATCGGCCAGCTGTCTGAACAGGCTGCCGGGACGGAAGCTGTCCTCACCGTCTGCCAGGGAGGACGGAGTCGCCTGCCGGAGGAAGGAGACACGTCAGGTTGTACAACATACAACTCCAGTGTTGGTCAGGACTAAGTCTTGATCCAGACCACTTCTGATGTGGACATTTTGGTTACAAACACCCATCAAACTCCTCAGTGATGAATAATGAAAATGATTGAAATGTTTGTAGTTTAGTAAAACGGTAAAGGAACAATCTAGCACTGTTTTGTAGCATTACAATCCTGGATCAGGGCTAGCTAGATCCCACTATGCTACTCCATGCTAACAAATGTGCTGCTCCATGCTAACACCTGTGCTGCTCCTTGCTAACAAATGTGCTGCTCCATGCTAACACCTGTGCTGCTCCTTGCTAACACCTGTGCTGCTCCTTGCTAACAAATGTGCTGCTCCATGCTAACACCTGTGCTACTCCATGCTAACACCTGTGCTGCTCCTTGCTAACAAATGTGCTGCTCCATGCTAACACCTGTGCTGCTCCTTGCTAACAAATGTGCTGCTCCATGCTAACAAATGTGCTGCTCCATGCTAACACCTGTGCTGCTCCTTGCTAACAAATGTGCTGTTCCATGCTAACACCTGTGCTGCTCCTTGCTAACACCTGTGCTACTCCATGCTAACACCTGTGCTGCTCCTTGCTAACAAATGTGCTGCTCCATGCTAACACCGGTGCTGCTCCATGCTAACACCTGTGCGGCTCCTTGCTAACACCGGTGCTGCTCCATGCTAACACCGGTGCTGCTCCATGCTAACACTCCAGTATTTCAGCATTGGATTCCAAACAGTCAAATAAAGTTAAATAATCTAGGCTTACATAAGGGCTACTACCGTAGCATGCTGAATGTCCAGTGCGAGAGCCCTCCGAGGATCATGTCTAGTAAATACACAAGCTGAGGACTCGTGCGGACTACTTTCTCGGTTTCCAGAAGATTCTTGAAATGGTTTCAAACAGTTATCATGGACCTCTGGACCCAATGATTCACAGAACCGCCAACGTGATGTTCATGAGCCCCAACGAACAGTCAGACCATTTAAAGAAAACGGTTGATTGAAATAGATTTTCCCCTGTGTGTAGCCTGTACGGAGACAGAACATTGTTAGCCTAGCTTACCCCAAACACTCTATTAGCTCAAAGCCAACTGACATTGTTATCATGTTACTGTTGAGACAGCTAATGAGTATTAAAAACTATTTCCTCAGATGCCAGTGTGATTTGTCGAGGCATTTTTGATGGATAAGTTTTAAAAGTGAAAGTTTTCGACCAATCACAACTTTAGCTGCATAGGGACATCTGCTTTTTTCTTTTTCTGCTGCCAAGACAAACTTGACCAATAATGCATTCATTAAAGATGTGATTGGTCCATTTAAAAACAGGTAAGAACAGCCCACGTCCTCTGCTACCCCAAGGAGTTCTCCAGACTTTAGTCTGATCCCAAACTACATGACGAGCACAAGCAGGGTGGCAGATTAGTGAGAAATATCACAATATATCAGTTATGAAGCCCTGTGGCACTAAACCAAGTCACCACTAAGAACACACGCACACACTTACCTGTGCATCTCAAAAACGCTGGGAGGGCAGAAGGTGAAAGAGAAACATTTTTCCCAGAGTTGAACAAAACAAGGACCATCCTGTGGTAGTCGACATGTGAAACACTGAGACTCAGATATCTGATTCCAGGTCTGTCACTCACCAGCTGGAGAGCAGCGTCACAGCTCCGGGGGGCTGACTTGGATTTACGCACACTGGACGTGCTGAGAGGCAACAACCCGAACCTGCACAACATCGAACAACCATTATTAAAATACTTCCTCGGTACTGAATTCTCGATCAGACATTCTGGATTGGAAATAAAATGCAGCCAATTTCCGATTTTGAGTTCACATATAACATGTCATAAAAGAAATGGTTATGTTGAGTTTGTCCTTATTTATGGAGAAGTTATTCAGACTTCTTATGCTAAACAAACTCCTCCAAACTCTATTGAACGTCTGTTTTTCTGAGTACCTTAAAGTTTGACTTTATACTTAAAGCATTAACTAACTGCTCAGAAGTTTACTGTTATAATGCAAGTTGCTTTGCCATAACAAACGAATGCCCTCGCAGTGGAAAATATCTTTGGTTTTATATTTGAGATTTAGCTGTAAAATAATCTCAATATTTGGCAAGTATGTAGGCTAAGAGGAAAATGTCATTTAAAAGAAATGTTTTAACTGCTAATGGAGTTCTGCGGCTAAAAAACATATTTGTTTAAATTGTTTGCATAAATAAAAGTGCGCAATATATATAATTTTGCAATTATAATTAAATTCCTGGCTCTCACTTTTAAAACAGGCATACATCACTGTGGATACATTGGGAATAATGACTCCCATTTATTCACCTAGTGTGTGTTCAATCATTTGTACGCCTCTACACATTTTCCTGCGATGGGCGTTTTCAGGGATCAACTGGAGTAAAGAGTGCTCGCTGTCCTCTGGTCACATGATCCGTCGGCGTCTCATGGGTTTCCTTGGATTTACTCACCTGGTCTGGCTGCTGGCTAGTGGCAGGATGTTGTAGGGCTCCTGAGAGTTGCCACTGCTGCTCCGCGGGGCAAACTGCTTCTCTGAGCCCGTCAGCAGCCCCAGCAGCACCTGAGACAACAGCACATGAACCTGTGAGCAGCCAGCGAGCCCAGCAGTCTGTACATCTACCCAATGCGGACAACGGAGGCACCCTGAGTTCGTTGGTCACTCATCTCTAATCTAAAGCTGCTTCTATAACATCATTAAGATGAAACTACGCTGCACTTCTATGTTTTTTAGGGCTCAATGTACCGAGGTCCTCTGGGACAGGCGGTTGAGGTTGGTGTTGAGCGGCGGTGTGAACACATCCAGGTCAAAGGGGTCGATGTAGCCCTCCAGCCAATCACACACCTCGTGGAATCTGGAAAACACACAACACAATGTTTGCTTTCAGATACGTTTTAAATTATCAGCAGGACATCAGAAAAAAATAATAATTAAGCAAGGTACGCTGGCTAAATCGGGATGAAACCGCCTATCTTCTGATTGGAGGAAATCCTGCTCCACCTGCTCCTGCCGAGTCACACCAGTCAACGAAAAAGGTTTGGGTCTGTGCTTCTACATCGAGTCGTGGATCCCTCAGATCCTTCTGTAGAAATTAAACTCTGCAGGTCCTCGTGGATCGGTGAAGACCTAACTCAGCCAGCATGGGGGGCACGGTGGCCTTGAGCTGGTGATCAACCCTGGCGGAGCTGGGACAGCGGACGTTACCTGGGGTCTTGGTGGGATCGGGAGCCCTTTCCTTCCTCCACTCTGCTACCCAGAATAGTGTGAAGGTAACGGAGGTCAAACAGCAGCTGTAAGGCTCTGTTCTGAGTCATGGGGAATACGCCCTCCTGGATGGAGCAACAGAAACAAACAGGGAGCTGATGTGGTTCCTGATGAATGAAGAGCAAGCCTCTAAACTCACCCCGCCACAGTAATATCAATGAAACTACCAACTATTACATTGGTAATAATGTTGGGCTGCTTTGCAAAGTAAGGACAGCGCGATACGATCAAAAGCCTCTGACCTGCTCGCCAATGAACTTTCTAACCCTTTTTTTACCCACAGGTTATAGAATCCGAAGTCATCAGAAGGTACAACACAAACGTCCCTCATCTTCATTGTGTGTGTGTGTGTGTGTGCGCCTGAGTTACCCTGCTGGGGGCCTGCTGCGTGAGGGTTTGGTAGTGGTGCAGGACCTGATTCAAACAGGTGTGCAGCAGCTCCTGCAGGGTGGGCCGGGGCAGAGCATGCCCCCCCACCCTGTTCACCTGCACACACAGCTGGAATAGCAGAGACTGCACGAACCAGGACGGCTGCAGAGGAGACAAGCTCGCCATCACATCACTGAACGGACACATCATTGTGCTTCCCGAGGTTCTGCTAGCTGACCTGGACTGGAAGACGGATCTTGGATGTGACATTGCTCCCCGACTCGGCTTCCTCCTGGATCTCCAGATCCTCCCAGTTCGTTGCGGTTGTGAGGATGGCCCCGGCAGACTCGGCATGCAGCGCTGTGGCAAACTTATCCAGCAGCACCTGTCGCAACACACGGTAATAGTCATTCTTCTCTGGTCTCCAACGCCTTTAAATATCAAACTCTAAAGCTGCTAAATGCTCCTCAATGTTCACCAGCCGTTCCCTGACCCTGCCAGCAGGTAAGCAGTGGGGTCACAGAGGCAACAGAGGCAACAACATGTGTGTGTGCCTTTGTTGAAGCAAGGGAACTGCCGTTTAGATCACGGACACTAGTGGCAAACCCTTTCACATTACACATTTGATACCATAGAGTTATGTTAAGTAGTGCAGCTGAAGCTTTTCCCTCCATTAGTGAAATCCCATTCGTACAATCACATGATGTCACGTGGACAAGACAAACTGAAGACTGAGAAAATGTTGAGATCCTGAAGGGTGTAAGTGGACTTTGATCTAGGATTGCTTTGTTGAAGTTATGGCCTTATTTAGGTGTGAAGACATTTTTATGAAGCAGAAAGCCTTTTCTCGACAGACCGAATTAGAAGTCCAAAGAGAAAGTACAGAAAAGGTGGATATCTGGACCCAGTTCCAATATTTGGAACCGCTGTGGACATTAGGGGCTCAACTTTTTTATCAAACAATTCTACCGTCTATGGAAGCTTTTGGACTTTCAACTGCATTTAAGTCCAAAGCAGCTAATTGAGCTACTACAGAACATGTAACCCAAGAGTAATCTTATACAGGGGGGCAGGGAACTCAGTTCAAAGTTGATCCTTGGCTGCAGAAAGCTTGCAAACAGAGGCATGGATTCTCCCCTCTGACTGACATTGGAGCGACACTTTTCCGTCTTTGTCTCTGCCAACAGTCCAACACAAACACAATTTGTTAAACATTCAACAAATGAACGTCTGAGGGTATCTGACTTTGGACAGGGCGGAGCTCCAGATGCGGTACGCCTCCATGCTGCAAACGAGGAAATCCTCCTTCAGAGCTGCCCACTTGGTTTGGGAGGGGCTGGCCTCCGTGGTGGCCCTGGCTTTGCCCAGCTTCTTGCCCTGTCTGGGGGTCCCCTTCGCTGTGGCCTCAGAACCGCTCTGTTTCCCCAGGATGCAGTGCTTCAGGTTGGGGCACAGTTCCCCCATGGACTGGCAGAGCCTGGCCATGAAAAGGACTGAACTGAGGCGGGCGGGGCTGAGGTCAGGGGGGGCGGAGAGCAGTTCGGAGCGAATGGAAGACAGGATGAGGCGGACACAGGCCAGGCAGCCCTCCCGTAAAGCGTCCTCCACTGCTGGAGAATCGGTGAAGCGGTTAAAAGAGGACGCTGACGCGCTCTCGCTGGGTCCAGAAGGGGGGGCTGAGACGGAGCTGGATCCTACAGAATGCAGCATGAAAGGGGACTGTTAGCACGTTAGGAAGTACATCCAACACATCCAACCGTTGGAGACATATGCGTCAAAAACACACTGGTGACACGGTAGTAAAAGTCAGGATTATCAATTATCATCAACTTGTGAATGTCTGTAGAAAATCCTGTGCCAATCAATCGAGGTCACGTGACTATGCCGCACCATCCCATTTGAGATGCCCCCGCCCTGCAGGGCTAACACGCAGCTAATGTGGTTTGACAGTGTAGCATGATGGTCACCACCAGCATGCTGCCGGCGTTGCTACCAGTACGCTCCCCAGCTACAGTAGACTCTCAAAAAGTCTTCATCAAGCCTTCAGCTCCACCCACATCATGACAGGGGATGCATTCATTTAGTCATGCCACGTGTGGTCTGATCAGCAATAGAGAACTCTAGCTGGGATTGCATTGTTTTCAGAGGGAATGATCGGTTCACCTCACTGTAAAATCCGATTTGTCTCTTCCAGGAAATGGTAGCTCAGCCTCTTGTAAATGACAAATCGGCAGGTGTTGAAATACTTGGGACTACTAACCCAGTCGCTGTGCTAAGTCGGTCTGAACAATACACTGGCCTAAACAGACTAGTACACAGGGGCTAGGTTTGAATCACCTGGGTCTTGGAAGGGGAGGTAGTACCGCAGGTCGTCCAGCCTGGCCTTTAGCTTAGCATCCAGAGAGGAGCAGAAGTTCTGGACGAAGGGCGTGACGGCCTGGGTCTTCATGGCCAGGCTACTCCTCTGATGCTTCTGCCCCCGCTGATTCACGCTGACCCACCCTGCATCGCTCAGCAGGTCCCCCGGGGATTCCGACCACAGGAAGGACGCCACATCTACCTCGTACTGGGCGCCGCGGGCTGAGCCAGGGTTGGTAGCTGAAGTATGGATGGTCTGGCCCTCAAGATCCCTCACAGTTGAGGTGAGGAGCTGGATGGAGCTTGTTGAGATGGCTTCAGTTTCTTCTTTGGTGATAGCCTTGGAAACGGGATGATAGTGTCAAATTGGATCGCATCAGCATGCACGTCGGTCACTACTGCAAGGTGCAACATGACGGGACATTTCAAGGAATCACAAAACAATAAAAACGCCAATGGAGAGACGCCTTTAGATGCTGAGCACACACCTGCAGGCGCTGAAGGAAGAGTTGCTGCAGGAAGTCGTCCCACACAGCCAGGGGGCGCTCCAGCAGCCGCTGACACACAGCGCTCCAGTGCTGACTGATGGACTCGGTGGACAGGAGGTCCCATACAGAGTCTCTGATGGCCGCCAACCCCTTCAGGCTCTTTACATAGACCAGAAGGCCGCTGACGCCACGGCAGATGTCCTCCTTACAGCTGAAAGTCAAAGAAAGATTCAAAAGTCATTGAAAAGATATCTAATGATAATCGATGATAGATTGATAAAGTCCCATCTCTTTTACTGCTTCTCCCGAGAAGGAACCCCCTCACCCCGTACCCCCCCAGTCATACGCCTTCTCCAGGACCACAAAACACAGACTGGATGAGCATACTCCCAGGTCCCCTCCAAGATCCTTTAAAGAGTAAAGACCTGGTTCAATGTTCCACGACCGGGACAAAAACCCAGTTTTGTTCCTTGTCAATCCGCGGTTCGACTGCCGGCCGAACCCTCCTTTCCAGCACTTTATCGGGGGGGCAAAGGAGGGTGATCTCTCTGTAATTCTCTCTGGTCCCCATTTTGAAGACAGGTACCACCCCCCGGTCTGCCCGCTTGGGCCCGTCGGTACACTGCAACTGACTACCGAGTCCCGACGGTAGTTTGGACAGTGACCGAGGGTTAGCGTAGCGTCCCTTGATGCACCTACGACCTTGAGGCCACAACTCACCACGGCAGCTTCAGCAATGGAGGTTTTGGACATAGACCACTCTGCTTCAATGCACCCCACCTCCACGGGAATGTGAGAGAAGGTTTAAGTCAATTGATCTAAATTAAACATATGATCTAATATCAAAGTATTTTTCCTTGGTGATTGTAATGTCCATAAGCTTTCACTGCCTCAAACTCCAGCATGTATTCAATTTGAAATCTCCAAGTGCTCAGCAAAGTATTTGTGTTACCAGATTGTAGGAGCGATTTAATTAATAATATATTTAGTTATTTTATGTAGTAGTGTTGTTTAATGATTTTAGAGGTTTGCTTATTAGTTAAGATTTTTTTTTTTTTAATAGTTAGATCATTTGGCATCAATATATGCATTTATATCCCTCAAACGTAACACACTACTCCAAGTGAACAATTCTGTTCACGTTTATACATTTTCTTTTATAGTAGAAGAGCAAAGAATAGTAAGATTGTTACTAGGGGTGTAACGATTCATCCACTGAATCAATTTATATTCCTGCCAACTGAATCGATCTGTGCTCAGCAAATCGGCATTCCGGACGACATATATCGATTACAAATCGATTGAAATGGTACATAATCGATTGATACTTTGTATCGATACTTCGAAACTGCACATTGGATTTAAGTACAAAAACGGTGTGGATGTGTGTTTGTTTGTTTGTTTGTTTTTTAGCCCTTTAGACACGTTAAACGTTACTGGATTCAGTCTGCCTGTCTGTGACGTCATCAGTACGCAGCGGCAGCCGCGCGAAACTCTGAACAACAACAAAACACAGCGTGGAGGAGACGACTGCGAGCGAGACATTTACAAACTAACTTATCGATCCAGCGCGTGGAAACATTTAGGCTTTTGCAAACACGGAAGTCTAAATAAGTTGGCCGCTGTTTGTAGAATATGTAGAAGACAAATAAAAAAAACACGGAAACACGACGAATCTTTCCGGCCATCTACTAAGGCGCCGTGGGATTAAACAACGCCGACAGTCAGGACCTCTAGCAGCGTCACCGCTGCAGCAGCAGCAGGTAACTGCAGCTCTGCAGACACCTCAGGCCTCGCCAGCACCAAACTCAACATCACAGCAACAATTGCCAAGTTTATCTGTAAAGACATGCGACCCTACCATGTGGTTGAACATCTGGGGTTCTGTGAATTGATCCAAACATTGTGTAATTATTGTGTAATGTTTACATTGAAAATGGTTGCATCGTTACACCCCTAATTGTTACCATTCATTAGTATGATTCTTGCTGATCTTGCAAGCAGTCTGTGTATCATGATGATTAAATGTGCATCGAACAGACAATTTGAAAGCACCAGACAACGGGGAAACCAATCAAACGTGAAACAGAGAAGCAGTGTCCTGATTGGTTTGCAAGTTCGACACTTGTGGGTTACAGCTTACGTATCGATCCACTGCTGAAGGGTGTCCCGGAGCTGCTCTCTCTGGATCGGCTTAGCCAGTGTGCGAAGGGCGGGCTGGAACTCGGTGATGGAGTGCGGCAGGTATTTGAACCAGCAGCCTGTGCTTGTCTCTTCCTGCAACACCGTCCTGTCTTTAGCTGAGGAGGGACATGAGATGATGGTGCCAGTTCTTATCACAGACATGTGCTTCATCGTACCATCATACTGTATCCGGAGTCTGCGTTTGGACTGCCTTACTTTAGTTTGCCCCTCGTAGCTGATCGTAGCATAATCAATCGTGGTTTGGATTCAGATATATGGATTAAAAATGAATTATATCATAACAATACACCATCTGGTTACAGCTCCTGTCTGTAAGACAGACATCCTCACTCAAACTTATTCTGAAAGTAACCACATACCACATCATGTGTCTGAGTAAAGCCTGTTAATAAAGGGAGATCAGCAAAGATAAAACGTGAGCTACACAAAAATAGTTTGACATACGCTACTCTTTCTCAAACCCACCTCCTACTTCTTGTGTCCCACACCCCCGTCTCCTAACCAAATTCTTACCCTAGTAACCTCTGCCCGTCCGACCACCTGCCCTCTTGACCCCATCAAATGTTCTACAATCTTCTGCTCTTGACCTTCTTCCTGTCTCATCAACAATGCTCTGTTATCTGGCGGTTTTCCCAATTCTCTGAAGGAGGCAAGAGTTAACCCACCCCTGAAGAAACCCACCCTCAACCCTTCTGAAGAAAACAACTACAGACCGGTCTCTCTTCTTCCCTTTTTGTCCAAAACTCTTAAACGTGCTATCTTTAACCAACTCTCCTCATATCTCCACCATAACAACCTCCTTGACCCCCACCAGTCAGGCTTCAAGGCCGTTCCACAGAGACTGATCTCCTCGCTGTCTCAGAGCAACTCCACACTGCTAGAGCTCCTCTCTCTCTTCTGTCCTCGTCCTTCTGGACCTCTCTGCTGCTGACACAGTCAAACATGTTAGGGATTTAAGTGGAAGAGCACCCCTAGTGGTAGAAATTATAATACGTGTAATACTGTTTAGTGTTAGAATTGTAGTTTGTGTGTTATTAGATATTAGTTATTACATTAGCATGTAAGATGAAGTGAATGCAATATGAATCAACACAAAGTATAGTCATGTAAATCATATAAACACTGTACATTCTGTCACAATGTGATGGTAAAACCTGGGGACGGATGCTAAGTGCCGTCCTTTATGGATTCCTCCCAATTTTATCCCCAAAGAGGGTTTTTGGGGAGAGTTTTTCTCCTGTCAGGTAGTAGATGAGCAACTGAATGCAAGACAGCCGAGTGAGGCAGATGTCTTCAGTGTTGGACCACATGAACTGTTTTAGATCTCATGTTGTAGTGTGATGAACTGTGATCATTAATGATGTGGTGTAATTAAGGTAATTAGTTAAGTTGAAGACTCAAACTATGCATGCTTTGTTATATTCACTCATTGAGTCATAAAGCCAAATGTATCTACATTGAATGTGTTTGAATGTGAGGGACAGAGAAGACAGAGAGGTTTCAGGTTACAGCTTCACACCTGGACGTGAAGGGGACAATCCAGGAGGAGACACGTTTGAAGGAGAAGCCAATGACATTCTAGTGCACCCAAGAAGACACACCTCAGGAGTTTTCAAATGACCAAAGCGGGGAAAGGACCGTTTTTTTCCCTGCAGTCACTTTGATAAGTCACTTTAGACTAGAGAATTCTCTATTTCGCGAAATATTTTACGGTTTGTTTTGTATTTCACTTTGTAATTGCATTTCTTATAACGTTGTTTAGTTATTAAATACTTTTTTGATTCTTCGTTTCCGACCGGGACGAGAACAAAGGAGTGAGGCCTCCCTCGAGGGCTTTCCGAACCCTTAACAACCACCAGATCCTCATTTCCTCCCTTCAGGAACTTGGTGTCTCAGGCTCTGCTCTCTCCCTTCTCTCGTCCTACCTCGACGGCCGCACCTACCGGGTAACCTGGAGAGGATCTGTGTCGGAACCTTGTCCTCTTACTACTGGAGTTCCTCAGGGTTCCGTCCTGGGTCCCCTCCTCTTCTTGCTCTACACCAACTCTCTCGACGCTGTCATTCGTTCGCATGGCTTCTCCTACCACAGCTATGCCGATGACACCCAACTAATTCTCTCCTTCCCTCACTCGGACACTCAGGTGGCGGCACGGATCTCTGACTGTCTGACTGACATCTCTCAGTGGATGTCCGCCCACCACCTGAAAATCAACCCCGACAAGACTGAACTACTTCTCTTTCCGAGAAAAGATTATCCGACACGGGACCTGCCCGCTTTAACTGCTAGGAACCTCGGCGTGAAACTCGACAGCCAACTCTCCCTGACTCCCAACATCACTACAACAACACGATCCTGTAGATGCACGCTAAGACACAACAGAAAAGAAAAACTGTTCGAAAAAACATCATGAGAATACGTCCTCTTCTCACTCAGAAGGCTGCTCAGGTACTGACGTACTCACGTACCATGCTGTGAACGGATCGGGTCCAGCTTACATCCAGGACATGGTCAAACCCAAAATCCCGACACTCTCCGCTCTGCATGTGATAAACTGCTTGTTCCTCCTCACTGAGAGCAAAACAATCGACTAGATCACCACTCTTTGCTGTCCTGCTCCTAAATGGTGGAAGGAGGTCTCTGAAGACATCAGGCTCTCGCCTTCACATCTTCAGACTAAAGACACACGTCTTCAGACTCTACCTCCACTAACACACTAACTGTAGCACTTACATTGTACTTATAACGCCACTCATCTATAGCAAATTGTAATTGGCTTACTTGATGAAATCACACTTGCTTGTTCTTCTGAGTTTGTATCCTTATGGTTGAATGCGCTGATGGTAAGTCGCTTTGGATAAAAGCGTCAGCTAAATGACATGTAATGTAAAGACTGGCTCTCAGTAGGGCAAGAACTACGTGTCCTGGCTCCTAGCGGTTTACCTGCGTATGTGGTGGAGGTGACATTCTCCAAGGTAGAGAAGAGCATGCCACAGCTCAGGGCCCCCTCCCCCGGCCTGGGGCCTCCTTCTGGGGGCAGGTAGAAGACAGCGTAGGCCTGGAACAAAGTGGTGACAAGCAGCTCCACCAGGCTGCACACCTGGGCCTTGATCCCTGCACCTGCACAAATGACACCTCTGACATGAACGGGGTTCCTTTTGCTTTACTTACACATTTACAAAATATTCATACTGTAACAACATTTTCTGCTCCGCGTCACAGGAAAAGCCTTGAAGCCGTATTTATTGCTTCATGACTTCATGACTGCCTTCATGATTGAATGGGTTACGGCAGTGGTCCCCAACCACCGGGCCGTTTGGTACCGGGCCTCACCACAGAAAGCTTATATATTTTTTTTTCCTGAAAAATGTTTTATTTTGAAAATTTACCGTATTTTCTCCTAATTATGTGCGCTCGTCCCTCTGACAGATTCCCCACGCGTCACCAGGCGTTTTTCTTCACGTTTACAATTGTCCTCTTACCGTGCACGGCAGTTTTGCCCACCAGCGAACACAGAGCGCGACTACTACAACCGCCCCCCCCGTCGGACCTTCTCGACCGGTCCGCGAAATATTGTCTGACATGAAAACAGTCCGTGAGGTAAAAAAGGTTGGGGACCACTGGGTTATGGTACACGTATTATTATTACATTATATTAAAGGACAGGAGGCGGGTGTTACAAAGAGAAGAATACCGTGCTGTGGTTGGTTGAGCAGCTGATGGATTGAGGCCTTCCGCGCCAACAGAAAGTCAGCCAGGGCCTGGCGTGGTGAGCTGTCCTCCAGCAGCATGGTGGACACCAGGGCCTCAGCTATGGCCTGGTCAGACACGGCGCGGCCCTGGAGCAGAGACCTGCTCTCCAGGAGAATGGTGGACCTACAGGAGGACAGACGAGTTGCTGAACTGGGACTGGGTGGTCCTTGACTGCTTGAGTCTGTAACTAAAACACCCAGTACCTGAAGTGTCCTGTGGTGGCTACCTGCCGGACCAAAATTGGGAAGCGGACCAGGACGGGGCTGTAATTGCCCCCTGTAGCGGCACCCAGCTGCAGCAGACTGTGCAGGTGGCAACAAAGCAGGTAGAGCTGGGTGGCCTGGAGGTACTGGGACGCCTCCATGGCGCTCCAGATGCGCTCTGGGATCTCCAAGAGGAGCTTGATCTGGGAGGCCATGGTGTAGAACTTCTCCTGCCACTGTGTCGGGTCCTACGCCAGGATGACACACACACACATGCAGCAGGTTACACACAGAATGTGAATTCGTGCACTACTTGGAAGCATTGGATGCGTGGGGTCACATATTTAACCCTCCATTCTATCCTCGATAGGGACATGACAACAAACGTCCTCCAAATGCAAGGATCACCTCCTGCCTGCAGCTGGTCGTGCCGGCTCGGCCCTGTTTCAGCTGGTGGCAGTACCGGTGCATGTCCTGGATGGACTGGACCACGCTCTCCGAGCACTGCCTCATCTCGCCGATGGTGTCGGCGGCATCGATCAGGTCCCGGTACCGCTCCCCCACCATCTGCCTCAGCTCCTCCTTCTTCTGCTCGATCTCGCCGCGGACTTTGCGTTCGACCCGCCGGATCTCCGCGGTGTTGTAACGCTCGAACAGAACCTCCGGGTCCTTGATCTCCGACACCCGGAGAGACAGCGCGGGGTCTTCAGCCATCGCGCCTCCCAAACAACCACAAATATTACAAGTCTGACCCGGAAGAACGGGGGAAGTTCTCTTCCTGCCTCCACGTAAGCAAAGTAATACAATGAGACGACGACTGATTGGTCGATGAAGCCGTCGGTCAAGGAACGTCCCCGTGTTGTTAGGCGCCGCAGAGCCAATCAAACCGTCCTTACTTGTAACGTGACCGGAACAAGAAAACGCATTTCCTGCAGAAGATGCATCGGAATGCTGAGAGATTAAAGGAATTTCAAAAGAAATGCTGAAAATACAGAAATGAGAAACGATGAACTGATTTTGAAATAAAATGGCCATGGTAGTTGTAGTAATATCAGCAGTAGTTGAAGTATATTTGAAAGACCAATACGTATTTCAACACAACCGCTTCATTCATTGAGCTTCATGTTAAGGTACAGATAATCGTTAAGGCTTTTATTTTGAAAAGATGGAATTGGGTGAGAAAGAGAGGGAGTGACGTGACAGATTAACAATACTTGGCATACACGTAGATGTTATTAAATGGCCTCATCTCAAGTATTAATGTTTGAATTCCCACCAAGGGGCTTTTATTTTGAAATAGTGAGATTTGGTGGTGGAGCGAGGGGGAGAGGAGAGAATGGGGCCCAATCCCCGGCTATGTCTCAATCCGTCGGCTGCATCCTCATGAGGATGCCTTCGTTGACCGTACAGGTCATGCCGGCTGCGACTCGGCCGTCCCGTCGGCTCCTCCGAACGCTCGTGACCCTCCATGTGCTGTTTCTTCTGAAATTCAATGTACACACATTTATAACAAATACGCAAACAAGCAGGCGCTTTGAATTACAGCTCGTTAGTTATTAGTGAAATGTCACTTTAATGGCTCAACTTTCACACTTTAGACGCTGACTAATATCTTACCGAGGCTGTGACGGTTTTATAAATAGTTAACAAATGGATAAATAGTTAACAAATGGATCAATGTGAACTCAAGTAGACACGTTATGAACCTGAAATATCACTTTCTAAGTCAGTAACGTTACAAACGTTGAGAATAAATACACAAAAAAACTCAACTGGTTGCTTTGCACCTTTTGTTTAGTGGTGTGATTATGAACTAACTTAACATTTAGTTGCGTTTTATGGAGCAGGAGGAACGATGTGTGTGGTGACATTCCGCTACTGTAGCTTGGACGTATTCTGTAATATCTCGAGTTAGTTATATTAGCTTTTATCTTATAAGAAAATGTATTTTCAAATCCTTTATACAAGTTAATAAATGAGTTTGTTGGTGTTTTATTATTCACTCTTTTTATTGAATCTCCTCTACCTTAATACTGCAATATTGCTTTTAGCTGCAAGTACATGGCTTAACTGATATACCATGCTCTAATAACTTCTCTATCTGCACTTTGGGGTTTTAAGACTTTTACTGTCAAGCGCAGCAGGTTGCTAGGCAACGGGAGCAGTGGGAGTTAAGCAGGAAGTCCCCCGCAGGCCAGACCGTCCCATCCCAGAGGCCGCTCGGTTCGGCTTATTGGACGGTTCAGGCCAGGTGTAGCGCGGAGGCCGGATCCTCGTGAGGGTGTAGCCAACAAAATGAGACACAGGTCCAATCTTCATCTTCACGGACTCACAGACTTTGAGGCGCCCGCCCACTACCTGCGTAAGGGTTACGGCCGTCCCACTGGCAAACCACTGAGTGTTTGAGGCTTTGAGCCCTTTATGAACCTTTTTCCTAAATCAGCTTTAGATGCTGACTCAGCCCAAGGAAATTACCCACAAGGGATTGCAATGTGACGTTAATAATAATAATACTTTTTTTTATAGCGCTTTTCTGGGTACTCAAAGACGCTTTACAATGACAGCCAAGAACGAAAAATAGAAATAAATAAGAAAAAAGATTAAAAAAGAACTGTAGAAACAAAACGAGTCACGTAGCGGTCAGCATTTGAAAGCGAGTGTGAAGAGCTGGGTTTTGAGGGCTTGTTTGAATGATGATACGGTGGGAGCCTGGTGGATTTGGATGGGGGGGCATTCCAGAGGGGAGGTGCAGCAGCCGAGAAGGCCCTGTTGCCCCACGTCTGGCACTTGGTCCTGATGGTGTTCACGGTAGGGAGAGGCCGTGTTTAGGGCTTTGTATGTGATGAGTAACATTTTGAAGTCTATCCTGTATCTTACTGGGAGCCAGTGGAGGTTGCGTAGGACCGGGGTGATGTGTTCATAGTGGCGGGTGGTGGTGAGCAGGCGAGCGGCAGACTTCTGAACACATTGCAGTTTGTTGAGGATGCTGTAGAGGATGCTGGAGGTTACGAGTGCATGGATAAGAATTGAGGAATGTGAAAAAAGGTGAACAAAGATAACGACACTCGTGTGTTGGAGCAGTCATAATAAAATGTATACAGAGGAATAAATATGGAGAATAAAACACATGAAATCAGATGATATTTATTAATTTATATATAAAATTTAAAAAAAAACACGATTTAAAATGACCTCTCATCTTATGAAAAGGGAGCCCGGAAGACGTTCAAATTAAAGAGTAAAAACAACAACATACCCTGAACTTAGTCATATTCTTCTCATTGTCATGGTGACGCGACATGGCAGCAAAAGGCTGTCTCATCTTACCTGCACCATTTAAAGCCCTCAGACTCTCACTCGTCCCTTACCAGGTGACGTCAGTTAAGGCCCTGAGGGTTCAGGGTTCAGGGTTCAGGGGGGTCATTGGGATTGGGCGTCAGAATGTCTGTTTAGGAGGGGACGGACTGATAGGACCGAAAAGCTCCAAATAATGTGTCCACTACACTTATTAGCTAATAACAATCAGCGGCTCGGGGGGGAGGGGCACAAAGACCTGGTATGGTTGCCATGGTGATCGTCAACAAGCTGATCAAAGGGCAGAGACAGTAACAGATTAATTAGAACGCACACGTCAAACAAGTTCCCTTAGACACAAAAAATAAGTGTATCGTTGAGACAAAGATAGAAGGATTTGAAAGTTGAAGAAGTTTACGAGGATTTAAAAAAACTCCATTGAGAAACAATATAAAAAGTACTATGAACATGTATTTATATTAATTCAAGCATAAGAGACAAGAGAAAGCTGAAAAGTCATAGCGCCCTTCTCCTGAATACGGTTTCTTTAGCTGAAAATATGAAGGAAGAGAAGCTTCCAACAATGATGTTAAACAGAATTTTATCATTATCATATATGCAAATACATACAATCCTCCTCTCTACACCCTCCAGCCTTTCTTCTGAGATCCTCCCCTGCCCCACATTATGGATTCCACTTGGAATAGAATGTTTCAGATGATTGATTTACACAAAGTCCCTAAAATTACACCCAATGTTTTTGTGCCCAAATCATTACATGTAATTTACATTAGATAGTCATGTGATGTGGAGTGAGAAAGTCACGGAAGCAAATGAGATGTTAACATTTGTATTTGTACCATAGACACCTTTTCATTGGTGTCTCCTTGTTATGTCCCGCCCAGCGAAGAGGAGGAAGAGGAAGGTTGGGCTGTGAAACCTCTCTTGTTGTTCCAGTAATTGTGCGTCATTGTGTGAGGAGGAAACCCGCTGAGAGGCTGTTTGTGCCCAGGTGACCAGCAGGTGAGGCAGGTAGACCTTTGGACCCGGAAAGAGGGAAAGGAGAGACTCCGTCTGCAGGTAAGGAACCTTTTAAACCGTTTAAAGTTCATCTAAAGAATCATATCATGTAACTCACCAGGAATGTTTGATGGATTGAACTAATAGAATTAGTTTAGTCTCCTGAAGAATGAAGTGGTGAAACATAACTCATGTCTAATGTGTCGTGAATCCTCCTAGTGCACACAGCCTGTAGTGCATTGACGTACATGTGTGTAGTGAGGGTTTGCAGTGTATTTTCACTGTGTTCTAATAGTGCTGTAACATACAACACGATGCTCATGGTACTGCTACGAGTATCAACACTCTAGGTGTAGCTGCTCCACAGCTAATGCTAAGCTCTAACCATCACATATCAGGCAAATAAGGCTAAGACCTTCTTTTAATCACACAGAATGGTGCAGGTTTTAATGTGCCAGTGGGTGTGAGCGAAGGGTTCCTACCCGCTGAGCCCAGACTGTTCTGTATTCACGCTGTGCTCAGAGCGATGGAGCACAATGACCTGCAGCAGGAGCTGAAGGATCAGCTCAGCCACGCGCTTTCCAGACAGCACCTCTTCCAGTCAGACTGGGACATCATCTCTTTTGCTGTCTTCTTCATCTTCATTGGTGAGTGAAGGGGAAAAAAAGCCACGCAAGACATGTTTATGACTGCTAACAAACCGCATCGGTGCTCATATTCACCCTTTATTTTAGATGAAGGCCAGCGCAAATTTGAAAATAGGCAAAAAGTGATGGATCAGACTGTCTGAGCTTATTCAAGATAGTGTCCAGTCCAATGTGTCAGGGACTTCACAGGATGCTGAACTTACTCCAATTACGAATGTGAAAAGTGTGTGTTTCATGAATGTGGCTTTCACTGCAGGGCGAACTGGAGATGATGGTCCAGATGATGAAGTGTGTGTGTGTGTTCATAGGAATGGTTCTGCTGCTGGTCATCCTGGTCCTCATCCGCTGCTGCTGCTGCTGCTGCGGCTGCTGTGACGAGAAGGTGTGTACACACACACACACACACACACAGGAGAAGTGACCCAAGGTGTAGTGAGGTGCTGAATCCCACAGACGTGGAAGCTGAGGCCCATGTTGTTACATTTGCGAGCCATCACTTCTATTTGAGTGTAGTTGCAGATGTGCGAGTGCAGTCCACGGCATACACTGCTTTTGGCTTCCATTCTACAGATGTGACGATGACAGATGTTCACTAGAGCTTGATGCTGGGGGAGAGGTATTCAGACGCTGCTGTAGGACATGAAGGAGTAGTCTCTGTAGGAGGTGGACATCGGCTCATCGGAGTCCTTCTCCTTCCGCCTGTGTTGCGACATGGACAGAGATGCTGTGGCGGTAGAACAGAGGCAGGGGGGTACTGACAGACCTTTGTGCTTCCTCAACAGCCTCGCAGGTGGAAGGTGGGCATAGAGAACCTGGCTCTGGAGCCCTGATGGAGCTGGAACTATCCGCGAACCCCCCCGTCACCCAGACCGTTGCCTAAGGTTTTACTGGTCTGGCCCACTTGAGATTGAAGTGGGCCCCTTACCTAAAGGGAGGTAGACTCCGCTGGTCTAGCGGTTCTCCCGAGGTCAAGCTTTGATTTGATGTCACCTCTTAACAGATTTAAGCCACATGCACTCGCGAGGAATTGTTGTTCATGAACATGTGATCTTTTTAACCACCACGGTGTTGCTAGGATACCACAGAGGAGATGGAAACACTCTGTAGATGTGAATGTCGCTTCCTCCCATTTTGTTTGTTCTTTGTTTTAATTAGTAATGAATCAATAATAAACATTTAATGACACATCTTTAATTGCAGCAAAGGTCAGAGACAATTTACTGTTTATTTTTATTGCACAGGTATCAGATAAATCATTTGCACATCCATACATGTATATATATGGAGGAAAAATATAAGAGGCAGCTGTTCAAAATAGATTAACACTTACTGGAATGAAGTCATTTGTTCAGGATTGGATTAGTGTTTCAACAACATATGTGCAAAACGTGTCAAATAAATAGGGAGATTGAGCAGACAAACATGCAATAAGTAGACGTGGTAACAAATAGCTTATCATTCAGTCACATCCAGGCAGTAACAAACAGGGAATGTTTACTGTAAGTCAATGACATCCAATATATCAATAAACAAAAACAACACAGCTCCAACGTGCACACTAATGCCCCTTCAGCTCATCTAAGAGGTACTAGTGTCCCACCTGGAATCAACATCCAGGTTAAAATCAACGCTCAGAGTGCTGGCATACACCCAGTGGCCCCTCAAGGGCCGGCATGAAGGACTTCAGAGGATCGATTGGAGAGATACAATATACAGACTAGGACTACAGCAGTGTATGATCACCTGAAACTAACTTTCCAGAAGCTTATGAGGGAGGGGACAGCCCCCCTCCACCTCCACACCGGCCCTTTAAGAAGCACGGACACACCTCTTAACCAATCAGGATGGAATCGGGGTTTCACTGTGAATTCTCCTGCCGGAGAGGAGAGGCTACTTAATGGACCATTGCTAGATCCAGTGCTGGACAGCGTCTCTAGTACTGCTGGATGTAGTTCACATAATAAATGACGGCTAAATGGGTGTGTCCAATCCTGAGCTTTAGTTCCTAACGCAGGTCCAAAACCACTCATACGCCCCATACTCAACATCTCCCTCCAAATAAAGCCCCACTTCTTTCAAACGCCGCACTTTTCTAAAGACACAGTACTTGAACTGAGTGGAATACTAAGCCTCCGTCGTCCAGACGACACAAACCTTCCTCTGGTGTTTACAAGTCTTCTCACATCACTTCATATCAGAGGAGAGTACCATCATTTTTAAGGAACTACAAAAAGAAACATTGACCCTGCTGTGAGGGAACTGTGGTCACTGCTGCTTTGTCCTCCGGCCCTGAACGCACCACTAAGGGCTCCACACAATAACACAGATCAAATCAGTCAGCAATGCAACTAATAATCACACGATGCCTTCAAACAAAATAATTCATGGAGGAGTTCAAGTCGCGAACACACACACACACACACACACACACACACACACACACACACACACACACACACACACACACACACACACACACACAATGGGGGTTTGATTGGCTCCTTCAGATTACCATGCAACACTTGAGACTGAGTGACAGCAGGAGAAATACATGTGTAAAAGTAATGAGGATCTTCCCAGGACGTCCCCTGCACTCTGGAGGATGATAGGAAGTGGATCAGAAAGGTCTGTAGTTCCAGAAACTGGAGAACACGGATATCTGCATGGAGGGGAGGACAGAGGAGCTTAGCCAGCCTTTTACATACACATGATACATACCTACCAACGAGCTGGTCAAAGCCTTTATTTAGCCATATACTGTAAGCCTTCACATGGCCACTGGATCAGCAGACAGTTCTAGTCCAGACACCCGTGGTCCTGCTGCAGGTGTGTGTGTGTCTGTATGAGCGCACATCAGAGCCACGCGTGATGCAGAGCAGAGGAGAATCGCAACGTGTGGCCACGTAGAGACAGAAGTGACACACGATACACCGGTCTGGTGTGTTTAATAAAAAAAGGAAGCGAGACCTTAAATTACTTATTTTGTGATCTGACACTGTGGCTATTGATGTGCCACTTTAAGAGTCACCAAGGGGAGGATGACACCCACCTTATCCTTGAGCTGCTGACAGAGCTGCAGCGAGATGGTGAAGAACACCAGCGTGTCGTTGAGCCAGGGCACCACACACTCCACCTTGTGGACGTGGCTCACCTCGAAGCGGTTGTTGTTGAGCTCGCTGTGGATGACAGGCAGATACACATGTTCCTACCAGAGCGGTGACATCACAGAATTAGGAATTAGGACCTCTATTCATGGTGTATCAGTAATCATCAGTAATAGAGTTTTCCTCTATTCATGGTGTATGAGTAATCATCTTTTTCTGTTTTATTTATTTATCAATATTTCAATTGATTATTTCCTTAATTTCCTTTTTGATAAACAGCCACTACAATGTTTATGTATCAAGCCAAAAGAAGGAAGGACTCACAACATTGCTCCTGGGTTGTGCAGCACTGAGCTTCCAGCTGGCTTGAAGTTCTAGACAATACAGGGAAACATTGGTCACATGACGCTGGGCGAGGCCTCACAAAGTGCAGCAGAGCCACAAAGTCTGACCTTCACGGTGTTGGTAGGCAGCACATGGAGCTGGTAGACGGTCAGGCACAGTTTGCTTAAGTTGATGTAGAAGTTCACCATCACATCCCCGGGCATGGGAGGAGTGAACATTTTCTGCAGGTGAAGGAGACACAAAGCTCACCAGAGGAGCCAACTGACAGAGCTTCATAAAAGTAAACACATTTCTCTCATCTGCAAAAAAAACAAGATTCAGATTCAATCTTATGAGTTGTGAGAATTATTTCGGTCAGGCTCCCTCATGCGGCTCAAAGGTTGAGCTGCCGATATGAACATGAAATAAAAGGCTTACAAACTCAGATAACGCATATAAATGTGACGGCCCTGATGAAATAACTTGGGTTGCCTCCTGTGGACGCAGTGCTCCTTTGTTTGAGCTTTCAAGGCAGCCCTGATTGACAGGTGATGACAGGGGGCGTGTGTCTGATTGACAGGTGATGACAGGGGGCGTGTGTCTGATTGACAGGTGATGACAGGGGGCGTGTGCCTGATTGACAGGTGATGACAGGGGGCGTGTGCCTGATTGACAGGTGATGACCGGGGGCCTGTGCCTGATTGACAGGTGATGACCGGGGGCCTGTGCCTGATTGACAGGTGATGATAGGGGGCGTGTGTCTGATTGACAGGTGATGACGGGGCATGTGCCTGATTGACAGGTGATGACAGGGGGCGTGTGTCTGATTGACAGGTGATGACGGGGCATGTGCCTGATTGATAGGTGATGACAGGGGGCGTGTGCCTGATTGACAGGTGATGACAGGGGGCGTGTGTCTGATTGACAGGTGATGACAGGGGGCGTGTGCCTGATTGACAGGTGATGACAGGGGGCGTGTGCCTGATTGACAGGTGATGACAGGGGGCGTGTGCCGGGTTGGGTCAAAGCACCGTGGTATGGGGAAGACTCTGGGTGTAGAATAATAAATTTGAATAGCATACTGAATATAAAAAATTCTGTTAAAAAATTTAAACTCATTGAATATTTATGAAATAACTTTTTTAATTATATTTGAATGAGATGCCTTCACATACTCTCAGGGGTACACCGCCATTTGAGAACCATTGATCTAGTCAGAGCCCATGTCCTCAAGATGTTGAAGCCCTGTGTGTGTGTGTGTGTGTGCGTGTGCGTGTGCGTGTGTGTCCTACCATCAGACCGCTGGTGGCCAGCTCAGGCAGCGTCATGGAGGCCGGGGTGGTGAGGCGGTTCCGTGCTCTCGTCAGCTGGAGCATCACTGCGTCCATGAGCTACAGCAGTAACAGAAACATGAGACTAGGGTCACCAACAAAGTAACAGCCCTGTACTGATCAGGGTATGGTTGCCATGGGAACACGGGGACAGACCTTATTAACCTCCGCCCCTGTCTTGAAGTGGTAGTTCTCATCGTGGCTCCCAAGCAGCTGGAGGGCCTGGTTCACGTGGTTCCTGGCATCCTGAATCTGATGAACAGAAACAAGGAGGTGGAACTGTCAGGATTTGTGCATGCACAATTTTCACACAATTAACATTTTATATTGAAAGCCAAAATAAGAACTTAAATCCAGACAGTATTCTTCAGACAAACCACAAAGTGAGTTTCAACAAACTGGTGGCAGCAGAGACAAACGTTTCAGGAACCAACGCCGTGTTTCAATGCGCAGCCAGTCACATACGGCTGCACACAGAGGACAATGTGTTTCAGACTTCCCTCACAGCTGGAACTAAACTTTAACATGAACATACTGTACCTGCTGCAGTTTCCACAGCTTGTCCTCTCTGAACTGAAAATGCAACACTTGGCTACTCTTTGCAATCTTCAAGTTTATGTCCTGTTAAGAAAAGCAAAACTTTACAACGGAATCGTCAACTTTCACATGAGGGAAGAACCGACTCAACGGGAATCAATCAAACTCACAGCCTGAGTCAGCGCCTCTCCCTGCAGAGTCAGCACTCCCTTCACTTGATCCATGCTGCAGAACAACACATCACATTTTAATTTGAATATAGCCACCGGAGCAAATGGCAAGCAGAGCCTTTACAGCATGTGAGGCAGGGCAGAGATCTGAAGGTTACAACTGTGCACTATTCACAGCATATTCCCAAATGACACAGCCACTCCCTTCACAGGAATAAGACATTAGTACGGAACAAACCGGAACTATTTATACACTCACTATTGTATTACACTCATTATGTACATAGTGACTGTACACAATAAAGAGTTACAAGCTTACGTTGAGCTGCCGAGGATGAAGTTTTCCTGCTTTTGCTGACTCTCATAGCCTGGCGTTGGCATGGAGAAACGTCTAGAAGCCTCCTGTTGATGGCAAAGAAAAGTGTTGTGAAGTCACAGCCTCTGAGTTGGCAAAATAGATGCATCATTTCAGGTGTACAATTCTACAGCTGGTCCAAAATCTAGTTACAAGGAGTTATAACTAGAATATACAATCTATATAATAATATATATATATATATACATATATATATATATATATATATATATATTACACACACATACAAGTATATGCACAGTCCAAGTAGGACATGTGAGGCTGGAATTGCTGGAATGGCCCTTTAATGCTGCAAATGTGATCTTAACCACTTCTCTCAGCCACGGTGTTTACATGAAAGCTTGACCTTTACCTTGAGGACGTCCTGCAGCTGCTTTAAAACAGAATGCACTTCTTCTTTCAGCAGCCAGTTGAACTCCTCCTCCTGAAAGAAATGGTCAAAAAAGACTTTCATCCTCTACAGAAGGGTACAGTGGGACACTTGATACTTAATTCTGCATTGGTTTTTTTATGCAAGTTTATATTTTGGTATATTGGTACCCCTTCCTCTACTTAGCCGTTGTTTCCTTAGTCTGAGCACTAACAAAGAATACTACTGTGCACTTTGTGAGCAACACAACCCCCAAGCTGGTGTATTACTATTATTACATCTCCTACCTGTACAGTTGATTGAGTTCATGAATGGTTTCAATCCCCCTCTATGATGCTTGTGAAGCTGTGCAGTTTGCACATCGTTTGCATTGTTTGTTATGTGTTGCTCATTTGTGCATTATTCTATTTTACATGTATGATGTTATGCAGTCAATTAGGAGCTTGTTGCTAAGAGTGACGTGAACAATAAAGCCCTGCAACAAACAATGGTTCAAATGCTTTTGTTTATGAAGGTGGGCTAAAAATGCATCAGATCCTATGATATCCACATGTACTAACAGCAACAGTATTTCACAATAAAATAGTTTAATCTGTGTCTTAAATATTCATTTAAATGTAGCCTTCAGGGCCTCCATTTCTTAAGACCATGGCAAATATAACAAGAAATCATACTTTGACGTCATTAAACACCTTTAGCCCACTTAATGCAACTCAGGTTCCCCTTCGACCACTATGGAAAACTATGGCGCGTGATTGACAGCAAACAACAAACAAGGTGCACATACGGGCTTGTCATGTGACGTCTGTTGGTGATCGGCTATTTCGGGCTATTTCTTAGGATCACCGCATGCTTCGTTGTGTTTGCAGATGTTGACATCCTACAACAGAATGACTGTCAGCGCGAGCCCTGCCCACCTGCATTGTAGCGCGCGCATAAGGTAGGGACCTTCGGTAGAAGCTGACGTCACGCCAGCCGCTCCGTTACTGACGTTACACCAGGTGCTAAGTTACTGACGTTACACCAGGTGCTAAGTTACTGACGTTACACCAGGTGCTAATTTACTAACGTTACGCCAGCAGCTACATTACTAACGTTACACCAGGTGCTGTTACTGACATTACGCCAGCCGCCACGTTACTGACGTACAGCCGTTGATTATCAACACACGCTATGTTGACCGACGGACGGCAGCTAGCCGTGAAGCCTAAGAGCGCAGTGCAGCTTACCAACACGGCTCTCTCCACTTGGCTGGCAGCTGACATCTTGGGCAGCTCGGACAAAGACCTCTGCGGGTTGAGCATGTTGTACAGAACACGGACAGAAACACACGAGCTACGCCTTCAAAATACGGTCCTCTCCTTGGAACGAAGGTCTTTCGCTACCTAACGTTTCTGTATTAGCCGCGGCTATGCTGCCTTCAGGTACTGTCGGAAAAAGCCACAGCGCTGAACTCGACGTCTTGATTAAATCAGTGGCAAACGCAAAGGTAAAGTATAGTTACTGTGATAGCATAAGCATCATTAAATGTATTTTCAGTTATGCGTGGTTTAGTCGTTTATTCAGGGCATTCGTCGTGGCGCACGTTATCCTGTTCATACACCCATTGTGGCAAGAAAGCGCGTGTGCTCCAATGCATATAAATAATGAATTGCTCTTTCCGAGAATTGCATGAATGCAGCATTAGGCTGCTCACGTGTTCACTGTTTACGTAGCCCCACCCACACGTCCTTATTTGGGGATCCAACTTCCGTCGACGTTAGAAAGGGTTCCGGTGATGAGGGAAAGCAGCCCGGTGAAACCTCAGCGAGTAAACAGACGGGCGGACACGATGTACCTCCGCGCTCATCACATATTCCAGAAAGTCGTGTCAGTCTGCTCTCATATGTGGTCTACTGTTGTTACTGTGGGCTTTCTCTGAGGATTTCACAACAGTGCAGAACATGCCAACCCATGTTTTAGATCTTTACACAGATAGAAAGCCATCACAGCCTAGTTCAACCTCGGCACTAAAGAAGCTCCAAAGGGGTCCCGATGAAGTATTCTGGGATATTTGCCCCACTTCATGTCCACATTCTACTACTAGTAGAGGTCAAGTATTGTTACTAATAAGTGCATCATATTGAGCAGTCCCGGCCTGTCCCAGAACCCAACCGACTCCCCGAAGGAGCTGGAGGTTTAACCGTACACAACAATCCTATCAAACAAATAAAGACGGTTTGTGTATCTCCTCTGAGCCATAGAACTCCATAAAAACACAACACTTACCTTCACTGTCAACACCATCAAGACACACAAACGGTTTATTGCCACAGTCCTGCAAACACCATCCTGCTGCTGATCTCACCAGAGCAACTGCTACAAATAGTCCCTGACAAATAACTACACATACTATAAGCTGCAGCTCTTTCTGGTATTACTAAACCTTTTAAAATACAAAGTTATGCATTAGGAATTTTAATAAAGAATGCATGTACATGTGCTGGGAATCCAATAAGTGTGGGGCTGTGAGCCACAGAAGAGGTAGGAAAGTAAAAACAAATATTGAGATGCAAATTGTTGGTTTAGAGGCAAATATTACACCTTTAATAAAAATGCAAAACAACAAAATGGTCATTTTTAATGTTGCTTTTTAAAATCTTCCTGGAAAACCCACTTTAGGTTTCTCACTCACACGTCGATGATGGCAAAGCCGCCATGCCAGACGCCCCCCGTGACCAACCTGAGGTTCAGTGCCTTGCTCGAGGACGACCAGCGATTAAACATGACCCATGTCAGTAATCAGGAGAGGGTTTATTAAACAGCACAACAGTCTTGATACTTCCACATGTAGGCTACACAAAATCATAAATATCCCCCAAAACCAAAGTCCCACACCCAACGGGATCAGTCATTAATGTCGATGTGATAGAAAGTCAGATTATATGAAGCACACAAAGCAGTGACACTAGAACTTCTACAGTATACACAAAGATGTTGGTACCAGTTGTCATTGATCCTGGTCATTGTGGGCATAAAGTAAACCCGATGCAACCTAAATGTGTCTTCTAAAATCTGTTGTTTACACTGCAACGTGTAACGTTTAAGGGCCGCCGGATTCAACGCTTTATCGTGTGTTTGGAGCAGTGAATCTCATAGAGGAACACTGGATTGTTAACATGAAACCTGTATTGTGGATTATTATAGGTTTGTACTGGGGCATCCTGTCGTACAAATCGGGGTTCCTTTAGAGGAACAACAGAATGATGGGACCTTCCGCGGATGGAAATTGGCTGTAATATTTTCCCTCTTGCACGTACTTCCTCACACCAGGGGCCCCAAAGTACTACACACATCCTTCTGGCGCGATGGAGTTCCAAAGGAAACCAAACGCCCGATTTACTCTCCAGAAAGGGGGCACACAGACACATCGAGCTCGTATTTAATGGCGTACATGATCTGTGCCAACAGATGACAGCAGTCCTGACAAGAGAATGCAGACGTGTCTCCTTCTACAACTGGGCCACGCTGCTTTAGTGTCTGCATGCTCACGTGGGGTGAGAGACTACGTAACCCTACTACGTTCCCTAACCGAACATAGAGGAAGTCATTTTGAAAAGACACCTGTTACTATTTAATAATAGATGAGTAAGCCTGATCCAGGATGAACATGCAAACTGTAGAACGAAAAGAGCATCAGTACATGCAGCCATCATGTCATATTTACACAGAATGAGTGGGACCCATTAGACCTGCAGTAACGAAACCAGAGACGCTAATGTTGGACTCCGGTGCGAGGTTACACCATGTGCACACCAAAATGTGTATCTAACAGTATGTTAGTAAAGAGGTCATGTGACCACCTCCTGTAAGGAATAAATAAGAACATGGATTACTAGTGTGTGTCAGACTACAGGCAGCTACTGAGCAGAGCTGCAGCCGTTGGATCGAACCCTCATTAAAACAGAAATCATTTGAAATGAGAACTGAAATACAAGAACGAAGGTTTTGAATGTTGAAAGCTCAAGCCTCAATGAGCAGGATTCATTATCACTGCATTGACGGCCGCAGGTCTGTTGCTCTGTTCAAGAAAAAAAAAAAAAAAGGCAGAAATGATCTTTTCAAATAAAGCAACAAGCCATGGCCAAACTGCTCCAAGTAGAAAAAGAAAGAACCAAATAAATACTAGAATTGATAGACTTGAGGGAATACAATATTAAGGCAATGCAGTGGCATGTTGGGGATGTTTTGTCTGATGGGATTCTAGACATTTTAAAAGAAAAGAAAAGATCCCACTTCATTAAATATACTTGTTATTTGCACATTAACAACAAAAACGGTTGAGGTTTATCATCCACAGAAGCCGGAGTCCCGGCTCTTCACAGCGGCTCTGGAGCCCCCGTCTTCGCCCAGCATCACTTAACCATATTACAGCCGTCACAAATCAAACTGCAGTAGTACATGCTCATCTGGAGCCATCTAACATTCCACCATCATAGTCTAACAGAGGAATCACAATGTCGGGCGCGGTGGCAAAAGGAAATAAAACAACTGGGATTTAAAATTAAATTAAAAACTCATTACATGACAGGCGTGAAATAAGAGGGGGTAGATGGAGAAGAGGAGCGTGGTCTAGTGGATGTAGGCCCTGTAGACTGCAGAGATGTCGTTGTCTGACTGGTCCAGTGCCTTTGCCCTCTTGTACACCTGCAGAGAAGCAGAGGAACGCCGCTTGTTATTTGAAGCGGTGCAAGGACTGTACTTGAACGCATCTGTTCTAGTCCTGTGAGCAGACATGTCACTATTCACACACACAGTTAGCATGTGGGTGTCACAGGGGCAGAAAGTTTTCATGGGAAGTTAAGCTATTGGGAACGCATAGAAATGTAGCCAGCTGGACCCCGGAGGCAGCTCGTCGGGAACAATGTCTGCCAGAAACTTACCGGTAACGTTTTTAATGTCATTATCGCGCATATGGATTACCTGGTAAACTGAAGCCATGTTTATACAGTAGTTCAACGTTTTACAGCAGTGTATGTACACACAAAAGTACATCATGTTAACTATTCGATGCTATGGCAGCATTCGTATGAACCAAACAACCCAGGCAGGTTTCTGTTTAAAGTAAAAAAATAAATGATATATAGTTACAACAAAAAGATTGAAACACTCGAGGACAAAGTAAGACTCATGCTGAGAGGTACCTCGTTGGCTGCGGCGGCCATCGGAGTTGGATGGTTGGCCTTGTCGCCCATGGAGATGGCTAGCCTCAGGTCCTTCTGAATATGTTTCAAATAGTAGTCCGGCTTAAAGTTGCCCTGTAAAATATCTGGCCGAGGCATGGAGAAAGGCCTTTATTAACATAGTACTACATTTGTGTTGGTAATTGACTGACCAAACACTTTTCCGTGTAAGGCTGAGATGAATAACAAGATAGACGGTGTCTTCAAACTTCCTTTGTGTGGACTTACTCTGGCATTTCTGGTCCACAAAGGTGCTTGCCATCTGGCCCTGGCACAGGATGTCCAGGAAGGTCTGCTGTGATTGGCCTGTGGCCTGGGCCAGGGTCAGCCCCTCTGCGATGGTGGCCATGAAGCTGCCCTGCACCATGTTGAGGATCAGCATCATCCTCGCTGCATTGCCTGCTTCCCCTGAAAACACACGAAGCAGCTGGTGACCGTCGGTATCCATGCTCACTTCTACCAATAAATGACACCATGTGCTGGAGATCAGTAACTACTTGGAGCATCGTCTGGTTGCCTTGGAAACGGCCTGCAAGTGGTTTAACAGTAGCGGTTTGATGCGACCAGTTCCCCCTACGTACCCAGGAAGAAGGAGGTCTTGGCCATGGCCTGGAAGCAGCTGCTGCAGTCCTCGTAGACCGTCCGGTCGCCGGCCGCCAGGATGACCAGCATCCCATCGTTGGAGAGCTGCTGGCTTCCTGCCACCGGGGCCTCCAGGAAACGGCCGCCCCGCGATGTGATCACCTCACATGCAAACACGGAACAACACTTTAATACATCAATATTGAAAAGGTATTATTGTTTCTATTACCATTATATGAGTAATGGGGGGGGGGAGGGGCAAGTTTACAACTCTCCACTGTGCTCTGCGGCCCGAATGGGTACATGTGTGCACAAAGACACGTGCACGCACACACTGCTCACCTGGGAGAGTTCTGTGATGGTTCCAGGGTCCACAGTGGACATCTCCACATAGCACTTGCCAGGCCGGATTCCCTGCAGAACTCCACTGGGCCCCAAGACCAACTAGAGAGCCACAAAGACACGTTGTTGAGGGCTGGTGACTCTCACAGCACCAGGGAGCCAATGGCTGGAGCTGCTACTCACATCCCGGGCAGCTTTGGGGTCAGAAACGCAGGAGAAAGTGATGTCACACGTGGAAGCCACCTCAGCGGGGGTCCGGCCCAACCTGGCCCCCTCCTGGATGAACAGGTCGCACTGAAACGCAAGCGACACGACGACATTTCTGAATCAACACAGGGCGCTGAAAGCGTCGCCGACGAACCGGCGTGGCCAAACATAGCGGTTGCTTAGCGGTTTACTCGTGATGCGCTGCGGTACCTTCTCTGCTGTGCGGTTCCACACGGTGACGACGTGACCCATTTTCAACAAGTTGGAGACTATACCGCTGCCCATCAGCCCCAGACCCAGGAACCCTATCCTGGAGAACACACATGAGAACGCTCAGTCATCCTCAGTGCTACGCCCGACTCGCTTCCCCCTGATACTGGCGTGGTGATGCTGCGTGCCTCTTATCCGTGGGTGTGATGCTGCCGTTGATGGCGGTGCTGTCTGCTGCTTGGATAGATGTTGACCCTGACTCCTGCAGTCAGAGGCACACAGTCACTTTCATGCTGCAGAGAACGTGAAGCCGTAACCAGCTTTGCACCACCTCCTGATATGTGCTCGTGGGAAACACTACAGAGCAACTCAGAGTGCACAAGTTAACAGGAAACACCTCAACCACTTGGCTTCACTATTATTCACCTCCTCTACGATCTTCAGCCGCTTGCTGATGGGCTCCATCGATGATGCTGGCTGAGAGGAAACATCAGACAGATGAAAAATATACCCTTCACACACACAACGACGGAAAGACATCTACATTCTTCCTCTGGGTCTGTTTGTGGGAGTGTGCGGGTACGTGCCTCAGTGTGCGTGTGTGTGTGTGTGAGTGTGGAAAGGAACGCATAAGATTCTGACTACAGGACGAGATCAAGAGGAAACCCAAATATGTCAGCACGCTGAGCGTGCTTCCTCTTACCTTCTCAGACTGGCTGAGGAGGAAGTGATGGAAATGTGGGTCGTCCTTCACAGGCTGCAACAGAAGAACAGTTCGCTGTAACGGGGCGTGCACAACATAGTACAGAGCGGGCGCCATGCGGACACGCCGGGGCTCCCGTTGGATTTAACAATGCTCTCTCAAAATGCGTAGTGCATAACCAGTGAGAAGCGGCACAGATCCGTCAGGTTGAAAAGAAACAGCAAGTGAGACCAGCGGCTTCCCCTTAGAGCAGGAACACCAACAGGAGTTCAAGGCTCATGCTTTGCACACTTACAGGTCCCCGTGGCAGTCAGTGAAAACACAGCCGCTGGGTAGAAGGAAGGTAATCATATGATCACCGAGTACTCCAGTGTCTGAATGTGATCAGCTCCACCCACACAGTCAGTCACTATCGGAATGTCTCCATGTCAGTGGAAACTGGGGAATCATCACCTCAGAGTTTGGCAGAATTTTAGTCTAAACTGCAACGCGTTTCTAAAATAACCCAAAAAGGCATAAATGGGACTCCGTGTTGTGGAGGAAATGCAGAGAATGGCTTCTGAGAGGAGGAAATGGCTCCTTTGTGTGCAGCGCGTAACGAAGCACTGAATGAACTTACAACATCCGCCCTCAGGCATCATCCACACGACTCTGCTTTAAAACAAAAACCATCGTGGTCGAAAAGGGCAAATCAGCAGCTTTTACGAGATGATAAAGAGACCCATCAGGGAAGGACCCGTCACGACTGCTAAGAACCAACCAAGTAGCGAACGCAGGCGTGGGCGTGATCGTTTCCAACCGTGACCCCTACGTTTGCCACATGATCCGCCCAACAAAAGCGCAGCCGTGTGGATGAAGCCTCATACGGCCACGTTAGCGGTTTGTACATGTTTCCACTGACACACAGACCAACAGGTAATGACTCAAACACAGAGGTACAGAGACTAGCTTTGGGACTACACGGGTCCGGAGGACCACCAGTCAAGCCTAGACAGCAGCAAGCTGGTGAGGAAGTCACACGTTTGTGGGTGAGCAGACCTGGTGACCATATCAAGCGCACGCGGCAGACAAAAGGGTCGGGAGTGAGCACCAAACAGGGAGGAGGGAAAGCAGGGCTGGTGATTAAAGACACAACTGGAGGTCAGGTAGAAGAACAGCAAGGCCAGGCAGGCTGGGGGAGAACGAGTTCACCTACACTGCTCTCCCAATTGAATCCCGAGCCTGGTCCCGCCCCCAGCCTCTCCAGAGTGGACGGCTCGGGGTCAGAGTCAGTTAAGTCCTTGAGGAGGAGAGAGACACACATTCACCTTTCTAAATCAAGTGGTGACGCTGGGGCGGTCCGCATCTGCTCTGGGGGGGGGGGGGGGGATTCCGTCACATACTGAGGACCAAATATATCATTGCTTTCATCGGGGGGGAGGGAGAAATGTCATAGGCCAATAAAACTAAGGGGTCTACGTGGATGTCAGCAGCCTCTGATGATTGACAGGTCCTCTCAAAGAGCTCATCAAGTGGAGGTTTATTAAGTGGTTCATTTCTGTTGATACTTCCTTTATCTGGAGGACTGCGTGATGGAAATTTCACATTGAATCTAAACAACTGTTTTGGAACAAATTAAAAGATTACAGGTGTTTAATATACAAAGACGTTGCATAATAGAAGCATGAGATGGTTTTATAAACCTCATAAATACACCCCTCATTTGTTGTATTGGATTTGTAATAATGCTTTACAAGTTTGATCATCAGTGTTCCACCGACCTTCTCGGAGGGATCCTTCAGGGCACTGAGATCCTCGTCGTCCTCCTCCAGTATCTTCAGCGGCTTGGTGGGTGTCTTCCTTCCTTTTGAGTCTCCTTTGCCGTCTGAGTTCTGTTAGAAACGCAGCTGGTCACTTTGTGCTATGGGAGACAGGCTGCAGCTGTAGGAGGCCTTTAACCGCTTTGTTCCACAGTGGTGACAACAGCGTTTATACAGGAATAGATTTCAGGTGACTTATGTGATCTACTAGATGTGGTGACGAGCAGGTGGGAGATTTCTCTTCTCTTTCTGAGCTCTTGTCCTCACCTGTTCTTTCCCCTTGGCTTTCTTTAGGAAGTCTTCCACTGCATCGACCGCCTGCTGGAAGCGCTTGCCTTTATTTATCTTGATCATCTCTTCTTTGTGGGCGTGGTAGGGCTTCAGCTGCTCTACTTTGATCCAGGCGCTGGACAGGCACGCAGGAAACAGCATTTTAAGTACAGGTGAGGTGAGTGAGGAGGAGCAGGAGCTTCTCTCTGCATACTTACTGGTCTTCAGTTCCAAAGAATTTCACAAAATGGCATTTTTTGCCTCTGGGCTTTTTCAAGTCCTTTGGAGGGCTTACCACCTAAAATGGAAATAAATAAAGTTAACCAACAGTGGCCCACGGTCACCAATCAGCTGGTGGTCTGTTTGCACTGCTTACCTTCCCGGGCCATGGTGGGTAACGGCCAAGCTTCCCCCTGAAAGAAGAGGGACACATTTAGACAGGGGTCTAGTACTGCCAGGCTAGTATCATCTCCAATTACAACCAGCTCCATCCATCCGATGGTTCTGGTGCTTCCTCAGGTCCAGTTATGTGACCCGGCCTTTCAAACTGTGGAATGCACTTCCTGTTCAGATACAATCTTCTGGATCCGCTTCCCAATGTTATGTGCATGAATCAGTACAAGGTAAGAGAGAGTACACACACACACACTTTCAGATGATTCAAAGTTCAATGATTTTCAAAATAAAAGCCTATTATCGGTACTTAACATGAGGCTCAGAATGAAGCCGTTTTGTTGAAATAATTATTGCTCTTTCAAATACTACTAGCATTTCTACTGCTATTGCTACTAAAACTCCTCCTCCTACTGCTGCTAGCACTACCCATACCACAACTAATATAACCAAGAAAATCGCTTTTGGGTAAATATTAATTACAATATTTGTTGCAAAATTCAATAACTTCACTGTCATGAATTTTTGCACCACCAAAATCATGCAATACGTCCACGAGGGTTGGGTACCAAAATAATTCATGAATGGGATGACTTTGCTCACGCTATACGTTATAAGAGTGAAGCTATTGCATATTGTTTACAATAAATACTGAAAACGATGAATCATTATAAATCGAAAGCACATTCCATCTACTGTAGTACAACAATAACGGCCCCACTCATTTATAAAAGAATTGTTGTCGTTATAGAATATTTCTGTAATAAGTTTTCTCCACTTTGCACTTTGCAGACGGTCCCTGCGCGCAGACGCATGCGATCGTTTGGTACAACGATGGTGAATTCGGGTTGCGGCTCAATCGAACAGCCCCTGAGCATCACTACAAACCGGTGGTGCGGGGCAGCGCGAGGAACACACACACACACACACTTGTGTGTTATTGTCGCCAGGAGCGAGCCCCCCGACCCGGTGCGAGGACCACCGGGAGGTCCACACACGACCCACAGCGGTCTGCAGCAGTCAACACGGAAGACAGCTACAGGAACAGCAAGCGAACCGATCCTTCACATCCGCCTCGGAAGTGCTACGAAAAGACACCGCCATCAACGCTGGAGATGGAAACACACCGAGCAACTTTACTCAAAAACCCAGCGGCGCAAGAGTGACGATTAAACAAAGACCGCTCTCCACCTGGAAGTCCAGCTAGTGCGGCCGGACCCTCCCGGGCCGTTAGCTCGTCCGCTAGCTAACGTTAGCTAGCGGACGAGCTAACGTTAGCTAGCAGCTGACGACGGCTGCCGCGGGCTGAGTCAGCTCGGCCAGCGATTTGTTTGGGTCGATTATCAACTAACCGAGAACGCGAACGCGACCGTCACCCAACACGCAACATCCACCGTAGACCAACGAAACAAACGACGACTTCGTGCCTTGCCGGTACTCTAGTGGGACCGGAGGCGCCGGGCAATATTCAAGGCTTTTCTCACCACACCAGATCGCCAATCCTCAGATGCACCGTCGCCATCTTACAACTTTAATAAAACGTCGCACTGACTGAAGGGAAAAGACAACACACACCCACTAATCACATGTGACGACAGGCGCCTCCTCCTACGTCACATCCGCTGCTCCGTTCGCTGGTCTTCTTGGCATAATGGGGATGCGTAATATATTTTCATTCATTTAATTCACTTCAGTTTGAGAATTGTCAATAAATATTGTTGAGATATTTTTCTTAATTTGATTTGACAGTAAATAGTTGACCAACATGTTTTGTTCATTCAATGCAACGTTTAAAAAGACCAAGCATTACCCGCCCTTAAGCAGCAAATACCTTTAATCAAACTGGCATTCATTACACAACGTGGACAAAATACTTTTCTTAGAACTTTATTTTAAAAAGTGCTGTACAGCTGTCTCTCATTATTATATTTTGTATTATTAAGTACAAATTGTGACACCACAGCAGTTTATGGTGCATGGACCGGTGAACTATTTATACAGTGTTTTTCTCCACACACGCCTACATCTCACTCAGAGCTTGTAGACAACTTCAATTCCAAAGTAGAAAATATTATTGATGATATTGCACTCTCTGAAGTGAAAGCTTTACCTCCACTGCTCCCATTGCAACCTGCCAGGCTTGACACTTTTAAGCTCACCTGGGTCAGGGGCTGTATGGGGAAGGGAGGGAGTTAACGTTATAACGTTAATTAAAAATTAAATTAAAGTATTATTTAATAAATGTCCTGTTCAAGATTTTACACCTGTGTTGAGTAACAATTTTTCCAAGATCATCATCATTGAGCTTTTCTATGTTGAATGTTCTTTAATGGATCTCCATCATCAGATATAGCATACAGAATCAAAATACACAAAAAATACTTTTGATTAGACTTTTATTGAAGATTACAGAGCACACATCATTTCTTGTTGAATTTGGGAAAACCACTCAAATGAATGAAACTTTTAGTTCCCATTTCAATTTCAATGGCATTATGAAAAAAACATGCTAAAACAAGATGTCCTCAGCCCTCATACCCATTGTTAGAAATCAAAGCTTGTCCGAGCAAACCTACCACCACATAACATGTTACATATTTAGCTGTAATACCATTACATACAATCCATCCATCTATGCCACTATGCATAAGCAAATGCATGCATACATGCACATTTATTAACTATTGGTACATCAATGCTAAGTCACCATAATAATAAAGTCAGAGTGGAAGTACAGTAAAACAACAGAGATTAAACAAATAGAAAATCCTCTCCCTTAACATGTTTGCTCTCACTTGTTGCCTGACACCATGACACCAAACTCCTGGATGGAGATTTCTTTGTTTATGTATTGCTTAAGCTGGCGATCGGTGATGTGCCCGAAGCGTAACGCATCATCGATGGAGAACTTTTTCCCAGATTTCCTGTCATGAAGAACTGAGGATTCTCCTTTGGGGCCCTTGACTGTAATCTCCTCCCAGTCACACTCCTGGCTCTGCAGGTTGACGAACATCTTCCAGTCAATCAGCCCAAGCTTGTACGCTTCCTCTGGTCTCATCTCCTTGCCTGTATCTGGGTCAATAACCACGATAGACCTACGCAGATGGCTCTCCCTCTGTTCCTTCTTCATTCTCACCGTCGCCAGATTCTTTTGAAGATTCTCGATCTCCTCATCCTTCTGGCTGGTTATGCCCTTGAGCTCTGACAGTTCTCTCTGTAGTGAATCAAGCCTTAATTCCAGGTTCTTTCCTTCCTCTCTTGGTGCAGACTCAGTGATAAGCCGAGTCTCTTTGCTGGTGATCTCAATCTCAGCCCGAAGCTTGCGTATCTCGTTCTGCAGCCTTTGGTTTTCTTGCTGCAAACGGCCACTTTCATCACGGATGTAGTCCAGTTCTTTAGAAGATTTGGTGTTGGAGAACTCCATGTCAGAGAACCTGGAGGTGAGGTTTGCCAACTCCTGGTCGAGTTCTGTCCTTCTCCTCTTCTCCTCTTCCAGAGTCCTCTTTAAGTTCTCAATCTCATGCTCGGCCTCTGGGTCCTTTTCAACTTGGACTTTCTCAGTGCGGACAACTCTTTCCTTCACGTCCATCTTCTCCAGGGTGAGTTGCTGCTGGATGAGGATATTCAACTCTTTCTCGAGCATGGTGCGTTTGTGCCTCTCTTCATCAAGCTGTAGTCTGAGCATGGAGTGTTCCTTTTCCTGTTGGGGATCTTGTTGCAGGACTACCTTCTGTTTGACAGTCACCTTCTCCCGGTTCTCTTTGTCGCGGATCTCCAGGTCATTAAGTTTGACTCGGAGCCTTTGGATCTCCAGTTCTGCATCGCGCCTCGCCCTGCGCTCACGCTCCAGTTCTTCTAGTTGCAGATCAAGATCAGCCTTCTGTCTCTGCAGTTGGTAGAGCTCTGATTTCAGAATTTCCTTCTGTTTCTGCTCGTTGCTGATGTTTTGTGAGAAGCTGTTGCACTCTGATCTGAGGAGAGGGTCTTGTTCCATCTTGACCACTTCTTGCTGAACAATCTTCTCGCGGATCTGGGACAGATCAATTTTTCTCAGTCTGATCTTCTCTTCTTGGCCCGAGCGTTCACTCTCAAGGTCCAGCCGTTTCTGTTGTTCATCAGCCAGTTTCCTTTTGAGAGTCTCAATTTCCTCCTTGGTTCTGGGGTCTTCTCTGTACTGCAGCACTTCATTGACCACCTCTTTAGTCTGCACTTGGGGTTTGGTTTCCTTCCATCTTTGAATTTCATCCCGAAGTTGGCGGATTTCCATCTCAGATTTCTCAGTCTGGTGCGTTTTATCTACGATATCATTGCGAAGTCGCTCCAGTTCTCTTTCCGTTTGTGGATCGGTCTTGTATTTGATGACTTCTTTGATGATCTCTTTGACCTCCACTTGGGGTCCTCTGTTCCTCAGCATGGTGTGCTCATCCTGCAGTGATCTAAGCTGGAGCTCTGCATCCCTACAACGCCGCTGATGCTCTACAAGTTCAAGCCGGAGATTGGCCACCTCATTCTCAGCTTTGGGGTCAGGGCGGACGATCTCCCGCACCTTCTCCTGAATAACAACCTTTGACTTTTCCTCCTCAAGGCTGGAAATTTTCCTCTGGAGGTCAGCCTTTTCTCGCTGCGATGATCTTCGTTTGGCCTTCTCGTCTTCATACTGCCTTCTGAGGTTTTCTACCTCCCTTTCAAAGTTAACATCTTTCTCTACTTTCAGAACCTCTTTGATGGAAATCTTCTCCTCAGCCATTGATTTCTCCTTCTCCATCCTTCGGAGCTTCTCTTGAAGAAAGTGTAGTTCATCCTCTAGCTGCTTCCTGCCATCTGTTTCCTTCTGACGTCGGTCAAGGAGCATCCGGTACTCGGTTTCAAGTTTGGGATCATTCTGGACTTTGATTACCTCCTCCTCAGTGATCACCTCCTGTTCTTTGTTCTTCTCTTGAGCCAGGACTGTCACCTGCTTTTGAATCAGAATCAGCTCATTGTCTTTCATCAACTTCTGCCTTCTTAGCTCATCAAGCTCTTCCCGAAGCTTGCGCATTTCCTCCTCCTGATCACGATCTCTTTCAATACGCAGGACCTCCTTGACAGTGTATTGCTGTGCCCCTTCTTTGACCTCTGTCTCCAGGCCACGCAACTTAAACTTTAGTACCTCAAGGTCGTTCTCCAGGACATGGGTAATGCGGCGCTCTTCTGACAGTTTCTGCTGGACCTTATGGACTTCCTCATCCAGCTGGGGATCAGCAACCTTTTTGATGAGCTCCTTCTTTACGATTGTGTCCTGAGGCTTCTGTCCTTCAAGGACATAGATGTCAGACTGGATAGTCTCAATTTCTCTCTCTAGCTGCTCCCTCCTCTGGATCTCATCCTCCAGTTGCTTTTTGATCCTCCAGGGTTCTTCTCCTGGGGCAGCAGCATTGACTGACCTTACATTTGTAGACTGGATCATAGGGACCTCAGGTTGCTGTTGATGGCAAATCATCAGCAATATTTTTACAATTATTACCATTCTAATCATCATTATCATCATCACATGATTTCTTTTGTGTGAGAATATTTCACCTGGTTGAGAAGACTTTGGGCAAACTCCAGATTCAGAAGCCGCTGCTTGTTCACAGCATTCACCTCGGTGAACTTAGCCTCAATAGCAGATTCCTGTAAACATCATCGACGTTACATGGAGAACACACAGAGTAAACCCCGAGGTTACTTCACAACCTTTTTGGGAGAACTGCCACTTCAAATGTTTAAAATTATAAAAAAAGTAAGAAAACCCGCTAACATCCTGATGATGTCACGGTGATGTCACTGGAGTTATCTTGGTTTTGGCTTGATGTTTTAACCTTTGAGTGTGTGGTTAACAGGTGGACGTGTATCAATAAAAAGAGAAACGTGGGATCGTGGTGGTATGATTCAGACGAGGGACTAATTGTAGAGATATCCATGCTTCAAATGCAGAGTTATTTTTTAACATGTTTACCACAAGCTCCCCAACATTATAGATGTGCTGTACTACATTGACTAAAAGGGCCACGGTATATGGGGGTGGGTGAATTCAATAGGTAATCTATGCTGAGGAAGAGCTGTGTTTTACTTCCCTTAGGCACATGCACATGCTTGAACCAGGGAAAGGTTATGGAAAGCAGGGATGGAGAGGACAGCAACAGCTTGTATGTATTTACTGTGTACGTTAAAGTCATTTCTTATTTCCCTACAGTCGTGTCTGAATTCTGAATATATTGACAGAGGCATGTCACGAGAGCTTAGCTGGTGTGTCTCACCTCTGCCTTCACTATCTGTGCAGGGGACTCCAGTCTGTTCCTCTTGTATGTCTGAGGTACAAGTCCATCCTCAAGGTCAAGGATGGATCGGAACTTCTCAGTTTCATTCTCGTAGTCCTACAAAAAGGAACCAACAAAGCCATCAACCCATCATCTTATTGAATTCAAGCCAATTAAAAATGTAGTGACATTGTGGTTAAAATCAACGGATATCTTACTTTGACAGCTTGTTGGTAAAGCTGGGCATTTTTGGAGACGTTGTTCAAGTCAGACTCTTTTCTTGCAATATCAGATAGCAAGTTCTG